GAAAAATGAAACTTTTCGCCAGCCATAAACATGACCTCCAATGCTTTTCCTAAATATTTAAATGGCTGGCTCAGGAAGATATCATGAACGTATAAAAATCTTGGTATCGAGTGATTGTTTCTCTCCCGAGTCGTCAAATAAGTCTTTGCAAAACGGCAACGCGTAACGTATCATTTTTATGTCGAAACGAAACAATATTCATTTACTTTACGGTCATTACATTTGTAGTTTATGAAAAGGAACAAAACTGGCCTCCTCAAACTACACCCCATCAAATTTTGTCCGAAATTTGATATAAATTTCCTCGATGGTTCTTGGCTTTAAGCCGACTCTGTCCGTTTACTTTCAGTTTGATGGCGTGACAAGAGACAAAAAATATAATTTTTATAAATTCTTGACTTTTTACCATGGAGATCTTCTACTTTTTTCCAGTAAAAAGTTGACTTCCTTCGGAAGATCTTATACAAGTCCCTTTACCCTCATCAAAATGAATAACGAACGTTTCTAACTTCAAAAGGCAATTTGCATCAATGCTGACTGTTGTAGAAATCCAAACAACACAAGCATCGTTACGAAAGCTTCAAAAAAATGATCATAAGAATAACAACATTAATAGCTTACAGAAATTTCACTGCTTCCCCCCTCTTTGAAAAGAAGCTATGGCTTCTTCCATTGAGTGAGATATATAAAGGAAAAGAGATCATTGTTTATATTTCGATACCTTACATCACTTTTCCAAAAACGTCGACAAATAATGCACTTTTTCAAGGATTTTCACAATCAAAATGCAAGATTATCAAATAAAGTTCGTATCGATTATGTACGGGCAATTATAACAACCACTCCATAGAATACAGGACTTTACAGAAAGGTAGCTTACATAGAACATTTTCTGAACACATGCAAAACCTGTGAGTCATAATATATATTTAGGAAGCAGATCAAAGAAAACCTACTCTCTGATTTAATTTCTAGAGACGCGAGCTTGTTGCAAGGAAATGCGATTATTATTAGAGCCTTTTAAGATATGGGCAGGGCAGTTTCGAATTAGCAGTAAGCAGTATGATGCGACACGAGCTCTCTTGAGAGCCCAGTAAATCGGTTTTGTTAAAAGTATTGTTCCTTCTTACACAATTGAATTGAATTACTGTAAACTACATATGAATCAGCAGGTCAAATGAAACTTGTTGTGTTCTGTTAGCCCGTCAAATTTTCCAGTTGGTCTCTGATCTGCGTGATTCGCGTGACAGTGTAACGAACACCCCGCTTGGAGCATCAGTTTTTAAAACTGCTTCAAACCTCGTCCTGTTATGAGCGATGTGATTAATGACTTGGCGGAAGAGAATTCTGATATGTGCGATTAAATTTGAAAGAAATTCATAAACGGCAAAGTCGGTTTAACGTTTTTAACCCCACCTAGACCTACCAAACATTGACTAAATTCGACGAATTAACTGGTATTTTAACCGACACTGGACAAGGTGATTTCTTTCAGGCTACCTTCTCTGAAGATTAAATTCCGACATCCTCTGAATTAGCCGAAGGGCCATCTACCAACGCACCAACCTCGAGCAGAGTTTCAACCGTTACGTGAAAAATTTGAATTTGGAATGTCCATTAGAAAAGCTCAAATGAAATTCATTTTGTTCCTTCCGTTGAAGGAAAGATAAGGAGAGACGGATATTTGTTATCCAACTTATGAAGCGCCATCTAATGTACGTAAATGTATTTCGGTTTTGTACGTCTAACTTTTTTTACCGATGACAGATGTGAGCATGCAAAAATGGGATCAATATCAGTATCTAGGCAACTGCCCACCTACCCCTCCCCTAAACCAACATTAACCTTAAGTTGTTGTCAATTGACTGTTGTCGAGCTAGGGGAGGGGTAGGTGGGCAGTTGCCCAGATATTGATATTGATCCCAAAAATGAAACAATTCACTTTGGTTACATGTAACATCCGGTCTCAGTATACATTGTTTTGCAAGAGTCGTTGTATATTTAACCCAAAATTACAATCAAGACTTGTTACAGTGCTGAATTGGAGCTTCTGTCTCGAAACGGTAATCTATTTGTGTTCGATGACTATCACTTCATGAGCTGTTCATTTTCCAGTGCGCTTTGCGTCATCGAAGACAAAGTTGGTAAATAAGAGGAACGGCTGAGTTGATCAGTGTTGTACCCTTAAAAGACATCACATTGCTCTCTCCGTTTATCTCTTAAGGGTGTTAATCTAAATAAGACGGAAATATTGTAACGATCACAAGATGTCATGATCGAGAGGATCTCGCTTCATGTAAGTGAGAAATGATACCTCTTTTAGGGAGGGGAGGGAAAGAGGAAAATTAAACCTGAACCACTCCTACAAAGAGGAATTTTCCTAAAAATAATCAACATTGGTCATCTATTTGAGTTTATAAGTTCTCTTTATTCGGGTAAACGATTTGTACTCGAAAAGTAGTGCACCGGGCGATTAGCCGAATTATTAAAAGCTCAAATTCTATTTCTCCTGATATTCTCGGGCCCTATCATATTGACCGAGTGATTGGAACAAAGTTCCTAGGTTTAAGTAACTTGTTGTTTCTCCACCCCTGTCGCCAATTTCTATTCTGATAGCGAGCGCTTTTCCTGATATTGCCGGGCCTTGTTATATTGACCAAGTGATCGGAACAAAGTTCCAAGGTTTCCGTAGCTTGTGGCTTTTCAAGAATTTGAAAATTCTTTTCAAATTCTTGAAAAGCCGTTTTTCCTGAATGGGTCAAGCGAACCATGATATGGGTGTTTCTTTATCATTACAGCTGAGGGAGCTGGTTACAAGCAACCGAAGATCCTTTTGGTTACCCTCCTGAGTAGTAGCTGTTGTTACCAATTTTTGATAACTTGAAGGAAAAATGAGAACTGTGATCAAAGCAGTGGAAACAGAAACTTATAAACTATCACGTAATATTCTAAGGAATTGGGTTTTTGGTTCTAAACTGATCCATGAAGTACAGGCCGTTAATACATAAACAGCAGAACTGAAAACGATTTGAAAATTAAATTTGTCTCTAACACTCAACGGAAGATTGTGCCGGGCGATCTCCTTAGTTTTTGATTGACGCTGTAAAATCCAAAATTAAAAATATTATGGCATACAAGAGTATTGACGTTTTACCCCGAAAGTAAAAACTCTGTGAAAAATGAAACTTTTCGCCAGTCATAAACATGACCTCCAATGCTATTCCCTAAATATAAAAATGGCTGGCTCAGGAAGATATCATGAATGTATATAAATGTTGGTATCGAGTGATTGTTTCTCTCCTGAGTCGTCAAATAATTATTCGCCAGAACGCAACGGGTAACTTACCATTTACATGACGTCGAAACTTCCTTCAAAGAACGAGTGATTTTTTTCTTCTGATGTCAGTTACTTCTGATTACTCGGAATTTACCGGAAGTTTCACTTTCCAATAGTAATGGATAATTGGGATGGGTATTAGACCCGTGGGGTGGGTTTAGGTTACCCGTTGCCAGAACGCAACGGGTAACTAATCATTTTTATGGCGAAAAGAAACAATGTTTATTTCCTTTAAGCTCATTGCATTTGCAGTTATGAATGGGAACAAAATTATTGTCCGAAATTGAGGCCATCGCCTATTCAGAGGAAAATATTAACTTCGAAAGAGAGACTTAGCCAGATTGGCATAGGAGACAAAAAATAATCAATCTAATAAATTCCCGACATTTCACTGTGAATTTTTTTCTTCTATTTTCTAGGAAAAAGTTGACTTCCTTCGGAAGATCTTATACAAGTTCCTCTGCCTTCATCAAAATGAATAAGGAACGTTTCTAACTGCTTAAGGTAAGTTGCATCAATGCTGACTGTTTTAGAAATCCAAACAACACTAGTATCGTTATGAAAGCTTCAAAAGAAAATTATCATAGGAATAACAACATTAACAGCATATAGAGATCTCATTGCCCCCCTCCCTCCCCCCCCTTTGAAAAGAAGCTATGGCTTCTTCCATTGAATGAGATATATAAAGGAAAAGAGATCCTTGTTTATATTTCGATACCTTATAATACTTATCAAAAACCATCGACAAATACTGCACTTTTTTCAAGGTTTTACACAATCAAATTGCAAGATCATCAAACAAAGTACATATTGATTATGAACGGACAATTATAACAAACACTCCATAGAGTACAAGACCTACACACAAAGGTAGCTTATATGAAACATTCTCCGAGCACATGCAAAACCTGTGAGTGATAATATATATTTAGGAAGCAGATCAAAGAAAACCTACTCTCTCAATTAATTTCTAGAAACGCGAAATTTTTGCAAGGAAATGCGATTATTATTATTAAGATACGGGCTGGGCAGTTTCGAATTAGCAGTAAGCAGTATGATGCAACACGAGCTCTCTCTCGAGCCCAGTAAATCGGTTTTGTTAAGAGCATTGCTCCTTCTTGCATAATTGAATTGAATTACTGTAAAGTAAATATGAATCAGCAGGTCAAATGAAACTTGCTGTGTGCTGTTAGCCGGTTAAATTTTCGCGTGACAGTGTAACGAACACCCCTGTAGAACAGACGGCAAAGGTGTGTTCCTCTTTGATGGACAGTGTAAAATATCGGTCTACGAAACAAGGGGCTAGAGTCCAAACTCCGTGGAAAATATGTATTAAACTTGTTAAATAAACCACAACATTTCGCTAAAATAAAGACTCCGAAACCTCTTAGAATTCAAAACAGAGGGTTAGAGAAATTGAGCGAACGATAGCTCAAAATCCGTTAAAACGAGCAATAAAAGTATGCGAAAAATGTCTACCTCAGTTAAGGTTAGAGTTCTATGATGTGATTTGCTAACTTAACTGTGAAATCACGTGCGCCGCGCGTGAACACAAAAAGAAGACAAAGCGCGGAGGAGAAGATAAAATTTGAAATTTTAAAGTTAAAACTAAAAAGATTTTCTATAAACAGTCCGTGTATAAGTTTTCACTAATTTTTCCTTTTTTTTTTTTTATTTTTTCAAACTGAGAAGAAACAGGGTCAAGATGGACAGCATAAAAGAAGCTGAATCAGCTGTCTTCATAGGTCTGGTGGTCGCTTTGTTCCTTCACCACACTGGTCGCTTGTTGCAGGCCATCGAGGTTTACAAGGAATGTTTGATTATATTACACAGTCAGGCGCAAGCTATGGATAGTTCATTGGCAAACTTAACGTTCAAAGGCATCTACATGGCAATAGCCTGTGCTTCCATTGACATAAAGGATTGCATAAGTGCAGAAAAATACCTCAGGAAACTCCTTCTATACCTGGATTCTAATGACACCGCTATAAAAGGAGGGATATATTTAAAACTGGCAGAAATACTTCAGGTACAAAGTGAATTAATGGAGGCCTGGAAATTTTACGAATCAGCAATCAACATCATGAAAATGGTGGGGAACAGAGATGGCCAGGTGCTATGTTACGCAAAACTCGGAGCAATGTTGCTATCGCACAGTAAATATGACAAAGCCCGTGAATGTCTGGAGAAAGCACTCGCTATCACAACAGAAATTGGCGACAGGGAAGGAGAGGCAATAATCTACAGGGGACTAGGAAATTTGTTCCAATCAATCTGTAAATATGACAAGGCCCGAGAATATCGGGAGAAAGGACTGGGTATCAGAATAGAACTTGGTGACAGGGATGGAGAAGCATCAAGCTACGGAAACCTAGGAACTTTGTTCCAATCAATCGGTCAATATGACAAGGCCCGAGAATATTATGAGAAAGCACTCGGTATCAGAATAGAACTTGGTGACAGGGATGGAGAAGCAACAAGCTACGGAAACCTAGGAACTTTGTTCCAATCAATCGGTCAATATGACAAGGCCCGAGAATATCTGGAGAAAGCACTCGCTATCACAACAGAAATTGGTAAAAGGGATGGAGAAGCATCAATCTACGGAAACCTAGGAACTTTATTCCAATCACTCTGTCAGTATGACAAGGCCCGAGAATATCAGGAGAAAGCACTCGCTATCAGAGTAGAAACTGGTGACAAGGTTGGAGAAGCAACAAGCTACGGAAACCTAGGAACTTTGTTCCAATCAATCGGTCAATATGACAAGGCCCGAGAATATCAGCAGAAAGCACTCGCTATCACAAAAGAAATTGGTAAAAGGGATGGAGAAGCATCAATCTACGTAAACCTAGGAGTTTTGTTCCAATCACTCTGTCAGTATGACAAGGCCCGGGAATATCTGGAGAAAGCCCTCGCTATGAAAACAGAAATTGGTGACAGGGATGGAGAAGCAACAAGCTACGGAAACCTAGGAACTTTGTTCCGATTACTCGGTCAATATGACAAGGCCCAAGAATATCAGGAGAAAGCACTCGCTATCAGAGTAGAAATTGGTAACAAGGATGGAGAAGCATCAAGCTACGGAAACCTAGGAACTTTGTTCCAATCACTCGGTCAATATGACAAGGCACGAGAATATCAGGAGAAAGCACTCGCTATCAGAATAAAAATTGGTGACAGGTGTGGAGAAGCAAGAAGCTATGGAAACCTCGCATGTTTGTGTTTCTCACGAGGCATATATGCAAAGGCTGACGACTATCTGAAGAAGGCAATGGCAGTTAGAAAGGGTATCGATGATAGAAGGGGAGAAGCAACAGACTACACATGCCTTGGTGAAATTTCTGATAAGCGTGGTGAACATGACGAGGCTCAAGAATATTACGAGAAAGCCCTTGCAATTTGCATGGACATCGGTTATAGAGAGGGAGTAGTGGCCAGCTATACCAATTTAGGATTGTTTTACCAATCGCTTGGTAAAAATGACATAGCCGAAGGATACCTTAAGCAAGCTCTCCTATTAAGTAGGGAGATTGGACCCAAATTGGACGAGTTTCGCTGCCTTTGTAATCTATCGGTGTTAATGGCGTCACAAGGTCATCTTGAAGAGGCTTCTTGGTATCTTTTTCAAGGCATCCAAAAGTTCGAAACTTTGAGAGGTTTTCTTAAAGACCACGATGAGTTTCAAATATCTCTTTTCGAAAAGTACGGCACCTTTCCTTACAAGTCGTTAAGCAGGTTGCTTTCTTCCATTGGAGAGCCTGAAGGCGCCCTTTACGTCGAGGAGCTGAGAAGGGCAAGAGGCCTGGCCGACTTGATGAAAGCTCGGTACTCTGTTCAAGGGCAGATCTCATGCGATCCACAATCTTGGTGTGGCATTCAAGGGATCATCAGAAAAGAAGCAGACTGTGCATGCCTGTACATTTCGGTCAGTGAAAATGATGTACGATTCTGGATAATAAAAGCAACGGGAGCTTTTCTTTTTTCAGGAAAGAAAGTGAACCTGGACCCAAACAAGGTGACCGGAATAGTCCCTGAGTTAGATGAGTTTTTTAAAGAACTGATGTCACCTCTTAACTGTCATTACTATGATACCGAAGATTTCAAAACAAGTCTTCACTTGTGTTACAAGATAATCATTGCTCCCGTGGCCAGTTTACTGAAGCAGCCCGAGATCATAATTGTGCCTGATTCCTGTGTGTACCATGTGCCATTTGCAGCCTTGGCTGACGAAGGAGGCAAGTATTTATCAGAGACATGCAGGATTCGGCTGGTTCCCTCTCTCACGACCCTAAAGCTTGTACAAGACAGTCCTCCAGACTATCACAGTCAGACCGGGGCTCTAATAGTGGGTGACCCTGTGGTTGGAACGGTGATTTACAAGGGAAGGTGCAGAAAAATGAAACCATTGGCGTATGCAAGAAAGGAAGCAGAGATGATTGGAACACTTCTTGGCGTAACGCCTTTGATAGGAGAGTCCGCTACAAAGCATTCTGTACTCCAAGCGATAAACTCAGTGAGCCTGATACACATTACTGCGCATGGAGATCCCGAAAGAGGGGAGATTGCTCTTTCTCCTGAGCACCATTCCCCACTCCCACCTTTTCCTAAAGAAGAAGACTATCTTTTGACGATGGCAGATATTTCAAAAACTCGGTTGCGAGCTAAACTAGTGGTGCTTAGTTGTTGTCACAGTGCTCGTGGAAAGATTAGAACAGAGGGAGTTATTGGAATCGCCCGAGCGTTCTTAGGATCCGGAGCTCGTTCAGTGTTAGTGGCACGATGGGCCCTGGATGACAAAGTCACAGAGCAGTTCATGACTTGTTTCTACAAACATTTGTACCGCGGTGAAAGCGCAAGTGAATCTCTCCACAAGGCCAGGAAGTGGATGAGAAATAACGGCTTTGACAAAGTTTCTCAATGGGCGCCATTTATGATCATGGGCGACAACGTGACATTTGATTTTGGAAATTGGCCGGTGCCTAGCGCACCTTAAGAGCCATGACTTTGATAAAACCTCTGTAGCGGAATGAACTGAACTTAGTAAAGCTCGGAACTATTTAATTACTAGCCTGTAGAAAAAGGACGCCATCTGCGAAGGAAAACTCGGATCGATACACAGAGGAGAGCATTTCTGTAAAATGCTCATCAGACATCTAAGTTTATTACTGAAACAAGACAGCGTACAGTGTCTCTTTATAAGAGTTCCGAAGTTAAAAACTCCAATCTATTTTTTAAGTTTTTAGTTCAGCAAACCACCCAAACGAAGTGTGACAATTTTTTAGGTTTCGAACGAGATTAGTTCTTCGAGGAAAGAAAATTTTTAATCCTTTTTCAAAGGTGATTAGTTGGTCAGTTTAAGAGACTTTTAAACGAATATGTGACTTGGAATCTGAGCTTAAATTTTTGGAAATTTCTTGCAAGGCTTTTGAAAAAAAATATTGTGGTTTAACATGCCAAAATAAACACATTTTAAAAAAGAAAAAAAAAGGGATACTCTTAATCGTATAGTAATACAAACCCTTGTATTCTCATAAATACTCCAGTAATTTTATCAATTTAACCCTTTAACCCCAAAGACTGACTAGCATCTAATTTCTCCTTACAGTGTCACTCCTGAGTTAAACATTAAGGTCATGAGAATAATGGAAATCATCAACAAGTACAGAAGCTCTTGATTATTAAGCAAAATCTCCTTGTCAGCACCTTGGGAAATGTAGAGAAATCATTGTGGAGAATATGCATACTGATCTTAGGGTGTAAAAGGTAATCGATACCCCTATGTGTAGATTCCGTTGTATCCTCACACAGACTCTTGTATGCTTATAGATACTTTTGTATCCTCACACAGACTCTTGTATGCTTATAGATACTGTTGTATCCTCACACAGACTCTTGTATGCTTATAGATACTGTTGTATCCTCACACAGACTCTTGTATGCTTCTGGATACTTTTGTATCCTCATTATCCTTCACTTTCGCTCTGCCGCTACTATTTCACTCCGTTTAATCAACTGAACGTCACGAAAAGGTTACTTTATTATCAAAGGAAAATTTATGTAGGGGATTGCATTTTGTTGACTAAAAAAACTCAACAGATTTTTCGTCTGCTACTATTGTGTCATATCTATGAGTTATAAGACAATAAATATTCAATAAAAACTGAAAGAATACCAAATAAATTTGTATACGACAAAAATTTGCATGCGAGAAAAATAGTTCCTAAGAGCGTTGAAATGTATTTGAAATACACAAATATATACACATTGTAACTGTTGTTAAATTAAAGATTAGGTTTGTTAGACATTAGTGACGCGTAAGATCAAAAGGGCTATTACAGTACCTCGCGCGTTGTTGCTTGAGAGAGAGAGTCAATGCGAGAGAGTTATCTGCGAAGTTTATTACTGCGTTCATTTGCAACTTCTATTCAGGCGTACAGAGAGGACAATCGGTAAACGTATTTTTCTCTTCCCTTATTGATTTCGTTTTATTATTTGATCGATCATTGTTAGGTTTTTGTGCGCTCGTCTTTTCTTGTATTGTTGTGTAATAATTATTGTTTTAGCTTAACTCCGTGTAATGTTCCTTCGATTAGGTGTTTTTTGCTTGTATTTTAGTTTGACGTGTTTGACATCATATTATTATTCTGCAATAAATCGTATTGGAATCACGGTTATACGTGTTTGGTGTCAAATTTAGTGCATCGATGTCCTTGTGAGAACTTTGAATTGCGACTCCCTACGCTGCAAACGCCTGCATTTATACACACACACACACACACACATATATATGCATATATATGCAGTTTAGCAAGATAACTTTTCCAGTATTTCAGAACACCGAATCAAATACATCATCGAGCGAACTTTTGATAAAAATGCAAAAAATTGTTAACGAGAAGACGTGACCTTCAAGTAACACCACTGAATAATTCTAAAGAGAAATAAAATGTAAAGTGATTGGCAGAGAATCACTGAAATGGTTCAAGCTGGCTTATAAAATGTGACTTATTGAACACCTTCGATCGAATAAGTGTGGATTATTTAAACGAGTTGCAATTGTCATCAGAATTTGTCCCACTTTCAGCTCAAAACAGTGTTACAATGCAGTGTAAACGTGGCAACATGTAAACCTGACTCATTTTCTGTCAACAAACTGCACTCTAACAGGTCTGTCAGGAATGGTGACACCTCTCATGAACGGTTCCACATTCTCTGCCTCAGGTGGGTAAGAGATGTCAAACTGCTGCACGATTCTGGCCATCAGCAGATGAAGCTCTAACTCGGCAATACGTCGACCGAGGCACATACGTGTTCCGAATCCAAATGGAAGAGAAGCGAAAGCTTCTGCTGATTCGATCAAAGTGATATCTTTGTTTCGCAACCATCTCTCCGGTTTAAACGCTTCGGCATCTTCAAAAATACTCTCATCTCGCCCCATTTGATGAACAAGGAACTCAACTTGAGCAGTGCCCCCAGGGATATGGTAGCCCCCTAATATTATGTCTTCTTTCGGTCTTCGCGGGATAGAAGAGAGAACAGGGTATAGGCGAAGGGTCTCTCTTAACCAGGCCTTCAGGTATGGCATACGAACGAGCGTTTCCGGCGTTGCAAAGGTAGAATTTCCTACCACTGAGAGCACTTCCCGTCGAAGAATCTTCTGTTTCTCAGGATTTTTGGCCAACATGTAAAGAACCCATTGCATCGTGTTGGACGTAGTGTCAACTCCGGCAAACAGAACATCGATTACGCTCGCCAACAGGTCATCCTTCGTCAGCTTTCCGCTGGCCAGGAGGAACTCGAAGAAGCCAGCTCGGTCACGCTCTGTTTCCTTTGATGGCTTGCATGACTTCTCCTTCAGTTCCTTGATTCTTCTCCCGATAAATAGTTCGGCGTAGTCGTACATCGTGTCAAAACTATCGAAAAACTTTTTAAATTTCTGGGTCTCGTAGATCTTGTAAAACCAATTTGGCAAAAACCGACCTCCACCGCATTCGCCAGAAAAATCTCCGACGGCTTTTATGAAGGTCTGTGCCTCTTCGTTGATTTCCTCTTCAAGACAACCAAACCTTTTGTCAAACAACACCTCCGCCACAGACTCAAAAGACCATTTGAAAAGTTCATTATCGAGTTCACAAACTTCGTTTTCTTTCTCTGACCCACTAGGCTCTCGAACTGATCGTAATCGGTGAATAAAATCGCCGATAATTTTATTGAAACTCGGAGTATAGTCGGCGACTTCTTTCGGTCGAAGCATTCTTTTTACTCAGGACGCTTCGTAGCTTGTACCATTCTTCACCATCGGCAAAGAAAACACCAGGAATTTTCTTCCTTTTTTCCCGGTAGAAATTTAAAGCCGGAAAGTCCAGTCTTTCTGGATATTTGGGATCCGATCGAAGTAACTTTGCAACGTCGGCAGGATCGGATAAACTGATAATTTCGATGCCTGGTAGTTTGTTGCGGAATACTTTCCCATATTTCTTGACATTTTCTGCTTGGATTTCATAAAATCGCTTTCCAAGGGGCTGACCTTTCGTTCCCACAAAGAACGTCCAAGTTGTTCCGAAAACTGGAAGACGGAGCGGACCTGGGATTTCTGAGAAAGGTTTTGTTTTTCGTGCATCTTCGACTGAAATGGACGAAAGAGAACACATTGATGTCGACGGCAGAAAACCACGGAGACTATGGTTTTGTTTAAGCATGAACAAAATAGTCCGACCAGATGAGACAACGAGAGAGTGATTACTTTTCGTTCCAACAGTAAATGCCATCTCCAACAACTTCAGCTATCCAAACTCCGTAGATCGAAGGAATCATTCGTACTGCTATGGAACCTGGCTTTGTCGCGGTGAAGATCAGATGATTTTGACAGCTAGAGAATGGTCACGCACTCCACAGTGGGTAGCATAACAAGCCAACACAACTATTCGTCACGTGATCCAAGATTCACCTACACAAGTCACTCAGATAACGACAAAATCAGTCCGACAAAAGTTTTAGCAAACTTGAGCTACACAGCTTGTGCGTATAAATCAGTATAACTGAAAAGCACAAGAAAGGGAAATTTAACTTGGAATTGTCCACCGAATTTTCGAAAATTTGCATAAACCTGAAATAGGTCTTTCGGACAGCCCACTTCTTTTGTTTTCTTTGTTTTCTATGGATAAGCCTATAAATCATTCAGTGTTGAGGTAGATAATGGTTTTATTGGAAACTCTGTGGGAGAAAACGGCTCTTGAATCGATCGACGTAAGAACGCTCGACTTTGACTCACTATCGTTGTTCTCAGTCCAATGTTTTTTTCTGGTGGTCACCTAACTTTGTGAACGCTGTAGATATTTTTCAGTAACCAGCTGCCGCTTGCTGAGAGGAGAACTAATCTGACTAAGTTGGTGAACGAGGTTATTCATCAGTAGTTCTGAGAAACTGTAGTGCTTCGTCGGCGGGAAAGTGGGTCAAAATGAAACGCTTCGGTGGTTATCTAAAGCTGTGTACGCTGCAGCGAATATTTGGAAGCTGAGTCATTTCGAACATGAAACGGATCAGTATGACTTGAAGAGGTTCCCTTGACTGACGATTGTGTTACGTGTTACGTCTGTTTTTCGATTGAATAAAGGGATTAAGTTTCTAAAGAAACTGTGGTGCTGCGTCGGTGGGAGAGTATGACAACTGAAGGTAATTCATCCACTGAGCTGATAACATAAATTGGCCACTGTAGAGAGTTTCAAAGCTGACTTTTCGAGCGTTAGCCCTTCGTCAGAGAGAATGACGAATGCTCGAAACTTTTCTGTGAAAAACAACGTCACGTAAAATAAAGGTTCACTTGAGTTCCCTTTCAACGGCATTGGTGAAACACTCGGGCACCTGAAAAACTTTAGTTAAATTTTAAAAGACCTCAAGTGAAGCGTGATAAAGAGAGCCTCATGAAAATATTGCTGGGTAGCTTTCATTTGAAAGGTCACTCTTGGAATGATAGCCTGCAGAGCAGGCGTAATTTTGGCAAGCGAGTGCTCAGCGCTCTTTCAGTCTTACGGCAGAAGGCTGGAACGAGAGGGATGAATAAGAAAACGGATGGGCGGATTTAGAGATTATCTTTCTACGCATTTTGGATTCAGAACGAAATGTTAACGGTTTGCGGTTTTAATCAATATTTTGGGACCTAATTTTGGATTGTGCTTGTGATAAAAACTTCGCAACTTGGATCTCTGACATCTTTAGAAATGTTTTATTTTGCTCTTATGTATGTGCATCAACGCAGTTTTTTTTTGTCACGGACGAGACTCGCCGAATGTCACGTTGTAGGGAAACAGTAATGGCGCTCTATGGTCAGGAAGCTGTGGCATAAAGCCAGTAAACTGCCGCCCCCTACCCTCCAAAAGAAAATCTGGAAGTGGCCCCTTCCCGATTTTCTTTTGGAGGGTAGAGGGCGACTGTACATGGGATAGCAACATGTTACCAGCGGAACATCTTGTCTTCGCGCTTTTATCAGCTTGGATTATCTAACAATTTCATTACTGGGTCGTGCGTGGTACTATTTTTAAGCTTTTTTACTTTTCAAACAAACCAGCGAGCAGCACTCTGCGAAGCGTTTCGTCTAACTGTCGTAGACTTCTTCAGGGAGTTTTACTGATGAACATTAAAGGCCCGTATTTATAAGTGATAGTTGGCCCTTATTACGTGAAGAACGTTTTAAGCTGAAAGTGAGAAAAAGGTTTGGGAGCCACGGTTTTAAATCTTTACGTCACCTTCCCTTAAAACTTTTCTACAACTTCTCCAGTTCCTGTTCGTAAATCCGGCTAGGCCTTTACAGTGTTTGACCCACGCATGGCCGCTAACCATGGCTTATAAATACCGGCGTGTAGTGTTTACAAATAAAAATCCCTGGAGAAGTCTACGACAACTAGAAGAAACACGTTGGAGAATAAAACAAGGTTTACAACGACTGTACTACAACTCTTTGACAGCAGAATAAACAGTCCCACATGAAAGGGCTTCTCCGTAGCTTTCATTTGAATGGTCAAACAGCAAAGTGACAGACAAACACAGCGACAGCAGAACTTTAAAAGGTAAAGATAGAGTCGTCGTGCCAAATAATTTACAAACTAGTAAAGGAGACGGATTCGCTCCTATCTCTACTTATCCCCAAAGTTAGCGCTACCTTTCAAGGAAAAACGCACAGCACCGACATCAAAAACAAACGCAATACGTTTACAAGAGCACAGAGATAGCAACCGGCAGAAAACTGTCCGAACAAACGAATGAGGTATTTTACATGGATGCATTTAAGGAGATAAATTATTTCACATCCTGGTAAATGAAATAACAGAAACGACAAAACTTTGTATTTACAATTTTTCTCCGAAATTTGAAATGTTAATAACGCCTAAATACAAGCTAAGACTATCTTGAACTAATCTATATCAAACTAAAAGTTAAGAGCAAAATCCAATTGAGTGTCCAACGTATAAAACCTAGACTACCTTTCCTTTGCTTAAATACCCTTTGCGATTGGTCAAGAAAACTCGCACCATCCTCTCCACCAATCAGATCCAAGGCTAAACACCACTCGCGACTTGGCAACGTACGTTTTCCCGCGCTTTCCTCTGATTGGTTGTTTTACTTTGAGATCCCACTGGCTCCTTTCAGAAATTTCAATTTGTTCTCATCGTTCGTTGAGATTACAAGGCCAATTCTTTGATCTTGCATTGGCGACATTCAATTGAAAAGCGCTCTTACAAAGCTTGCTAAAACTAACACCCTAACTAATATTAGAAACATTTTTTAAGACTGTTTCCTCGGCTAGGAATAATATGTACAAAGTAAAACTAAGGTCTTTTACTAACTAGGATCTCTTATATTCAGCTCCAAACTTTTTCATATAGTTCTTAATGTACTCTTTTGTTTTGATTTTGACAGAGTCATTGCACTGCAATGAGTCATCTTCTTTTAAGTGGCTCATCTCCTTATTCAGGATTCCGTGCGTTAACTGCGGATGAAAAGAACGTTCCTCAGCATAGTTAATTTCAGAAAGAAGACACTTGAAATAAAATTTATCTGACCCCCCCTAAGGCTCTGTAGTATTCGAGCGATTCCCCCCTTTTCTGTAGCACCCCCCCCTTTAATACTCTGTTCGCGGCGACTGATAGAACCACCTTGTTGAGCAAATTAAAACATTACCATGCGAGCGACAATTTTCAGTATTTTTCATTTGGACGCTGTAGACCAGAGTTTCATCCACAGACTTGCAAAATTGGATCTAATTCACTTTGTAAATACTACCGACTCAAGTAACGCTGACTTGATTTCTACAAAATAAATTAAGAATTAAAAGGTTCAGCGAGAGAAACACACACCTTCCTTGCCAAATACTTGAAATCGTCAGTATTCAGGATCCTGCCTGATTTACAGTCAACTTTGAAGAAAGGATTTAGGCAGTTAACGACCACATTAGAAAGCTGCGGAGAGAAATATTGAAAACGAAAATACACCAGTTAGTAAACAGATATACAGTACATCCGAAACAATGCTAGAATTTACCTGAGTGAGCAAAACAACAGGAATAATATGGTTCTGAAACCGATAAAAATTGCGTGACATGTTGAGAAAGAGGCCATGGCGTAACACTGGCCTCACAGGCTCTGGGAAGGTAACGTCACCACTGAGACGGACTCAACTGACCTTCATTCTAAAAAGCTCTCTGTTCTTGCTCTGGTGTGACGAGGAGCTGCTTGAGGTACCATCTCTCAGCAAGTGATCCCCTCTCCTGTGTGCAGTGGTATCTGCTGGAGCTGTGGTATAGGTAAGCGTCGGGCTTTCAGGGGGGGTCTCCGGAGGTGTTGTAGGAGCCTTTGCTAATTTCTTTATTTTTGGTTTTGGTGGTGAATCCTGGAGGAATAACAAGAAGAGTTGACTTCAGATTTCATTCTGAGTGGACAAGGAAGTAGTTGCCACAATCAAGTTGCTGGTTTGCCTTACCTCGTCCATATCAACGTAGCTGTGAGCAGAAATACTTGTATGATCAGGTTCTGGGACAATATAAGGGTGTTCTTCCTCTGATGAGGGGCTGCTGTCCCAGCTTGGAACATCCCACTGGGTTTTCCTACGAAAAGAAAGAAAGTTAAATATGAGGATCACTGAGTTAGGGGGGGGGGTGGTGGAAGGGGAAACAACATAAACCCACTCTCATTGCGTTGGTAAAAGCTTCATAAATTGGAATTTCGTAGGAAATTCTCTAATGGACAAGTTCAATTTTTTTTCGTAGACGCTGTTGGGCGATAGTCGCCAGGAATAAAATTATGGTCGAAAAAGAAAATACAAGAAAACAAGACATGGAAGAAGACATCTGGAGCACGGCCACTGACCAAGGGCCCGGGACACACTTTTAACTCTCTCATGAAAATCAAACGGCTCTAGCGATGTTACTTGCTGAAGAAAACAACACAATCAGTTTCCAATAGATGATTAACAGTTCCAAGACCTAGAAGTAACTAACTCGTCACAGTTATCGTATGACAAAAAACCCAAATACACAACAGTTCATCATTTATCAAGGACTCACAGTGGGCATTGAGCAATGATAAAGCCACATTTCTAACAAACAAGTAAGATTCCTCACCTTGTTAGGGCATGATAGTAGTAAACTTTTCCTTGGCTATCGGTGGCTGATTTCCAATGTGGAGGGAGATGCCCCGGTGGTTTGTGTTTCACAGGTGATGGCGTGCACGGTTCTGAATCTGAAGGAAAGCCCTCTCTGCATTCAAAGGCATCTGACATCGACGTCGTCACAGCTCCAGTTTGAACAGAGAGCGACCCCAACTCGGGGTGTGGTACACTTTCTGTTGGACCAGTCACCTGCTGCAGAGGCCCTGGTATATTTCCAGCTGAATTCCCCTGTTGAGCGGCCGCGATGTTGAGGTTTGGAGGGGGTGTATTAAATTGAAACTGATTCTGCTGTGGTGGAAAAGCAGCCTGGATGCTTTGAGGAAATTGCTGTTGAATAGGGTTAGGGTTGGAGTGTGAAAACTGTGTTGTTGGTGGAGTCGTAACATTGGCTTGAAAAGGTGGCGGAGGAGGAAGCCGAGTGTAAGAGGGGGTAGGTTGACTGGGTGGAAAGAACTGCGATTGACTACTCTGAAGGGGTGGAGGAGGTACTTGCTGCGGTGGCGGTATAAGCGGATTTGGCTGTAGCTGCTGAGGAATCATTGGATGAGTCTGCGGACGGATATTAGGTGGTGGAACTTTGCGAAAAAATTCCATAGGTGACATATTAGGAGGAGGTACATTAAAGTTTGGTAGTGGTGGAGGTTGTTGAGAGAAATTTCCCACAAAACTTCCAGAAACTATACTTTGTGGCCGTGGTCCTTGATCTTGTCCAACTGCTGGTCCGCTGCTGCAGAAGAATTGGTTTCCCATTTGGAAAGTCGCAGGGGGATTTTGCGACTGACCTCTCCACTGCGTCGCCGCACCTTGCTGAGGTCTTAAGTTTGTTTGAGGATTCACGTTAAAGTTCCCAGCGTTTTTATCTACCAATCCTTGAGGATTTCTTCCCTGTTGCTGAAAAAAGTTCTGCAATTGATTCCATTTTTTCTTTTTCTTTTTGCTGCGGCCGGGTTTATGTTGGAAAGAGCCCATCCCATGCTCCACACTGACGCTCATGCGCTGTTGATAACCGAATGTCTGCATCATGTTCTGTGATTTCGAATCTTGCTTCTGAGTAACTTCAACAGAATCCGACACCCGTGAACTTGAATGAGTTCCTTCTCCTTTATCAGGAGTTGAATCCGCTTGGGTATCCACGTCTTCTCCGAATTCCAAAGCACTGAAGTCACCAGTTTTTGACGGAGGGGTGGCACTCGAAGAGTCTTGCGGCATCTCAGTGTCTTCACTACAGGTAGAGAATCCCTGAGAAACAGGCGGAGTTCTGGATTCAGATGGATAGAGGGGTTTGGGAGAGTCCTGTAAACTCTTCATGATGGCATCTAATTTTCCTGGAGAACCGATGTTCTCAATGGGAGTCCTACAGAAATACAATCATAGATCAGATCAGAGATTCAAAGACCATTAATAGAGTAACTTTTAATTGAGTTTCCAAAGTAATCTGGGTTTGTACTGGTTTTACTCTACTCTGCTCTATGATTGGTCCGAAAAACTCGCGTCACTCTCTCAACCAATCAGATGTAAAACTACAATCAATCACGACTTGGTCGCCCGCATTTTCCTGCCCTTTGGGCGGTTTGCTTGTTTTTACTCTGAGTTTTCATTGGCTCTTCAGGGTATTTTCCTTTCTTCTTTCCATAATAATTACCTTGGTTTTGTTTTAAGGCACTCAATCGAAAAGCGCTCTATCAATGGTAACCCTTACTTTCCACGCCCAGACGATATAAAAATTCATCTTCTCAACGTAGAAATTCTTCAAAACTGTTATTTTTGGTGATATACGTTCACTTATTAAATTTGTTGTCTCACCTTGCATGATCACCGTCACCACTTCCTGTAAAACAACATCAAATTAATCACTTTTAAACAATCAGTTTTTCCAAATTATGATGATCCTCATGAGAAGTTAAGTTCTTTCTTTGTCCCGCCCCCGTGAAACAACAAATGAAATCTGAAAAAAACTTTGTCGTACACATGGTTTACACAAAATCCACCCTCTGATGAAAATGCGTAACTATATCAGGGTTCCATGGTCAAAAAACTGATTAATCAAGCAATAAACAAGATCATGTAAAACAGAGTTTACCTACCTGCTGGGCTAGCTACGACTAACAACTCGGCAACACGGTCTTGCTTGGCCTGAACAAAGAGAACAAAGAGAATCAGACGATCATGCAATTGAATGTCAAACAAACAACAACAACATTTAAGACCATCTACCAAATTGCAAAAGTTAAAAGCAGCAAAATGAAATTTGATACCAACACTCTGGCTAACTAAGAATAGACCCTTTTTTTCAGCAAGAGAGTTTCACCCTCTCCTTTTATATCAACGATCGGCTTGAAAAAAAAAAAAAGGTAAAGCGAAGACAAAATACAAAATAAATAAATTAAAAACGGAGACGAAAAATGCCCACTGTTTCGAGTGTCACTTTAAGAATACTTACTGGAGTTGCAGTTTTCTTCGGTATTCGGTAAACTTCCTACAAACAAAAACAAGGCAAAAAATGTCCCAGTTTTAACGCGTTAGACTCTGGCTCAAGGGTCTGAGGTAAAGCTCTAGTTTGTTGAGTCGAGTTAGAACGATTTACAAACAACCACACCAGCTTGTAACTCACGGTGTTTTAAAACGTATAACCTTTCTGGTAAAACGCAAAACTGAGTAGAAAATCAACAGGATACCTGTACTTGAATAAGCTTTGTGTTTGAAATTCTCTCGGTTTCCTTTTCCCTCTCTTCGTATCCTTGTACAAATTTCTATGAACGTTCCAATTTGCTCTCGCTTACCCTTTTAGGGTACAGACACGAAACCTTAATGGGCTATCGTGCTTTAAGATATCCTTTTTTCCCTCGAGTATCTGGTTGTTGTTAATTTAGATGTGTTTAATGAGAGACAAAGAAAGTTGTTACTTAGGAAATGAAGCCAAAGACTCCACTTAATTGGAATTAAAATCACCCCGCCTCCCCTCCCTCAACAAACTATTACACATAAACATATCTTGTTCCGACAAGTATCTGGTTGGCAAAATGGCATCACCTTCAGTGAACTCCATGACTTCAACAGCTCATTCGCCTTTAGTCCGATGCCGCTTTCAGGCAATCGCTCGTCCTCAGATCTGAGGTCGTCCTCTGAAAGGTCATCAGGGGATTTCTCAAAGTTCTCTGGCAGCAGTTTGTTTTTTATAGTCCTGCTATCTAGAGTCTTGTCGACAATAAAACTGGCCACTTCTGCATCCAAAGACTCATCATCTGATTGGTCCTTGACAGAGCTTTGCCGTTCAAATAGCACGAGGCTACCAATAGCTTTCTTATCTCCATCAATGGATTTTGCTAACTGCTGGTTTTCGTCATCATTATCTTCTGTTCCTGCCGTACATTCTGAATCTGCCGGACTGTTGCCATGTGACTCCTGTCCACTGCTGGACCCCGCTTCGACAGTCGGACAGAATGACGACGCCCATTTTCTCACCACCTTTATTACCTTGCTATCTTCAAGTTGGTTCTTTGTTGCTATAGGAAGGCATTTCAATGTCTCTAGCAACTAGAAATCACAATATTTGAAGATAACAGTTAATTTCTTGCCTGTATAATAATCATAATGTTGAACTCTAGTTATAGATGGTGCATAGAACAGTGTAAACTGATAAACTGATAGCTCTCAACAAAAAATGTATACAAAAAACACCGGCAAAATAGTTCACATTGCATAACACTATTTATGAGATAAATATTTAATCACTGGCAAAAAACCCTAACTCCATAAATACTCTTCAGGAATACCATTCCACGATTTTGCCCTTGTGACTTCCCCCTTCAGTCTCTCTTCAAAATTTCTGACAAACCAAACATCATTGCACATGTACATTGGGCATGTTGATAGTTGAAACACTAACAAATCCTTGACATGCATACAATTCTTGCTACACTGATGTAGCAAATTTGCTTTCTCGTTGAACATTCTCCACAATGATCATTCAGTAATTCTCCTGAGCTACTATATAACTCTGCTAGGAGAAAGTACACATTGACCATCACCTCTAACTGAAGTTTCATTTTCTTTCCTCCACCATCCACCATCCAGCTCCAAAGAAGAGAAAGCCCCTGATACCTGAGGAACCCTTTTAAACATGACTGGTCTGTGGTGTGCTATAAAAACAACACAAAAAACAATCAAACAAACTTGTGGACAAAAAACACATTTTATGCAATTAAAAAACCACATTTATATGCTACAGAATGTTATGACTGTAACTCTTCATCTGTATACAGCTGTTTTCAAGAAAGGTTGTTGGAAAAAGGAAAAAACTACACTAACAAACTTGTTGGTCATCTGGGGTTTGGTGATCAATGAATTTTAATAAGTCCAAAAAATAAATAAATTCATCAAACCCACCATGCCTCTTCCTTACAGGGATGCTTTCTCAGATTTGCTACTGTAAAGTCCTGAGGTCTAGCGACAGTGACCTGGAAACTACCCACAATACTTTTTGTGGTTGTCTTGTACTCTTAAATGCTTTTTCCAACAACTTTTCTCAAAATAGCAGTATATGAAAGAGAAGGACTCCCTTTACAAACCAACAACCATCCTCATTCTTCCCCCTCCTTCCATCCCATGGTCATTGTTGGGATCTTCTGTTCTAGCAGCAGAGTTTGAATTGGGAGATTTCCTAACTTTGCCTGTTTATACAAACTTTTATTTAATCCATACATGGATATTTTGAGCGAGTCCATACACAAAGAATAAAAATTGACACATGCTACTCTATACCAAGTTTTTTATTTGAATAAATTCTAATTAATTCTGCCAACCTTCTTTGAGAGGGATTGTCCAAGACACACATGGAACTGGTTATCAAATACCTGAAGGATTTTCAGAAGCATTATCCTCTGTTCCATAGTCTCTGCCCGCACCATCAATCTGGACAGCCTCAATGCCTGGTCACTGTGTACCAACCCTCTGTGATCACCTAGAAGTTTCTCAACCTCATCTTCCAACTTAAAACAAAATTAGAGAATAATGTCTTTTGGTGAAAAAATTGATTGTAAACAAAAAAACAAAAAAAGTGCCTCAAAGTTCAGTTGCAAATTCATATCATAGACATCAACTTGCAGTCTGGTAGGTGAAATGATATTGAATTTCATCAATCATTGTGTTAGACGATGTTTACCAAAACTAACTCAAATTTGAGAAAAGTTGTGACACATTTTGAGTCAAAGGGAATTCCCCTTCACTTCCAAGTGGATATTTACTACTAAAACTCTGTATCCTACCACAGAAAACATACATGCAAATGAGCAATCTCATCAGGGACAAGCTAAAGAACAGGCCATGGTTGTTGGGAGAGTGCATAACACTATCCACTGAAGAAGTCTCTATCCAGTGGATGGCACAGTAAATTGGATAGCATTTTACAACTGAACTCTGCTGGATAGCCTTGTCTACCTGTTAAACCACCATGCTCAGAGTGATAGACTATACAACAGCTTCATTGCTACATTGCAACAAAAGTACAAATCATTATAATTTGTTCTTCATCTCACCGTCATATCATCAAATTCATTTGACAAGTTCCTTGTTTGCTTTTTCCGTCTCCTCCTTGGTGAGCTTGTGATAGGTGGGGTTGCTTCCATGGAGAAAAAAAAAGAAAAGCATGAATTACACCTAAATTGTGTGAAGTGGGGTATGGACTACAAATTTATCTATTTTTAAATATAACTTAAAACAATCCAAGCAAACTGTTATGAATATTAATTTTGAAAAGGGAGGTAATGTTATACAAAACATGAAACCAAATTTTCACTATTACTAAAACTTTATGGTTTACTTGATTTATTCAACTTATAAATTTTATCATATCTGTATTTTATATAATTATAGACTAATTAGTTTAGGCAGGTCCACATCAGCTGTAAAGTTGCGCAAATTTTAACCTGCGTTATCAAATAAAGTTATGTATGTATGTATGTATGTATGACCTTATCCCTCTACAGTCTAGTATCAGTATGCAGATTCTCTGTACTGTTCTCTATACATTTCATAAGGTGCTGACAAGGAGAATTTGTCAAACAATCAAGAGCTTCTTCAATAGGTGATCATTTTATTCATTCTAATGACTTTAACCATTCAACTCCCAAAATCTGATTGTTAATTCTCCCCTCTAGCTGCTACACATTTCCTAGTAATTTAGTTAAAAGAATTTGATGTTAGATCGAGATAAAAACTTAAACCTGATCAGTTTGAGTATTCTCATTATTGGTTTATTGGATAGTGTACGGATATTAAAGGGAGAAGTTATATGTTCAATACTTCTGGGAGTTAACGTGTTAATGTGTGACTCAGGGGGGATATCACAGGGAGAAAGTAAATCCTGGTCACTCACAGGGTTGTAATTAAAAATCGTTTTGCATACTTATTCTTTCCACTGTGTTCTTCAGAGGTGTTTGCTTGTCTCCTCCAATAAATCCACGACAATTTGGTGCTTCACAATGGCAAATCTGAGCAACTTTCCTGATTGATGACAAAAATTATATCAATGAATTTTTTGTAAGCTTCTCCTTCCCAGTTCAAAGGGATCTTCTTTCTGTGTTACAGCTGTACAGTTCCTCAAATTTTAAAATCTCTCAGTTTAGTGTCACCCACAGACATGAAGCTTTGACAGTAGCATGTACATTGTCCACCTACCCATAGCGCTGCAGTTTGTAATCGAACGTGAGCTCTGCACCAGCTGGGATGGGTCTCTGAGTAAAAAATCCAATCCTCAACAAGCCATGAACAGTCCACTGCAAGAAGTAAAAGAACAAAAACCATTCAGTTCTCATCTTAACCCTTTACACTCGAACATCAGTATGCACACTCTCCATACTGCTCTCTAAACAATTCCTAAGAAGCTGACCAGGAGAATTTGTTCAACAATCAAGAACTTCTTCAGTTACTGATCATTTCCTTTATTCTCAAGACCTACAGGTTTGATTCAGGAGTAATATTGTGGGGAGAAATTAGATGCTAGTCACTCTTAAGGGTTAAAGGATTTAAGTACAGTTGTAGATGTGTTTTCTTTCAGTTTCCTGTCAATCAATCTACTGTAGATTACTTCTAGAAAAAGAAGTGAAAAGCTGGTGTTATTGATTATGATATAAAATGGTAAAATGGACTAAACAATTTATTAAACTACCTTTTGAGTTTCACAGTTTGAGTCACAGCTGTGGTTGATAAACCGAGACAAGTTCCCCTTGTAGGTGGCATCAATTAGCTGAACAAAGAAGGAATTTTAAAGAAGCTATAACTCATTAAGTAACAAAACCGTATACTATAATGATTTGTCTACCTACATGTACTGTACTACATTTAATATTTAATATTTCAGCTAAGAAGATGGGCGCTTATTGGAAGGAGGGCACTGAATTAAGGGGGGTGCTTATTACTCTCCTCTACTGATTGCCCTTTGGTTGAGACAATAGAAACAGGTTTTCCTTGTGTCCCTATTATTTAGGAAGTGAGGAAGGGGGGGGAAGGTGCTCTTTTAAGATGGGTGCTTAAGGCCTGAGGGATGGAGACTTATTTGGGAGAGGGTGCTTATCAGAGCTTGAGCTCTGATTCAAGGAATAAGCATATATCAAAATTTAATTTCCCACAATGGATGATTTCAACATCACTTATTCAGGCTCAAAGCTAGATGTAAGTAACATATGAATCTAGTAAACAACTTGGCTGGCTACAGAGTTCCTTGTAGCTCAGTTGATAAAGAATTTGAAAATGATAACAGGCTGGAGATTATACCATTAACCTGATTGGAGTTCATGCTATTTAAATACGTTCTTTGTCCACATAGTTGACAATTGAGTAACAATTATTAAGCAGGGTTTTAGATAAGAATCCCAGAAAGCAGCAAGGGGGAGTGACTAAGGAGAGAAGGGATACCTCCTGGCATGTGTGCAACCACTTGAAGGGGTCTAGGGGCACACCAACCCTCCTCCCACCCCTCCCTCCATAAAAATGGTAAAACTCGGGTCTCAGAGAATGCATTTTGTGCACTTTGAAGTAATAATCAGGTCATTTCAGTGAAACTAATCATTGTCATTTCATTCAGCAAAAGGAGCAAAATCATGTGAAGTAGCTTAACAGACCTCCAGCTCTTCTTGAAAATCCTGCTCACTTTTACTAAGATGTCATTACTGTTGGGTATAATGATCTACTGAAAAGCCTTAAGATGACCAAAGAATTTACCAGCACTCATCACAGCAGTGCTGTTATTGTCTCTACTTAAAAAAAAAAAAAAAAAAAGATTTCCAATCCTTACCTCATCAGCTCTCAATGTCATGAAGTAGTAGTGTCTTCTGTTTTCTCTATCATAACGCTCTGCTCTTTCCTGGAAATCTTTGTAGTTCATGACTTCTCCACAGTACTCCATAACAAACTGATTCCTGAACAACAGTTACAACTTTTAATTGGGTGACAAAAGTAATTGGGTATTGTTTTTGTTTTTTGCTATACTCTGCTCTGTGATTGGTCCCAAAAATTAAAAAGTAAGGTGAAAACACGAAATTAAAGACCTGCAAAATTAAGTACGAATAAGGCATTTCCTTCCTGAAGATATAAGTAAAATATAAACTTACGATTCCAGATCTTCAAGAGTTCTCAATCCCCAGCCTTTCTTCTCTGTTTTAAACACTTCAACTTTCACTTTACAGCCCTGCAAAAAGTGTTGTACATGTACGTGAATTTGAAATCCTCTCATGGTTGATAACAGCATATAAGAAGTGATTAAGATGTAACTTCTTCCTATAATATTTGTATATCATCTGGCAACTAGTAAGGAGAATACTTATACCTATCAGGTAGAATTTGTTAAATTGATCAAACACCAAATTCTCACAACTACTTTAGAACGAAATGTGTAGCCAATCAGATCTTGGGAGTTAAAGGGTTAAAATACCCATTATCTTTGTTGGCTGCTTTGTTGGGCTAATTGCAACCAATCACTCTTTATATAGTACTAATTACATTCAAGGAGGCACACAAGCCTAGTTTGTATTGCCAAGATCTTTTACAACTCAGATCTAATTAGTTCAGCCACAAAATTTCTTTATGGTCAAATAAGCTGGATCAGACTTAGATGAAATGAAATCTGCCTTATGAACAGATGACAAACTTCACTCTACCAAGCTCTATAAAAGGATAATTCTCTTAATTACTATTAGATATAAATATTGATTCTCCCAGCTGTTTGCCATGCAGTTTACATAATTAACGCTTCAAGAATTTGGCAACAAATCAAACAATATCCTTTCATTGAGATTTTCCTATTTCCTTGTAACCTTGATATTTGAGAATGTACTGATGTGGCAAAGAGAAATTCTTCTTCGGTCACTCTAAGGATTGAAAGGGTTAAAGAGGCAGTTGCTTCAACAGCTAACCCTTACCATTTCAGGAACATCAATCTTAATGCTGTAATGATAGTTTCACTAACCTGTTGAAAACGTTTATTGCTACACATCTCTCCGCAAGCACACCTGCTGTTACTATTTGGAGATCAATGAAAGACAATGTGAGAAGGTAGACTTTTAGCAAAATTAACCAACAAGAGACGAAAAGATACCAACCATTCTATCATCAGCAATCTGTTAAGACAGTCCTCGCCACAACCATTGGAAAATGGATCATCTGTCAAAAAAATATATCAATATGTTCAACAACAAAAAAATCATGTTTCCATACATCTGTTCAGTAAAAATTGGATCAATGTCAGTATCTGATCAACTGAGCACCTACCCCTCTCCTAACCCAACATAAATCCTAACTTGTTATCAGTTGACTGTGGTTGAATTAGGGGAGGAGTAGGTGTGCAGTTGTTCAGATACTGACATTGATCAAGGAGACCACAGATGATGTTGAAATGTGGTAAGAACAAGACAAAGTAGCACACAAGGCACAGCTGAGTGTGACACTGATATTCCTACTTTAAAATAAATATGTAATCTATTTGTTTTATATCATAAAAAGGCATAGGGCAGGTCATGCTCAGCTTATCTCATAAAATGTGATTAAGAAGACCTTGACAGTGGATTGCTAAGTTCATGTAAAATGCCCATAGCCATATTCAGCATATAGTGAAGTCTGTGCATCAAAGCCATTAACTTACCAGGATCTAAGGTACAATCGCACTGCATTCTGCGCACTTCCTTGTTTACTTTCTTCTTTCTGAAACATGAGATGAAAAATGTGTTGCCCAGATAACAGTAACAAGTTGTTTGAAGGGTAGAAAACTCAATTATTTTACATTATGATATAATTGCATGCTGCAATCAGTAATTAAACATGAAACCCACCTGTCAAATAAGTACTCATTCTCTTCAATATGCTCATAGTAAGGCGGCTGACATTCTTCGGTTGAAGAAATGACATGCTCCCCAGACACCTGGGAAAGTAACAGTATTCATAGGTATTTTCAGGTACTTTTAATATTGACCCGTTCACTCTCAAGATCTTATTAAAAATTCTCCTTACTGTCTGCCATACAGTTCTTGTGATATTAGTTTGGAGAATTTGGTATAATCCCCTAGTTGGTATTTTTCTTTATTCTCATTACTTGTCTGCTTAATATTGTATTGTTATTGTCAGGAGAAGTTCTGTCTTGGTCACTGATGGGAGTTTAGGGGTTAAAAGTGGAAAAATTTCAGGAAGACCCATGGACTTCAAGACATATTGTAACTATTTAAAGCTTCCCACACCAGATAAAGTGACAGGTTAACAATTTGCAAATAGATTCCAGGATGCCATGCATTTGATCAGTAACCAATCAGAGATGACGTCAAAATGTGGTAAAAAAAAAAAAAAAAAAAAAAAGCCAAGTGCATCACCACATCTCCACATTTTCTGTGACCTATTCATAAACAGACTCATGGCAACATGGAATCTATTTGTCTCTTATAGTAGAATTAATGATAATGTTATTTATGCATCTCTCCTTCAATCAATTATCAGTAAGGACTAATCAAAATGCATGCACCATTCAGCTCATTATATAAGTTACCACAGCACTAGTGACCAGGCAGAAACAAAAAAGAAATTATACTCACATCTTCATCACTGTCAGACCTGGAAGAAGAAAAAAGAAACATTTTAAAATGTTACCAACATATCTCACCACCATTTTAACTCTTTCACTCCCAAGATCTGATCATTAAATCTCTCCTCAAGCTGCTACACATTTCCTTTTAAATTAGTTATGAGAATTTGGTGCTAGATCAAGATAGCAGCCTCTACCAGACAAGTTTGAATATTCTCATTACCTGTTTGCTGAATAATGTGTGGATATTATAAGGAGAAATTTCATGGGAGTCTGGGAGTTAAAGGGTTAAGTAGATCAAACTGGAATTAGTAACTTTAATTATATGGGAAAGGTATTCATACCTTCTAGAACAACACAACTGAACTCAATGCATTTGTATTCAGACATGACAAACTCAATGCATTTGTATCCAGACATGACCAACTAATGCATTTGCATCCTGACATGACAAACTCAATTGATGCATTTGTATCCAGACATGACATACTAAATGCAATTGTATGCAGACATGACAAAGTAATGCATTTGTATCCACACATAACAGCTTACACATGTACCAAGCCCATAACATTTTGCAACAAGAATTAACAAACAAAAGCAAGGGAAACAATTTACTTCTACATGCCTTAGTTTTTGGGGTGTATCAAAATTTTTCCTCTGACCTTTTTCTTACAGCTTTGTAATTGTATATCAAGAACACAACACTCTCAAATTACATGCAGCCCCTTGGACACTTGACTTAATTTAACTTAATTGGGTGAGGTGGCCAGTTTGCTAAGAAAGACTCAAAATGGCAGCATCCAAGGGTAAAATCTGTGTCACATTTAAGGATGTCACAGTTTAAGAATCACAAAAGACAGGCAGTATTATTATTTCATGTTAACTTATTACTGGCAGAGATATCATTGCAAGGTTTTGTAGCATACTTGTCCTTTGACACTTGCTAAGCAGAAAATGTTTTAAGGATTTTCTGAGAAACTGATGTTATTTTTCTGTGAATTGTAGAGAAAACCATCCCCACCCCCACCCTTGTGAAGATTTGCCAGCATTTTACAACAGCAGACATGATCAGTAAATTGATAATAAAAATGTTTGTGTATCATGACTAAATACTGTTGTATTAATTAAAATTGAGTTTCAGATTGAAATTTCAATACACAGCATTTGCAATCCGATCCAGCTCCAATTAAATAAATTTGCCCAAGTGCTACCTCCCCCACGACCACTGAAGATTTCACAATCTCCTTTGCAACGTAACGATGGCAGATGCGCAAGTTCGTTCTGTTTAAACGAATTAACACTTTGTTTGTTCACGTGTGTTTGAAAATAAACCTCAAAACGCATGTTTGTCAGACGGTTCGCTTAAAAATCAGAGGGTACGGAAATTCTATGGTCAGATTTAAAGGCCAACTTTGGTTAGCTCCTTCCTTCCGCTCCGCCAATTAGTTATACTTTGTCGTCTCGACGGTCGAAGTGGGCTGCAAGATTGATTTTCTCCGTTTAAAATCATACATAAAATATTTTAAAGCTTTGTAAAGGGGAATAGCTAGTAATTCAGTGTATCTGTAGTCTTTTGAGCCACTTTCGCGAGAGGACATGCAAATAGGTAGACAGGACTCGTGGGATTTAAAACGGGGTCAAGGCGGACTTCACTGTAGACTCCCTCAGGGAAATCAACCCAAATTGCAACCTGCCACAGAATAAAACTTGCTATAAAACTACACAATAACTCACGATTTCATCACATTAATACCTGAAAAAATCACAGATCGATTTAAATTTTCATTTATCGCAGATGTGTATACAGAATCCAAAACACGCTATCGAGCCATTACACTACACTCTCTATGTAAGCCTATACACCATAATAGTTAAAAAGCTTTGCGATTTTTCACTCAAAGACTTAAACTTTGTCGTTGATAATTTTTTCTGACTCGTATACTTACCCACTGTCATCTGTATGACCAGAATTATCCGATCTTTCCTCAGTAGTCATGTCTCGCAAATATTTCTAAAATTCAACCCCTAAATAGAAATGAAAGGCGATAAAATGTGCTTTGCAAACAATGCAAGCTAAGTGTGACGGTCCTGCAAAGTGAATGTTTTCTCCACGATCTTTTCCTCGGCGTCGACAAATTTTCCACAATATCTAAATTATTTGATTCTTTTCTCCTTTCTACAACGGAACAGCAACGCCACACTCAAATCCATTACGAATAACGGCCTACACATATGCAATAACATCAGCAAATCTATCGCCTTTCGCATCCAACGCTCGCGGTAGAGCGACCGAGTGTTGGTACATCCGGGAAACTGACGGACTGCCACGTGTTCCAATTGGTCTGTCCTGCTAGTAAACTTTGGGAGACTTTCAGCTTTGATCAGTATACAAATATTACTTGATTTCCTATTTTCCCATAGTATTGCGACAAAAACTATCAATCTTACCCAAACGCCACTTTCTATGCGTCGGTGGTAAATTTTCAACTATTTTTTCATCTGAGCTTGATTGTGGCGACTGAATGAGAGTTGTCACATCACGGCGAATTCTCCATAGTTTGTGTGGAAAATGCGCGGGATGAGATTTGTGCTTGCCTCAGTGAACAAAACAAGTGTGTTAGCCTTTCTGCAGTGTTCGGAAGCGTGATAAATTATTCACAAGGGATTGCCACTCAGGTAGAGGTTGGCGAGGGTAAACAACGTAGGCTATCGGAAGGCCACCCGTCATCATCAATGGTATAATTTTCTCAAAGAAGGCATAAATTGCCTTTTACGCGAATTTCATAACGGCTACCTAGAGAAAATCGGGGCAAACCCACACACGTATCTAACAATGAGTGGATATCTGGGAGACCTCTCTGCTTCTCAACAAAAGAGCCTTGAGGAATTTAAAGGAATGTTAACAACAGAGACCATTAGTGATGAGGTAAGGTAAACTATGACCGGTAGGGATCGAGATCCCAATGAAATCTTGGATCCGTTTATTACCACTGCTGTACCTAGGCGCGATAAGTTTTTTTTTCACGTGTGAATGCTAACAAAGCTATTTCGTGTGGAGCTGTTGGCTAATAAATTGTTTGGAGGCTAACATCCGATCTTTCCTGTATGTTTACGTCGGGATGCGATGTAATAAAAGTTAAATTAGCTCTGAGCTTATATTTACGATTCGTTGTTAAAACCCTGAAAAGTAAAATGATTTTTTAATAAATGATGTGGAAATGAGCTATTGAAATAAGCAAAATTTCCGCTTTGTGCCCCTTCTTTGTCGCAAAGCTGTGTCACTACGGTATGCTTTTTCAAGGTCGATGAAAATTACTCTGGAGAACTCAGCTTCCCAAGCAAGAAATTACTGAATGTATTAATCAACGAATATTAATGACCAACTTCATACGATCGATGTTTACATGACCGTTCAGTCCCTGGAGCTCGATATCACCCCTCACGATAAATGCAGTATATTTATAGATCACCTGCACGTTGGCACGTCATTTTCATAATCCCCTCTTTGCAATAATACAACGTGTGGATTACGTCTAGGTGCATGTATTACGTGATATTTTTTGTGCCGATGCTGACGGAAAGTAAACATAGAATTAGGAATGCATCTCCCCGATGTTTCAGCAACTCTTATAAAATCTTTCGTTTTTCAAAGGTTTTATCGCATTATGCATGAATTTATAACTTGCTTCACAATTAGCTATTATAATATTAATTGTAAATATATTAAACAAAGGGAAAGGACCTGTTCGCGAAAAAATATATTATTTAATTGTTTTTTTTAATTGTTTGTTGTTTGATTGTAACGTTCAGCTTTCCTTTGTGGAGATATTTTCTTATTGCCTCAAAAGTGGGAAAATTATAAATATATTTTATGAAAAACTTGATCTGATTTATAGTAGTTAGAAAATATTGACAAAATCATCTTTTTTTTCTTATTAAGGTTGTGTAATTTTCAGCAGTTTCTTTGAGATAAATGTTTAACTTGCCTGGCTTTATGAAATTATGCAAACTTGGAATATTCATAATTTAAATAAGAGAGGCTCTTTTACAAAACGTTTGTGACGGTGATTGTTTGAAAGTGTAAATTATGAAATTTTCTGGTATCAGAGCATGCACAAATTATTTCAGCAGAACAACACCTGTCTGTCAAGTTGGGTTAATATCTTCTCTCAAATCTGAAAGGGTGTAAGTTGGTTTGTAGGTAGTGCTTTGCTATTGATACTGCTATATTTAAAAAGCAAGAACAAAGAAGGCCAGAAATCTTTTCATCATAATGAAGTCAGTTTGTGCTTATAATTAGTATTATGTTCTATTGTTTAGGATGTTCAGAAGGTTTCCAATTTCAAGAATAATTATTAGAAATTCACAACTGTTAATTAGCTGGGTTTAGTTTACGTTGATTCTGATGAATTCTGGAAATTTTTTTGCATAGAATTTCAAGTTACCTTACCTTGGAGAAAAATCTTCTTAATCATTACATTGTGGTCACACTTTTTGCTCAGAATTTTTTCACAAATACACTAAACAAAACTACTTATTTCCAAACTTGTTGTCAACTTTCCAATGCTATGGAATGATTTTTAGCATTTATTTAAAAAAAAAAAACAATGATAATTTCCTAGCAAAATCTTTACAACTTTACATGCACTTTATTTTTATATTCCCTAAACTACAAAAGGCTGATCATTTTTGAAAGTGTGTTCCTTCACGGTATAAAAGATGTTGTATCTCATTGTAAAACTTAAACTGTCATCTGCAAAGCTAGAAAACTTGCTGGACATTTCCTAATGTGTTTTTTTTTCATAAGTTTTGTTGTGTGTGATTTTTAAGATTATCTGCATATCAAGGCCAGCAAGGATATAAAATCTGGTCTTATTCTTCTCAATTTCCTAATGTTAACCCTTTAGAGCCTAACATCAGTGTGTACATTCTCCTTAATATTCTGTATGCATTTCCTAAGGTGTTGTTGAGGAGAATGTGTTTCACAATCAAGAGCTTTTTTAATTGGTGATCGTTTCCTTTATTCTCCTGATCTTGATGTATGATTTAGGGATGATACTGTGAGGAGAAATTAGATGCTAATCACTTTCAGGGATCATAGGTATAACAGGAATCTGATACATTTGTTTTAGGCAACTCTACTGAGATTTTTACGGGCCCGCAGTTTTGACACGAAGGCTGCTTACAAGTAAGACATTCTCTTAATTTACAGTTACTTTGTATAGTTCAACACAAATATAAGTTGATAGTCCCATGTATTTGATTGATAATTGAGGATTGAGGTTTGTGGCAAAAGCTGTTCGAGAATGACTGTGGAGAAATTTTTTGATAGAGACAACAGAAAACTTTTAATTGGGTTAATTTTTTGACACAGCTGAATTTTTTTCTTTACATTCAAACTGAGTGAAATCCTTAGTTCTGAATTTTTGTAAAGTAAGATTATTGTGTATTGTGATGCAAGTGTTCTCCCACTCCCATTTTTTGGTAGCCAGTACATACAGACCCAGGAGTGGCGTGTTAACAATGATATAGATCATGTCCTCGAACGTGAGGTAAGTTTTCTTTGCTTTTTTTATCATGAGTGTGAGTATGAACTTAGTCAGTAAGTGTGCTAGCTCTCAGATTACATACATGTATTAGTCAATTCGTCAGCCTGTCAGTCAGTCAGCCAGTCATTCAGTCAGCTAGTCAGTCATCAGTTGGTCAGTCATTCATTCTGTCAGCTAGCCAGTCAGTCAGTTGGTTAGTTGATAATACGTTAGCAAGTCAGTTAGGCAGTCATTCAGTCTGTCAGTCAGTCTGTCAGTCAGTCATTCAGTCAGTCATTCAGTCAACTAGCCAGTCATTCAGTCAATCAGCAAGTCAGTCAAATAGTCAGCGAGTCTGTCAGTCAGTCATTCCATCAGTCAGTCAGTCATTCCATCAGTCAGTCAGTCATTCAGCTAGTCAGTCTGTCATTCAGTCCATCAGTCAGTCAGTCAGTCAGTCAGCAAATCAGTCAGCAAGTCACTCAGTCAGTCAGCCAGTTGTCATTCAGCAAGTCAGTAAATCAGTCAGTCAGTCAGAAAACTACTATTTAGCCCATTTGTTCATTGCACATTCTTTTAATGAGGTGATCAATCAGACTTTCACTTGTGCAACTAGTGGTCATTAAATTAATGTTACTGTAATTTTCTGCAAAGTTTGAGAATTTTTTAATAAATGCTTAGCTCTCTTCCCATTTTGATTTTCACAATAATTTATTCTCTTATTTTTCCAGAGACCATTAGATGAAGAGATGAAAAAGGTATTAATATTCTAGACAGGCATATATATGTCATGAAGATCCAGCAATGTGAAAGGAATTGTAAATAGAGGTTTACATGTATTTATTTAAAAGTATCCTTGGCAAGATTTTTATTTATACAAATTCACATTTTTTTCCATTTATTTACATCCAAGATCGTATCCTGCAGTTTTCACAAATATGATAAACTTGGACGCCCCTGTTACATTGAACACACAGGAAGAACTGATACCACTGCCCTGATGAAGGTTTGTTCCAAACATTTAAAATGGATCAATTTTTGTACTGTATTTGTCACGTAAAATGTATTTCTAAAAAGATCCTTTGTTTCTTTTTTTTAAATCTCAAAACAGATTCAAATTAAGACTTGCTTATCTTTTTACATGTAGCTTCCTCAAGACCAATTCATAGGATGGCACATTTGGAATAACGAAAGACAAATTCAAAGAATGATTGAACTTTCCACAAAACTTGTGAGTAACTTGAACCCTTTAAGTCCCACTAGTGACCAAGACAGAATTTCTCCTTACACTGTCAGTACAATATCAAGTGGACAAGTAATGAGAATAAAGAAAAATATCAACTAGGGGATTATTAGTTGATCCAATACCAAATTCTCCAAACTAATATCATATGAATTATGTGGTAGACAGTAAGGAGAATTACTAATAAGATCTTGGGAGTTAAAGGGTTAATAAAAGTTATACTTGACTTGTCCCCAGTAGCCTACCAAGCAGATGAGTTAAAGAGAGGTTTGTTGGGAGTCTGGCACTAATTGTCAGTGCTAGATCAGGGCGTGAAATTGCGCCTAATACAGCCACCAATGCGACTAAATTTTTTTACTTTGGCGACCAAATCCTGAAAATTAGTCTCCAAATTGGCGACTGGAATGTTTCATCATAACCTTACTTAGAGATATAGTGAATTAAAAAGATTTGCAAAGATAAATCCGCGGCAAACTTCCTCGTTAAGTTTGTTTCCGAAATGCAGCACAGGCAGCAAGATCAATAACTAGACGCCATCTTGGATTTAGGCTAGCTTGAACGTTGCATATCATCCATCCTAGTGTCCACTTTGTAGCACGTTAAATATCTTTTCCCTAACTTAATTTCTAGAACAATGACAGCATTAAAAAAAAAAAAAGGTTTGGTCTTTGAAAATGGCGACCAACTTCTTTTGAATTGGCTACCACTTTGAAGAATTTAGGAGCCAAGTGGCTATCAGAAAAAAAATTAATTTCACGCCCTGTAGATGCTTTGCAGACCTCTTGCTGGTTGCTTAAGAGAGAAATTAGAATCTTGTCACCCCTAAGGATTAAAAGGGTTGTGACAAACCTTGAAAATATGCTGCAATTACTCAGTAAATATGTTTCTGTCTGAGCACAACAGTTGAAATTAGCAATCTTGCAATGTCTTGTAGGCAAAACCACACAATGCATGAAGTTTCATGAGTTGATGTAAGCTTTGGCCTTAACTGCATAGTTTTTAAATGATCTATTTAATAATATTAATTTTAGAAAATGCAAGACACGCGTTTTTCTTTGATTTACAGGGACAACCAGTAGAAACAATGGTTCATATTCACGATATGACTGGGGCAAGTATGAGTCTAAGGTAATTTAATAATTAAAATTAAATGCTTTGTCTAATTTCTGTCAACTGTGTACACCCTAACATCAGTTTGCATATTCTCCTTCCTGTTCTCTTTACATTTCCTAAGGTGCTGGCAAGGAGAATTTCATCAACAATCTAGAGTTTATTTAGTTGGTGATCATTTCCTTTATTCTCCTAACCTTTGTGTTTGATTCAGGGGTAATATTGTAAAGAGAAATTAGATACTTGTCACTCTTAGGGATGAAAAAGGTTAAGGATCAGACAGGATTCGCAGTGTGTAGCCCTATAAGCTTCTTACTCATGTTCAAAATTATTAGAACTTGAAATAATGACAAATGTACATGACTGTGTAAGTTAATTTTGTTTCAGTTCTCCCTCTCTAGAAAGCATGTAAACATATACCTTTCCTTTTACTTCTCATTAGCCTGTCCAAGTTTTATAAATGCTGTCATTTTTTGAACAGGAAAACCTTGAATTTCTTTAAAAGAATAGCAAAACTTGATCAAGATTACTACCCTGAAAGAATGGGAAAGGTACACATTATTAGTGTTTGTTATGTATGATATAATAGTGCAACTGACTTTTGTCCTCAAATGTTTTTAGGGAAAATATTTGAGTCCTCTCATTTTTTCATTGTCCATGTCACCCCTCCCTAGCAAACAAAACTTCTTAACCTGGGCCTGAAAACTTACTCTGCTTGAAGAGAAAAGTCCACTTAGCCATCAGGTTCTTCAATGAAAAGGTGTACAAAAGCTCAAATGATTTCCCTGTAGCAAAATGAAACAGGCTTTCGTGAGGATTGCGAGGAATTGAAATGGTTTAGATAAGAAACTCAGAATTATTTATCTTGTGGCTGACAGTGATCCAAAAGGATTGCAGGCCATGAATTGGGCCACAGGTATCAGGCTGTGAAGTTGATGGCCACCCAAAACCATTAAACCTTTAACTCCCAAGATCTGATTGTTAATTCTCCCCTTTAGCTGTTGCACATTTCCTTGTAAATTAGTTATGAGAACTTGATGCTGGATCAAGATAGCAGCTTCTACCTGATAAGTTTGAATATTCTCATTACCTGTTTGCTGAATAATGTATGGATATTGTAGGGAGAAGTTTTATGTTAATCACTTCTGGTAGTTAAAGGGTTAAACCCAAATATTATATTAATAATTTGTAATATATTAGGATCCAGACCCCTTGCATTAAGGAACTGAAGTACATGCAGTTGACCTTAAAAAAATGGCAAGCACATGGTTCATGTTGTGAGCTCCAAAATATTACAGTCAAATAACAGTTATAATTATTATAAATAATTATGTGATGTCCACTTGTTTTGATTAATGATTTCTACCTGCTATTTATTTCATTTTCAGATTTTCCTTGTCAACACCTCATGGTAAGATAACACAACAAAAAGTTACTTCTTGATGGCATAGCTGCCTTTACATGGTTGCCATCTTTATTTTAAACCTGTGATTTCAATTGATTGTGTAGTACACTGAGCTTTTTGATATTCACAAAAGAGGAAGCAGGATTATTTTCTGATCCTAAGCTTTGATGCTTTCTAGGGTTTTTCCAGTCCTTTGGAGAATAGCCAAGATTTTCGTGGACCCAAAGACGAGAACGAAATGTGTTGTGCTTAAAAGCTCAGAGCTCAGCAAACTCTGTGACTATTTTGATCCTAAGGATTTGCCAGAGGAATTTGGAGGCACTTGTAGATGTGACAATGGCTGTCTTCCTCCTATACCCAAACACATGGTAAGGTTGATAGTTTTGACAGTCAAAAATTGTCATTCAGTAAGTCCACTCAGGTGATATCTCAGGTGATCAAGATCTCTGATTATTGAAAGAATCCTCCCTTTGAATTAAAAATTTTCAGGGACCTAACTTCCACACAAACTCTACACGAGCTGTTGTCTAGTCTTTTGTTTTGCTGTCTGACACCATCATGAAACGACAGCTTGCATTTATTTCAACCAAACATCTAACCCAGGCATACTCACAGTATTTAATCAGATTTATTATTCATTTACCCCTTTTTCTTGACACAGATATGAACCCTTTCACTCCCAAGATCTCATCAGTAATTCTCCTTACTATCTGTCATACGATTCTTGTGATATTGATTTGGAGAATTTGGTATTGAATCAACAAAAAATCCCCTCATTGCTATATTTCTTTATTCCCATTTCTTGTCTGCTTAAGATTGCATTGACACTGTAAGGAGAAATTCTCCTTGGTCACTCATGGGAATAAAAGGGTTAATAATTTTTATTTCTTTTGTGATAAGAATTGAAATTGATTTTTTGTAGCTAGAAGTGAAGGACAATCCACAACTGATAGAGCAGACAATAGGTATGCCATTGTACATCCAAAACAATATTTAAAAGGTGGCATGGGGGGTAAGGTGAGAGAATTAGGGGTGATGGATGATGAACAATGACCCTGTTCCCACCCCCCTCAGCAATGTTTCTTTACCCAGATCATAGTTTCCAGAATCATACCTGAATCAAATCAGGGGGAAATGGAAACTTTCTGACATTTCTGTTGTTATCCCTCAGAAACAAGCTGAAATTTGCATGTAGGCCAGTGCTCAAGGCAAAAGGATTTTGTAACCGTTTTATCACTTTTAATGCCCTTAAAGCCTAACCTATTTTATTGGAAATTTATATGTAATCAACATATTTTATTTACAAACATAACAGATATACAAACATTTTTTTATAAAACCTTGCTTTAAACCACTGATGGTTCTTTGTATTATAAGTTATTATTGATATTATCTTTTGTAAAGCGATTATAAATTATCTATCTTTCCATTACTTATGACTCCTACTTTGCTTGGTCAGTAGTGCTCTTAATTCATCTCTGATTCCATCTTTAATGAAAACAAGCCTCAACTCCTCAGTTGTCAATGCTTGCAGTAACATTATAAAAATATGATTGTGAATTTCTAAAAAAATTTATATCCTGCAGGACCCAAGAAATCATTTACATATGAAGTAAACTGTGATAACAAGAAAGCTGACACGTCCATAGCATGGTATTTTAAAGCTACAAGGTGACTCTCATTTAATTTTAGTACACAAAAGTCCATTTTACGGTTGCACGCTTGGTTGCTAAGTCTTTTTTTCAGGAGTGAGGTTAAGGGTGACCTTGTTATGATACAAACTTTGCTGTGTTTCAAATACAAATTTATTTGTTATCATGCTCACTAGATACTGGTCTCCATGACGACACATGGTCACCTTCAGCCTCACTTCGAATCAAAGGCTTGGCAACTAAGTACACAACTGTAAAATGGCCTATTGATCAACTGCCCTTAATCTTTCAAATGTTGCAATAGGGTTTTTCTAGACTGGCTTTTTTATATAGTACAGGTGCATGAACTTGTTTACAGAGAAAAATAACCAGAGATAAAGATCTACCTGTCTAGTCTAACCTAACTCAGTCAATAAGTATTGTATGGTATTATTACCCCTATTTTTTCTCTTTGTTACTTTTTGTGCGACTGGATGGCTTTTTCTGGTCTGCTTGTACCGTTATGTTTGGCTACATACTAGGTTTTATTATGATCTTAAAAGAAAAACTTGTGAGTCTGTATACTGGTCTAATGATGTTGATCATTATTTCTTGTTTTGTAGTAAAGATATTCAATTTGGAATTAAGTTCAAGGCCAAGCCTCATTCAGGATGGAAAGACAATGAAAATGAAATTGAGGAGATCTGGGTTGAGGAGCTTGAGCCAATTACAGAATGTGATATATCAGTGACTGGGTAAGGTTGGATCTAGTGCATAATTCTCCCCTCTAAGAGGTATATATTTCCCTGTAAATGAGTGGAGAGAATTTGGTGTTATATCAATATCAGGCTGATTTACCTGCTTCAAGGATAACTTTAACTCTTGAACTCCTAGCGGTGATTCATATGTAACTTCTCCCTTTAATAGCCATAGATTATCCAGCAAACAAATAATGAGAATGCTCAAAATAATCAGGCATATGTTATTATCTTGATCTAACACCAAATTCTGGCAACTAATTTACAAGGAAATGGGTAGCAGCTAGAGGGGGGAATTGATAATCAGATCTTGAGTGTTAAAGGGTTAAGGAAAAGTTAAATGAATTAACTTTGGTAAGCCATTTCAATTTGTGACACCTGTCAATCCCTTATCATGGGTAACCCATTCAATTTCTGTCAGTTTTCTGTCAGTCTTTAACTTGGTATTTTATGTCTGTTACTAAGCCTATTCAAGGTCTGACACCTGTCAATATCTGTACAGCACACTAAGTATGCACATCCCTGTGTCTAAAATTTATCAATATCTTTCTCACCAGTCAGTGTGTTTTTATGATTGACACTTGTCTATAACCTTTCAGTTTCTACACTCCACCTTGTCCTGGTATTTGCACCTTAGTGTGGGACAATTCAAACTGCAAGTGGCTCTCAAGAACAATCAAGTAAGAACACCAACCTTAAAAATATTGCAAAGTAGTTAAGGGTCTTGAGGTGCGTTTCTCAAAGGTTGCAATAACTTAATGGCTTAGAAAACAAAATGGGCTGGTTAGGGTGGTGGAAACTGTTTCTCGATTCTTTAAATTTTGATTCTAGAATATGGCTTTGGGCCTGTTAAGTTATTGGGCCTTTCAAGAAATGGTACCTTGATCATGTCTAGCCAGTGAAAGGGCTGTGTTTATCAATACAGTGGTCAAACGTCTGCACATGTGGGAACGTTATGATAATCAGATGGCATGTTTTCAGCCTGTCAGAACCAAGTTGTTTGAGTTACCAACAACCTGTGCGAGCCAGTAAGTCACAGAGTTTTAGGGTTAGGGGTTAAAAAGATAAATAAAGAGGATTCCTGTATTTGTAGAGGCTTTGTGCTCAACAAGCCTTGAGTTTTCCTTTTACCTACTTTTGTTTCCATTTAAAGATTTCTATGGACAGTTCAATTTTCTTTTGCATATGTTGCAACACAGCAGTTTTTTCTTATCTTTTACTTTGAAATTTTGCATGGGAAATTGGCACACAACTGGCCAAAAATGATCCCCTCACACAAACCCGATATTTGACCACTGTGTTACATCCATCACTGTCAAGGGGCTACATCACAGCCCGTGCAATCTACCAAACCTACGGTCACCAGACCATGCAGCTATCCTTGTTTCTTGTCAGTTTATTGATTACCCCTCTGTTTTTGTTGTTGTTGTTGTTGTTGCTTTTTTTTGTTTAGCTAAACTCATATTTTGTTGTCTCTTTCCCGTTGCAGTTAATTTACATTTGCTTGATGCAAAAAATTATTCAATATGATTGTAAGATTTCTGGTCCTCTTTCTAGGTACCATGTCATGGTCAGTGAGGTAGACTCTGATGAAGAAATATCAACTAATGGTAACAAAGAAATTTGCTAAACAGCAAGTATTGTTGGGGCAGCTTGTAGAATGCAGTATCCATGTGCTAATTAACACTTAGAATATGGGCTGGAGATCTCTATCGTATAATGGTTGATGAGGGCAAAGCCTGATTATTATGTAATGAAATCTAAAGCAAATAATCTAATTGCTTTGGTATAAATCTATTTGTCTTTGAAAACATAACAACAACTTATTTTAAGACAGTCTCATGTTGTTGTGGCTACTGCCTCCTATAGGAGGTGAAGCCACAGAATGATGTTACATTGTTGAGATGAGTAACTGAGGGAGTTTTACAATAGAATTCCGATCTTGACCCAGTTTTGATCAGATGTTTCTGGGTGCTACTTATTGTTTGATTCATTCACACAACACACTGGTAAGTTTTCTCCTTTTGTGATTTCTGGCTTATAGCCTCTAACACATTATTTTTTGTAGATATAGGCATTTGATATGTAACATTATATGATAAGCTGAGTTATACATGCATTTGGATTGGTTCTTATTTATATGTCAGAAGACGGATGCAAAGATAACATTGAAAAATTTCAGTGATCCACCCAGCTGCACTTGGGGTGCTACTTTTTTGTTTTAACCTCATTATTCTGTCGTCTGTGATTTTTTACTGAACAGACACAGAAACATGGAATCTAATCATTAACCCCTTAACTCTCAGGAGTGACCAAGACAGAATTTCTCCTTACAATATCAATTCAATGTCAAGATGACAAGTGATGAGAATAAAGAGAAACATCAGTCAGGCTATTATTAGTTGATCTAATACCAAAATCTCCAAGCTAACGTCATGAGAACTGTATAGCAGACACTGAGGACAGTTGCTTATGTGATCTGGGAGTGAAATGGTCAAACTTTTCCTAATTTTAATACACAATCAAAAATAAGAAGAACAAAATTTTTTAACCAGGAAATATGTCTGGTCACATCCTTTTAAGCCTTTAACTAAATGATTAACATATAACTTCTCACCTATAACATCCACACATTATCCAGACGAATAGTATTGGGAAGACTCAAACTTATCAGGTAGAAGTTAGTAATCTTGATCTAACACCAAATTCTCATGACTTATTTACAAGGAAATATGTAGCAGCTAGAGGGGAGAATTAACAATCAGATCTTTGGAGTTAAAGGCTTAACATCTAAAAGGAATTTTTCTCTCCATAAAGGACGGTGGATATTTTCATAGCATAGGTTTTAACTGTGGCAATTATATATGGTAAATTATTAGTTAATGGTAAATGATAACAACATTATTTATTAGTGAGAGTTACCCTGCAATTAGAATTCAAGTTATTTAATGGAATGATCATGAATTCTGGAAATATTTTTCTAGTGATAAACCATTTAACAAGTTATTTAAACAGCTTATGATACTCATGTAAGGATACTTGCCATGATCACTTATTCATTACAAACATGCTGCTTGATGGAAAGTGATAATTATTAATATGTTGGTGAGAGTTATTTCTAGTGAATTTCTAGGTTTCCCTCAGATATTTGTAGCACGAGGTTGAAAACTGCTAATTGTGTATATAAATAGAGGAAGACTCAACGAATTATGAGATTCAGAGCAAACGAGCATTTTTAGCTTTGTTCTTCAACTTCATACAATTTGGACATACGCTGAATTCTAAAAAGTGTTACAATATCTTTTTCACTAACTTATGGTATTTTCCTATTTTTCATACGCAGAAAACGTTTTTATGGGACTCAATGTGAAGTGTTAATGATATTTTCCAAGAGAAAAAAAAGGGTTGATCTTATCGCTATTAATGAAATATTTTCCAAGAGAAAATATTTATTTAAACTTGGTTGTATGTAATTTTGTGAAACAAGCTAAAAATGTCATGGTCGGGTGTTTCAACTTAATAGGGCTGTTTTATAGTTCTTTGATAAATTTCAAGTATTGCTTCTAACTAATATTTGAAACTTTTTCTACTGACATAGAAGTGTACTCAGTTATCAGAGAATACTTTTCTGAAAATCAGCTAAAATCATTCTATAAGCGTTAACCACTGCTTAGACGTTTCCCGCGCTTTTAGTTTGCTATTTGTTTGCAATCCCTTGTTGCAGTTTTCCCGCTCATTTTGTCCCGCTCATATTTTCCCGCTCATTTTTCGCGCCATAAGACTGGCTGCTTCGGATTTTTGTATTCGGTAATAAAAAGGGGTCCATTACCTCGAAGAATTTCCAGCCAATCAGGTTCAATCAATCCAGAAGCGTTGCCAATGGTTACACGTTTCTCGCGCTTTTCGATAAGCTGGTTGCATTTTTCTCGCCCATTTTTTCCCGCGCTTTTACCGGCTCCTTCGGGTTATGATTGGTTTATTCTGTAGCCCGTAGTTGGTCTCTTTTCACGCTGCACAACTTTGGCTAAGCTCGACGCTACAAACCAATACTTTTTTAAGTGGTAAGTTCCAAGAGACTTAAAACTAATGCGATTATTTAAGTATTTATTGGCTTAATGTGGCTGTTTATTTACACTTACTTTCAGTCCTTTTTCAAAATATTTGAACAAGAGAAGAGTAAACTTAATCCTCTCTTGAGTTTAAGGTATTTACATATTGTAATGTTAACGTAACTTTCTCATTAAGAGAACTTTAGATAACGCATATGCGTTTTTAGATGGTATACAAGTAGTATTATATTTTGCAGTTAGAATATACGAATAAACCAGCATAAAAAAAGTGTCTGTGGTTTTTGTCTTGATTATATTTTTTAAATAAATATAATCATTGAAATTCTGAAAGTGTCTTCTCAGGTAAGAGCCATTTCGAAAGTGCATGACGGAAGAGGGACATTAGTGACTGAACTAGAACAGACGGAGAAGGTTCAGTAGTTAGAATACTCGATGACCTTCATCGTGCTCTGATGAATTTGGACAGAAACGTCCAAATCTAGATGATATGGTTCGAAATCGGACGAATCTGTGTGAAATTGGGCTGAACAGTTCGTAATTTATCGACCCTTCCAGAAGAAGACAGAACGTTCAGAATTTAGGTGACACTGTTCGAAATAGGACGAAACCTTCCAAAATTAGACGAAGCCCTCCGAAATTGGACAGAACAATCAAACGGAAGTGTCCAAAAGGGGATGGGAACGTCCTAAATCGACTGTCCAATTCGAAATCAGACGGCGGCGTCCGAAAACAGATAGACCCGACCGAAATCACACGAAGTTGTCCGAAATAAGTCAGAGCCGCGGTCGACAACACTGATCAAAGCAGTACAGGCGAGAGAAATCTGACTAGCTGATCACTCGGGACTTCTGTTCAGTGTTTGAGCTAGTGACCTTGACTTGGTACAATTATGTTTCAATTCCTCTAATTGCTTCTTTGATCATAACACCGACCGCTGTGAAGTTACCGCACAGACTGCCAAAGCGGGATAGTTCAAAACAATTGAACTGAAAATTAACTTCACTAATCAATGTGTGAAGGATTGGTCTTCAGGAAAACATGTTATTGTCGGATCGTCTTCAACATTTCCATAACGCTAATTTCAAAACAACTGAACACCACAACAGATAAGGGAAAATATGGAATAAATTTTGTGGGAAGGACTGTCTATTTTAGAGCGTATTGCGGTTTCCTCTGGTCTTTTAAGATAGCGTGGGAATGATGTATCAATACATTTTCTCAGTCATTCGCCGCTAACTGTAAAACGGAGAGGGAAAAGATCAGGCGAATTGGCGGTATTGAAATATTACAACTAATAGTTAGAGAAAGATGTTATTAATTCGTCTCGTCGCAAGCGTAGGACAACGAATAACAAGAAAAGTCTCATTCCTGAATATTTTAAGAATAGGTACATTTTGAGCTCGGATTACGACGATTATATGACTTATTTTCAAATTAAAAAATGGAACTCTCAAAAGTTTTCTCATGTTATGTTTATTTTGATAAATTTTTTCCACAACTTGTCAGGTCGAAGATGTTATCTTGATCGAACACTGATTCTCGTAACTAATATACAAGGAAATTTGTAGCAGCTTATGGGGAAAATAACAATCAGATCTTGGAAGTTTAAGTGTTCACTAATTTACAAAGAAAAACGAAATTACATATAGCCGCGAAAGGAGCGCTTACAAAACATCTTGCAGATCAGAAGGTTAACTCCAGTTCATAATTTTAAAGGGGATACTGCCGCCATTGTGAGCATGACAGCTTTCTTATCAGGTAAGTAGTTTTCCTTAATGAAACAATTTGCGTTTAAGTATTGTTTACTTTCAAATTTGGCTGGATATCCACGCGCAAATACTTTGGCCTACTAAGATATTGCATCGGCTTGATGCGTTAGCATCTGGTGTAACTTTTAAGAAGTACAAGGTAACAAAACTTAGTCGGATGTCCAAGGAACATCTTTATTATTCGAAAGACGTTTATCTCTCACTGCTCCGTGAAAAAAATCGAACATGCAACTGCAAAACAGATGTTGAGCACCTGGAAATGATTTCTGATAGCCATAGCCAAATCAAAATTCCAGAACGGAAAATTATAAGATGTTCGATTTGTGAACACAACTGATCACCAAATTACATGCAACATGAGCAGTGTTCCAATTGAATCAAAGAAACTCTAAACCTGCCTTAGCCTGACTCTCAGCTGGTCTAAAGTCGCCTAAAATTGTTCTCTGGCTCGTAAATTAAACTATATCCTTTCCGAGAGGTTAGGCCTATGAAAACCATCTCTTATCTTTTTCATCATCAAAGCACGCTAAGGCTTGCGAAAGGAAAGTCAAAAGCAGTTCTAAAAACCACGCAGCGTCATAGCATAACAAAAAAGGCACGATCCTAGAGAAGTTCTTTTTGCCAGCTCACACAGAGAAACTGCGTGGTTTTAGCGTTTGATTAAAATAGCGGTCCTTTCGTCACTCAGTAACTGATGACAATCTTTCTCGAGAATCCGGATCTAACTTGCGGCTCGCTGGTCCAACGCCCGCGCGTGATAAACTGGATTACACAGAGAAATATGTTAGAGATTAGGGCAATGTTTCTGTTTAAAATTTCTGAGAAAAGGCACCTACATGCAGTTTCATTAGACACCTGTTTCATTAGCATTTTCTCGTTATTGTCTCAGCCAAAGTATCAAAATAGCACCGAATATTATGGAGTGACCATAACGAAATCAACTTGTTGAGGAGATTTGGGCCTGTACAACATTAACCTTATTTTATAAAAAAGTATATTTAAAAAACTAAAAATTTCGTCCCGAGCGCTTTCCCACACCACGGAATACTTCTTGTATAGTGTTAAAATTGATCCACAGATTGTTTTATTTATAAAACTGTTTCAAATTTTGAATCTCTACTGATTCGTGTTCAAAGCGATGACCCTTATATGGGTCGTATGTCAACAAAAATGAATAGGTTAATAACCAGAGTGTTCGGTGAAAAAATATAGGTATTTTTTTACTTTTGAACATTTACTGAGAAAACAATGAAATATTTCCATTGGACAAAAAAATAATTTCTGTCTTTCTTTTACTATCTTGCGGATCATATTGTGGCACGCGCAATCATACCGGCTGCGATATCAGTACATCAGTCACAATACTTCGAGCTCACATCTGAAATGTGCAATATGCGCAGGGCTGATACAAAATATTGGCATTTAATAGCAGCGTGAGACCGACCATTTAGGTGATTTCGTTGCTGCCTACACCAAAGCGTCGGCTAATTGGTGGGTGAGTTATTTGCTTTTCGGGAAAACAGTAAAAAAAAATCACCGCTAACGGCCGGCCGCAGTTTTTCGTGTGGGAAAAAGGAATGCCAAAACGGGAGTCTAATCACCAGCATCTGACGCCAAGAGGGACGCGGTTCAGTCTTAATATCGTGACTAAGCAGTGATGATCACCCACTCTCGCGAAGTGCGGGGGCAAAGAAATTAAAAAATCTGCAAATCCAGAAAGCTCGAAGAGTTATTTGTTTCATTCTAAAACGTAATAAATAAAGCGAGGCATACTGGAAAACATGCACAAATCGCAAGCACGTACAGAAAATGAAAACGCACTGACTTACCGGGGAAAGTCGCATAGTATTACGAGTGAAGGAGAACGAACGAGGGGAGTATCCGAGGGGTTGGCCGACTTTGAAAGCTATTAAGGTATGTGCCGCCCCAAAATGGTATTGTTTTTGAGTCACTTTGGTCTTGAGGAGGGTTACATGTGATCACTATGGTCTGAGACTTGGCAAGGTTTTTAGGGGCAGGGAAATAGCGATAGAGAGGGGGAGAAGTAGCCAAAATATATCTTTCGAGTTGAATTTAAAGGTGAATCCTTCCATTTCTACGTTCCGGGTATAGAAAAAATTGGCGTGTTTTAGTCTAAAGTAGATCAAGGGTTGGAGAGTCGTGGGGGCACGCTCCTTCGAAGAATCCCTAGGGGTACCCACTCCCCTGGAATGTGCAGGAAAGTACAGGCACACAAGAGTACGATGTGGGGCAGGAATAGAATTAATTGGAATGTAAAGTCGTAATATGCAACAGAGGAATGCACGAGGGCTGTGAAAGCAACAGGACGACTGTCCATATCTTTGACAAAATACACGATACACCCGCTCATGCTCTATAAGCCATTTCAATGATGCCAAAAAAGCGCATTCTGCTCTTTGTGTGTCTTGGGGATGAAGGTTAAATGCCCCAGTTTTCATTCTGGTCGAGATTTCAAAATTAGACAAAGTAAATGGAACAGTTTCTTCAGTGCTATCTTCCGTTCCAATGATGTAACAAATGGAACATTTTTTCTATTTTTAAGCATCTCTCTTTGCTATTTATTTTCCATCTTATCCAAGATTATTTCTTTACGGCTAAGCGCGATCGATCAGATTCTTGAAAGCTGCAACTTGATATTCCTTAAAACCCGTTCTGTTGCTCTCTGCAGAGAACAACTGACTAACAACAGAGCGTACAACGACGACAGTCAATTCTCAAAAACTATACCATCCTCAATTTTCCGTTCAGGTCCGTCGGTTTTTTTGAAAAAGGGATTGGTCAGTTCAAAATTGACTACGTGACTGGATTTCTCTTCTACAGTAATTCATTTGTCATCACCGCACTTGCTTTGAATTAAGCAGTTCAATATTTATAGCAGAATCGACGTAGATTAATGCCGGAGTTAAATTTAGCTGCGTACCAGTTTTTATTTCATCGATCATTCAGCTTAAGACCATGTCATCGACTCATTATATTTAAAGAAGAACTTTTCGAGCTTATCTTCTCTATACAAGCAGATGGTAAACCCTCTTATAAACCTTCGGCAGACCGGGGGCTTACGAGGGAAAGGGTCTTATCTTTGACGGGCTTAGTTTCAAGGGGCTTACGAAGGAAGAGACTTCATTGTTGAAAGCAAAATGCGCGATTCATCAATTTTCATTGTAACCACCGCCAGCTCAGTTTTGAAACCTGCAATATCTGAGAAAGAAACCAGGAGATATTTTCAAATACGGCCATATTCTGTAAAAACTTTGCAACTCTACTAATTAAAACCATTTGCCCAATAAAACTACTTTTGTTCAGCAAAAATCCCGGCAGAAGTTGATAACCACTCAAGTAAAAATTCTTAACCCTCTTTAGAGATGCTATCTGAGGAAACAGCTGCAGACAAAATCCAAAAATTGCGTGTATTTCAAAGCCAATTTTCTTAGTCTCTAAGCAGAGACGCATCGAATGTCTGTAATGTTTTCGAGTGGTGCCTCCTACGCCGTTTGCCACAGGATAACCACTCAAGATTTTTACAACGCGCATGATTGATTCAGTGCCCTGTTCTGATCTAGAACCCGAATGTCGCCTGTTTAAATTCTTAATGCTTTTAAATAAAATAAGCTTTCGGTTTACCACTGCAACTAATTTTCTTAGTATTCCAACGATCTTAAGACCATAAGATCTAGTAAATTCTAATCATTTCCGATGCAATTTTAACAAGATATGAATGCGCGTCTGCAACAGTTGCATATTTCAAAACATGTATTGACTAAATCCAAAAATCATATTCTCTCGATGTCTTCCTAACATTTGGATTCAATCTATGGATGCAAAGAAGCGTTGCGTGATCATGTGGGCTTGAAATTACCTCTAGAAAGTTCAAATTATCTTATTATTGTCAAACCACAAAAAACTCCTAAACATAACCCTTGGGTTTCGGAAGAGCTAGGGTTCATTCGTGATTATTTGATGATATCTCTTTGGAAATAAAATAAATACACTCGAACATAACTTCCTTAGGTTGTAGTTATTTCAAAAGTTCAGACCTCTTCGAAATTGTTCTAGGGTATTCTACAAATTGAGAGAAATGTCGATTGAAATTGAATAAAAAAAATATTCGCCCCCTCATATTGGAGGGATTAGTTTACGAAACATTTCCTCTGGAGATTAAATCAATAGTTCTTTTTCCGGTTTCCAAACGCAAAAGAAAGTTAAGATAAGCGCCTGATATGTTTAACAAACAAATCTTTTCATTTCAAATATCAGAAAAATCAAATGTATGAAATTTCATTTAGCGCAGTGATGTAGCTCACTTGATTGCCATATGTTGGGTTTATGCGGGCTCATGAAAGGGATCTATAAAAAGCTCAGACAGAGTTCATTTACAAAATATTCGTTTTGGATCATGCAGTCATCACGTTGAAATTTTTTAGCCCACCCTTGAAAAATACTATTTGTACCCGAATGCATTTTTGAACTGCTGTAAACTTGAGCAAACTGAGTTTAGCAGGAGCGATTAGTTAATGAGCTCCTGGCTTAGCAATTAAAATCCAGTTTCGCATGAAATAAAGAGTTTTAAATCAATTTGCCATTCATTGAAAGTTTGACAGTTCAAGAATCATTTCTGCAAAGTTAACTACCGGGTGGCAGTGTAACAACCTCTGTTGTCAACGCGGAATTGGGATTTGTTTGTTTTTTTTTTTTTGGCTGAAAATCATTTCCCGATACGTGATTAGAGAAAGGCTATAGTGCTTGAGTTTAAGACATTCTTAATTAATTAACCTAATTACTATATTCCGCATATCTGCGGGATATGCTACCGCAAAGAAAAGTCGACATGATCCCACAGAAAACATGGAATCTTTTGCAGTTTGGTTCTGTATTCAACTGTCTTGAAGAGTAAAGTTGCGTCTGCTACACACAAGTGAATAAGTTACTTATAATTCTGCATCGTGTGGCAGTTTATCAAAATGTATACCACGAAAATACCATGCGTTCGTGTATTAGAGAACAAATTTAGCAAAAATTAAATATACCGTAATGGGATGTAGATGCTATGTCTACCGGGGTATCTTTCAATACACGTTACGTCTAGGCACGAAATTTTAAACTTATAAACCGCACGAGTCGTAAGCGTGCGCGCAATTTGTTTACGTCTTACTTCCCCGACGAGCTCGAGGTTGTTACATAGTTCACAGCTTGTTAGCATCTACACGACATCGAAGAGCTGCTATCTTTACCAAGAGAGAACGACAAGGCTCTTAGCGAAACAACGTTTTCTCAAGTACGTGGTATGTTTGCTTAAGTTTTATTGAGAACTTTTCATCTTACTCTTGGTTAGCGTGCACCTTTGAACCTACTTGAGGTTTACGATGTTTTCTGTCCGGGTTAAAGTTGCACTGTTAAGAGTTTCTGTTCACAGCTGTATTTGCTGTGGTTCTCACGCTCGCAGGAAAAAATGAAAAGGACAGAAAAAAAAAACGGTCCACGTAAAAAGCACATGTAGGTATTGTGAGGGTTTTAGACTGTAACACGTCCCAACTCACGGCAGTATAAAGATGGCGATATTTACTTCACGACATGATTTCTAATGACCCTAAGGTACATTATCAAAGGGTTGGTTAGACAATACGTCGCGCGCAGATATTACAAAGAGAACGTAAAACCACGAATGGCGTGGCCTTGGAGACACGAAACACACACCTCTCGGAAAAGAGCTCTCGACGGTTATCAATCATTGTTTAAAATAGTTTTACATCGTATTTTTTTGCGGCCGCCGCATGAGTCATCCACCGCAACGATGTTGGTCGGCGTTATGTATTTGTAATTCAGGACATTTTGAAAAACGTGATGTATTAATTAATGCGACTCAGCAATGTTAGCATAACCACTTTGAATATTGGCGGCTGTTTACAGTATTGGCAGTAATTTGTGAGTGCTAACGATTGGTTGTATCTCGCCGCAAATCAGAGTTCAATTAGCTTTATTTACCACTTACAATTAAACTATTTACATTCAAGAGTGCTGTTCCGTTCTCTTCAGGTATGCGATAAACACCGTTTCGTATGTCTTTTTTTTTTTACACAATGATTTGAAAATTGGTTGGGATGCAAGCTTCTCTAAGCTAAGCCGGTTTCTAGCCACGCGTCAAAATATTAGGTCTTAGCGAAAAAAAATTCTATGGAATATTTGAAATCTGACTTTGGATCTTGAGGATTATCTCCGATTGTAGATTTATGCAATCTTTATCTTTGAAGTATTTTTATGCTCTTAACTGCTTTAAAATAGAATCTTGCATCTCTAACCACTTTCCGTTGTCATTCCATAGCTTGCAGATTTCATCTTTTTAGCGCCAAAAAGTCTTGTTCGCCGTGGGGCACCAGCTAAGGAACTCGTATTGATCTTGTTAACTAGATCAGGACGCCATTCAGAGAAGGAATTAAGAACAGTTTACCTATTTAACTAGCTTATACGCTCAGTAAATAATCGGATAAATTTGAAGACAATGAATTCTACAGCTCATTTCGTCGCTTTTGAATCAGCTTATACCCTAGTAAGAAATGTAGGAACCAGTTCTGTATGCGGGTGTCGATTGAGGAGTATTTCGTGGTGCGTGTTCACTGCTCATCATTTAGTGTTGTCAATGACGGATATAAATGTTTGTTGTTAACGGATTAAAACAGTCACTTTAGAGCAGAAACTTCGTCATTTCGGAGCCATGCTAATGCCAGATGACTGGTCAACAGAAATTCTGTTGTAAACTTATCTGACACTAAAATTAACGTAGATTGTAATATAAACATACTTCTTAATTCTAACGCCTTAGCACCCGAGAAAATCTGTTGTTTTAATCTTACCTAATACGATTTTATTGATCTACGAACCTCACCCGCATAGTTAACCAATATTCCACATGCAAACAACTTTGGAGAACTCTAAATTACTTTCCAATATGAGAGGATGTGGAGGAAATCGTTAACTTCAGTCATCTCGTTTTTTTTACACTTTATACACTTGAATACAACTGTAATTACTTTAACACTCAAGCAATTCACGTCATGTTTAAAAGCAGTCTCACTTCTTTACTTCACACATCCGACCTAATTGATCAGTAATGCAACAGTTTTTACAAGGAACTTAATCCATTAAATGTGTGCATTGTTTCGCCCAAAGGAACAGAAAAGGTTATTCATAAATCAATCCTTTCTCTCGAGTGTTCACTTACGAGACTCGGAGGCGCTGACACTCCCTTAGAGAATAGGCCGAGACGATTGGAAACACGAGTTAATGCGCTGGTAAATGCTAAGTCAAATGACTTTCCAACTGTTTGAGTCGTGAATGCCTAATCTTAAAAAGATATCAAGAGTCTTTTGGACAAAGGAAAAGCCATATATAGGTTAATCGTTTTTTAACCTGTGTTTCCGCTTATTGTTAAGTGAAACCGAAACCTCCAATATGAGAAATTGGAAATTCTAGATATGCCCGCACCTCTCTCAGTTACGAGAGGATGTGGTCCATTGATACATTGACCTGTGTTGACTGAAGATCTTTTCAAATCCTATTTCAGAGCTGATTGAAGTCGCCCTGAGACGCCATCAAGACCCAACAGTTCATTACTACACTCCAGTGGGACTCGTTCAGTTGACCAGTCATTCAAGACAGCGAAGCCATATCGACAGCTCTTTAAACGCAGCTTTGTGATTTTGCCCTGCAGTTAAACACATCGACAAGTCATTAGTATAAGTCGTCGAACTGAAAGGTAAACTTGATTAGTATTTTTTGCCCTCTGAATATTTCAATTCGTTTTTTTCGCTTGGCTAGCACGCGATGGAAAAAAATGAGTGCTGCGCGCACATGTAATATCTACGTTGACGAAATATAGATCACCAACGTTGTGAAATATCCAAAGAGACGGTTGAAAAACAAAGAAACGGGTGAGATTAATGTACAAAAAAAAAGTTTGGTGTAAACACAATCTTGCGAGATATAATGATAGTGTTACGCAGACAACAAGATGTGATGAAATGCTCTTTCAAATCAAGGTCTCACAACCATTTTGCTAAAATCACAATGATAAGCCGACATATAACTTACAAGAAAAAAAAACCGACAGGCTTAGACTTTCTAAATCCTGGCGACAAATATGGCTTTGAGACGAAACAACAAAAACAGACTGTAAAACGACTATTCAGTCTCAAAACTCTACTAAATTTCTTGATTTTTGCAACTCCATCACGTACGCAACTTTGAGAGGGAAATTTGTCCTTGTCTCCCCCACTAATCTACCATTCCCCCCCCAGACCCCCTCCCCCCATATCGAGAATTCTCGAGATTCTTGATCTTGTCGTCAAAGGAACAAATCACTTTAAAACAACAATCCTAAAAACTTATTTAAATGAGTACAACATATCACGATAACGAAATTAAAATTATAGAGCATGTAATGTGTGCCCTGCGCCGCCAAATAAATCCGTCAAACGCCACTGGAAAAAAAATACACAGTCATCCAAGTCTACATTCTTTCAGAACACACACATGAGCGGAATTCAGTGTCTAGCGGGCTATGACTGTAACGGTTGATAACGATCTTCTAAGAATATCTTGGCAAAAATTCGATGCATTCATAACGGATTTTTGTGTGTCTGTCCGTGTGAGGGTTTGGAGTTTGCAAGTTAATTTTGTGCTGAGCCGGAAGACGGTCGCGCGCCCGTGAGGAAAGTATGTTCGCGAAATCAAATCTTACGGATCTTTACGGCGCCTGTGATCTGGTTACAGAGCGTTTCAGTTTTCCCGGAGGATTTTCAACAACCGAGCCTCATGGCTTGGTTTTTCAGAAAAAGCACATGACTTTTAGAGCCTTGAGTCCTTTTCATGAAGACAGAATAATTATTAAAACAAACTTCGTGGCACCAAATCGTAGCTTGTTGCAGTTTTCACATAAAACTCGCGAGAAGTAACTGTTGAACATAATTCAGTTTGTCAACGAGGTGCAAGTAAGAGAGGAGGAGTCGGGAGGAGGGGGAGGGGGGAAAGGTTTTGCACGCAAAACGGTGCAAACATCCTTTGCTGTTTACATTATACCATGGTAAGTTTACAAAATTGTGCCGCCGACGAATACAGGATGTTTTTCTCAAATCAGAACTGCATGGGAGCCAGCAATCGAGATCGAAAATTCCTTTCTCGATTTATTGACGTAATCGGGTGTATTTATATAAGCTGCGCTGTAAATTTCATCAGATTAAGCCACTAGCTAGAATAACAACAATTGTGGATCACCGCGGACGCAGTTTCTACATCGTCATAGGTTTTCTACTGATCGGTGAACAATATTGTTTAAGAGAGAGTGCCTTCTCTACGTAAGTACAAATCCGTTTGTCAGTTTCTTTAAAAGTTTTCGAAATTTTTCATTCGTGACCGCAGCTCATGGAAACAGAAAACGAATTACTGTAAGTTAGACGTTTCAGTCTCATGAAGATCAGCACAATATTAAGTGGTTCTTGTCGTGGTATAAGGGTCATAAAATGAACTAACACTTTAAGTCTCTTGGAGAACAACAAGTCATTGCCAAACGTTTGGTAACGCCCAGGTCATGGAATATCAGTGACGTCACCTGTGCCAAACAGTGATATTTCCTCTCTGAAATACAACAACAAGGTTCTTTCGACCATTGTATTTTCTCGTTGTGTCATCAATCGAACGATAGTTCCTTCAGTTCTGTGTTCTGCCGGACGAAATACTGACAAATTTCGATTCACCGCCGTTCCCTTCGCTAACCTGCGAGCAGATTTCATTTTAACGGGCGAGAAACATTGCTTCCCTGTTGTTTACAAATTTCTTGGCGGTGAGGGGAAACAGCGTTGGAGAAATTTTCAACTTAGGTATTTCAAAAACGAAACTCTGCGCGTCACGGAAGACACAATGGCTGGGAAGGAATAAAAACCGAAGATAAAAATGTCACCTGTTACGGTAAGCCGTGAGAAAATGCGGTTAGTTGTTCTTAAGAAAAATTGCTTAACTGATGTTCCTAACTTGTGAGACGATTTTCCTATTGTTTCCATTAATAGGTCACCCGTGTAGCTAATGAAAAAGGCGAGGCGCTAAAGTGCTTATGAAGAGTCTTTCCGGCCAAAAGACTGTATTGTGACAAATCGAAGACAAATTGGAGTCTGAAAAGTTTATTGATCATTCAAAGAAGCGCTGCTGTTGTAATCACAATAAATATTCGCACGCAGTTACCAGGTTTCCGGAGAAGTTTTTCATCAATATACGATTTGCAGATAAGCAAATGACAGTAAATTCCTCTGTGGTTTCTAACGGAAAATGAAGCAGTTACGAAAGTGCTTGTCATACAATGAGTGCCTTGTCGTTACCCCTTCAAAATGAAAATCATTACTTACTTTGCAAACGCCCATAAAATGAAGATGAGATCGTCCGATTTTGAGTGGAGTCTTCCTGAGCCTTGTTAGTTTGGATTTTAATATATGCGTGTCTAATACAGAAGATAAAATCGGAGAATCTCTCTTAAAACTTTGATAGGAAATTCTTATTGCCATATTTCGGAAACGTCAGAATTTTTCGTCTGAGTTTTATTATACAGTTACATTGTTCATCACAGGAGGTGTTTTTTAAATTAACCTTTTTTCCTCTTGCTCTCAAATCTCTTTCACGTTTGCATATGCATATCATTGGCTGAGTTTATTAGTTTTTTTCGAATATTTTTCCCCGTATCGTAATCCACTCGCGAGGGGAGAGATGAAAGTAGCATGGCTTAAAAGATCGACGGACTGAAACCTTGTTGTGTGGGCTTAAAATCCCCTTTCGAAAACGTCCTCAAATACGCTGTCGAGCCGGAGACATGGCGACGGGTATTTTCCCTTTTGTTTGGTGCTAAGAGCGTTATTATTTGAAAGAGAACAACCGATTAGAGACGATTAAGTGTTATAAAATATAAAACCGCTCGGAATTTCTATTTTAGTTTGTCTGATCCTTAGTTTTATTGTGGAGATCTTTAACATTTCCCAGACCCAATTGAACTTTTTATCGTGCATTACAGCGTTTTTAGATCAGAAGCCCTCTTTTGATTGGTCGATCTGGCACTACCTAGCCAACTGCGTTAGCAACTGTCTTTCTCGAAACTCTACAGTCTTATTTCTACAGATTATGGAAAGGAAAATGATAGATTACCGAGAGAAGGCGATTATCAAGGGGGGAGAAAACGCGCACAGGGCACTGAGAAACTAAAGACACTTCCAAACTTTATTGCACACGACACTTGATATCAGCAATTTTGATTGACAAATGATTCCCTTCACATCGGCGTAACATAACTCCCTTATGGAAAAGGTTTCCTTTTATTGGTTGTAATTAACTTTTTGTCATGTAAGCGAAGACAAATCGCGCAGACGATTAGTAGAATAGAACTCTGAATTTGCTCTTTTCCGATTACTTGTCTGATCACAGAAAAAGAAATGGGTCATCTTTGGACCTTCCGCTGCGCAAGCTCTAAGCCTTATCTCTGTTGCAACCAGTACAGTACTTCCCGCTAGCTGTAAACAATTATACAAGTCTTTAGAGATAAGACCAGCGGAATGCACTCGGCGTTAAAAGATCCCGAACATAAAGTCTTGCCTCGTGCAATATCGTGCGCTTAGAAGCTCTTAGAAGTTGTACAAATCGGAACCAACCAGCTCTCCTGACGGCTAGTCGCGACTGAACGATTTAACAGCAAAGCCGATTTAACCACTCTGTGCGCATAGCTGCCCTCGAACAAATGCAACACGTCAACGGACATTGTTAAACAAACAGTCTCGATTACTCGTAATGGGTCGCGATATTTTTGTTTAGAAACGATTACTGAAATTGTGTCTCCGCAGCTAGGGTGTAACACAATATCTGAAGCAATCGAGATTTGGTCTGCCGGGAGATCATCACAGTGTCAGTTGGTTTGAAGAGGGCTCGGAGTTAAGGTTGCGCACAAGTTCAGCACTCCACAACAACTCAGATCCATACGCAAATTGAAAGCATTCAGCAATGAAGACCATGATTCATCTAGTGGCCCTTTCCACGCTGATGACTCTACAAATTCTTTGTTTCTTTGGAGGAATCCAGGTAAGAGGAAAAACATTGGTGGTTTTACTAGTTCTGTCGTGTTTCTCTTGTTTCCGGTTCTCTGTAGTTTACATAGAAAACCCATTTTTACAGCGTTATTAATAGGCGAGTGACAGATTGCCTTTGGACGTTGAAAATACATTTTATCTGCGCTGACACGGGACAATATATCTTACTTTCCCGTTTTTGTCTTCCCGCTGCGAACATAGGGGGGGCAATTTTTGATGTCTTGTTATGTTTGAAAACTCGAAAGTTTATGTTACCCAGCGGTGCTTCCATACACAATAAACAAAGTAGTTTACTTAACAGCTCGTGATAACAAAGCCTCACTGCTGTGTGCATCTTATTTTAGCGCTCACTGTAGCCAATGACAATGTGAAAGCATCATTTGTCAGGCACATTAAATACGTTATTGAGTGAACTCAACAGATGCCCGGCGTTTATTTCGCGTGTCGCACAACTCGTACTTTAAGTTGATGGTGTTTCATGGGGTGTGGGCACTTTGTAAGCGGCAAGAGAATAACGCTCGTAAATAGAATTGTTGAGTTAACTTGTCTTATTAACACTGGGGAAATTAAAATATACTAAGGTTTCAAGCTAATGTCGACGTGTTCTCGGTTTGAAGAGGTCACAAGGGCACTTAGAAATACACTAACCGTAAATTCATTCACGCGTCAAATTTGTCGTTCTCAAACGAAGCGAAAAGATGTGTGCAATATTACAACAACAACCTACTCATCAACAATTTGAACATTCCTCTTAGAACTCATGGATCAATACTAATGGCGCTGAAAACACGCCTTGTATAGGAGATAAAGCTATAGTTCGAGTAATACCTTTTTGAAATAACAGTAAAGAATATTATCTTATTAACAGAGTTTCAAAGTCGTGACTACATTTTCGCTATTGCTGTCAACCTTTAAACACGTAAAAACAAACACGTCCTGAAAAATCAGACCAGATCCTTCGGTTAAGTTAAAATAGTCTATAATTGAACCTCCTGAGTAGTTTTTCAAGAGCGAATCAGCGTAAACTGAATCAGCAAAGTGCATCCAAAACGTGTTGTGTTTCATTAGTGGAGTTTTTCGCTCTTATCTGTCCATCCTACTGATTGCGAGTATGGTGGAATTAGATCGTCTGAGCTATCATTCTATGCTGTTAAATCCCATGTGATGGAAAGCAGTAGGGAACCGGAGGTATCTGCGGAATTTTCGTGACTGGAAGTGTATATTTGTCTGCGCAATTACATCAAAGTGAGCGTGTTGTGTTAGGACAATTATTCTGCAATTTCCGAAACCAGGGGGCCTTCCGCAGTTTGTTATCCAACCTAATAAAGAAGTGGTCAATCAAAAAACGACGTATTCTCATTAGAAGCTCTTGCAGATTGACATCAGCACACGAAAAAAACATTTTGCGATCATCGCAAAAGAGCGAACGTGACTTTGTGCGCGCAAGGTTGTTTTCATGAGCAAAACTGGTTACCTTCCGCTAGAAATCGTTGGCGGAATGAACTGTTTGCTTAACTAAGCCGATCTCCAGCGCAAATGAAGAGTAAACACGATGTTTACAGAGGTGTATATTGACTTAAGGAAAACTCGCTTGTGGTGCTTATTTGCGCGAACGTCTTAGGTCACTAGACGGTAAACGGCGCGAATTAGATAGCAAGTTATATGGTTAAACAACATCAAAATACTTTGGCGCGCGGACGTGATTGATGATACTTTCACAGATCTTTTAATCATATTAATGTTTCTCTTGCTTGTGTTTGTCACGGGTCTAAAAGTGATGTGATTTTCTCCAAGACTGATTCTTTAATTCACCATATGTTTTTATATTCAGAAACAAGGTTAATTCGTAGATTGTAGCTATGACGGCAAATTAGCCACTTTAATGTTAACAATATATTACTGTATATTTCGTCTAAAGAAGAGAGTTTCTTTCAATCTCATTTTTTCATCACTCAACGAAAGAACCGATAGGTCATCCTTGCGAAGGCATATGGTTTATTAGTCAAGTATTCTGGCCAAAATTTGTGGATTCAATTTGATATCTGTCGCTCTAGCAAAAGGGAGGTCCTATATCAACACGACGCTTAATATACACTTTCTCATTCCGTCGACTTAAACAAAGTGAGGTATTTGGTAGGAAATTACGTCATGTTATCAAAAATATGTGTAGCTCTGTGCATTACGGTTTAAAATAAGTGGGTGGTTTGGCGTGAAATGAAATGCGATCTGGCGGTTTCGAATCGAATCCGCCCTCTAGGGTCTGTGGTAGATCCATCTCAAATTAACATGTCACCAAATGAGGTTACGGAGGAACTACGTATACTTCAAAGCAAAACATATAGAAGACTTAAGAGATAGCATAATCAGATGTTAGATAAGGTTGATTTTTTCCGCTTTAGCGAATTCATCTAGGGGTTTTTAAGGGGTCCATGACCGAAAATGAATTTGAATTCGTCCAGTGTTAGGTGTAAGATACCATTTAGTTCTCAATAACTCGGTCTACTTATAAAGTATTCGACCTCAAAACAGCACTTAGTTGCGGTCCGAATACTCTCCAATGAGAATCATATTTTTCTTTGTGAAAGATTTCTGATCAGTGTTCAACATTGTTCCATTCGGAGAGCTGTCCCTTTTCTTCATGGCTATCAGAATTAACCTCCGAGAAAAATAATTCTTGATAACGTCAAATATTGAAAAACACATGCCCCACATTTTTTAAATCTTCAGCAGGACTTACAAGCCCGCGACAGTTCCATCCCACGAAAATTAATGATGCAGAATGTCTTAAAACTATCCAAAGGTATTTGGATCACAGTTAAGCGGACTTTGAAGCAACTGTGCCGCTTACTGCTCTTGATACAAAAACAATGAACAAGTACCGGCATTTTTGAAAAATTTAAGCCTCTGAAAGCACCGCGATTAAACTTAAAATTCTTCTAAGTATTTTATTTTATTCATCTCGGATACTCTTCTGAGAAATAAAATTTCGGATCCATTGTTTCACAAGTATATACTATCAGTTACAATGTTCGAGCGACTTAACAGCTTAAAAGATCTAGGTAAGCCAACGAAAGATGTAGTTCTGAATTCTCCTTACTAAATCGCTAATAATACCCAATAAAACGAAGGGAGATTTTAGGATTAAACAGTAAAATTGACTATAATTTTCTTACTGGTTTTCACCTCAAAATCTTTAACAGCATTTAGATAGTTAATTGAACGTTTCCTTCAGATGAAAGTAACTTCTATGTACGTTTACGATTCCATGTTGCAAAGTCGTAAATTTCCTCTCCCTGAAAAGTTCCACATAATTTGTCTTTACAAAGTTGTTTACATATCGTTTGAATTTCTCCAGAAGGAATTTCTGGAAAAATTCACGCTCGGGTCACGTTTTAACACCTTTTGAAATATAAAATTACCAAGATTAATCGCTATTAACTAAATAATCCCCGTTAAAATCATGCCGTGTTTACTTTGCCTGTTTGTGTGAGGCTAAACAGCTAAAATCTCAATCGGCTTTGCAGCGTTCTAAGCCATACCAGATCTTAACTAAATATTGAACGAAAAAAAGAAGGCTTGTAGAGAATTCTGTATGGTACAACATATGTTTCGTGGGGCAAACCTGTTTACTTTCGGTATTTCTAACCTTCACAGCAATCCTAACTCAAAGGTTGAAAATAGAAGAGGTCATCATCGAGGCGTGAATTTCCCACATAGTTCGTTATCAAATGCAGTAATTCTATTTGGTCGGTAATTGATTTAATTTTCTGAAAAGCGCTGTGAAAAGAATCTAAAAGTCGGTTTATAAAGCACCCGTAAATCGCATGAACGAATAGGAGAGTTTTATCGCTTTTCAAAAAGGAAATTCTTATAATACTTTGATGCAGTTTAAGAGAGTCAATTAACTTTTACACTATTTTCCTGCAAAAAGGATTATAATTGAAACTCACGTATAACTGAAATAAAATTGACAATTACGAAAAAAATGAGATGTATATATAACATACACACATAGCGTCCAGTGTCGTTTATCTTTCGCAAGTTTCCGTATTTTGTTAGATAATCTAAAATTGTTGAAACTTGCGAACACCATCAAATCAAGAACAACAAAACGTGTAAATATTTTTTATGTCTATACGCAGAATTATCTAAATATGACATTGCGAAATTTTTGAGCCGAGGTTGAATTCTTCGGCGTCAGTGAGTGCTATTTTTAAAAGGCTACAAAACTAAATTTAGCTGTTAGCTTGGGTTAGGGAAATCCCTCTCCATTGTGTAAGATTGTGTTGGGGTAAAATTGTTATAATTTGATCCGATCTGTCTAGCGCAAGTCCCAAACGGTTTCCATGTAGCAGTTGTGTTTTTTGGTGGAGTATTTGTTACACACGCGCCAGGAACGTGGACGAAGGTTCGAATATACTGGTATCATACGGAGGTTATAACAGTTTCAGTCACGTTTGATTAATTCTTTTAACGCCTGTAGCACTTGTGAAGGCGTTTTTGAATGTCGACGGCTGATAACGTTGATCTCATTAGCACTTGTATGTTGCAAAATAAGTATTAACTTTGTCCGTGCTTCAGGCGGGTTGTGAAATCATATCTGTATTTTAAGCTTCACGCTTTAACTGTATGGCAAATGAACAACTTTACACGAGTTTAGCAACCCTTTTCTTTTGTTTCACCGAGCGAGACAACTTTTTGAATTTCATATTTTAGCGTTGATTAAAAATGTTGTCTGAGTAAACGCAAGTTATTTGGGTAAAGATTACACAGTATTGAAGGAATTTTTCAAATTGGATAAAAGGTTGTTATTCCCTTCAGTCCAATTTAGGGATTTGTCCAAGAATTGAGAGAATTCTGCTCTTGTTTAGATTAGCCGAGTTCTGAGCGCTCTTGAAGTATGTGGTTTTTGTTATTTATAGTTCTCTACCTGTGTTTTTATTTTGCTTTTACTTCTTATGAACAACGAATTAAAGGTAAAGAGATTTACCTAAACAGAAAATCTATGGGCGTCGCAACATTCAGTCTAGGGCTCTGGAATGAAAACCGCTGTTTCTGTTTCTTACGCTGTAAAAAGTACCTCTAACTTTTGAGTCTGCGGCTAAAAACCTTAGGGTGTGACCTCGCATTTGAAAGCTAAGCATTAACTCTGTATGGTGCCCTTTCCCATGCCATAAAAGGTGATTCTAACTTTCAGTGCTCTGGATAGTAAACGTACACGAAGTACGTGACCTTTCAAATGAAAAGTTCTGAGCAGTACTTTCCATGTGGTAATGTTCAAGGTGATTCCAACTTTTAAGTTTGTGGATAAAACGCTAGTGTTTTCACTGAACTAGTAGTGTTCACTATGCTGTACTAAATACGGGATGAAAATTCATAAAAAATTTTAATCGATGATCTGTGGTCCTTTCTTATTTCATGATTAAAATGTCCGTCATTCCCCAGTCATTACATACAGAAATGTTTCATCTCTGTCATTTCATGATTAATTAGGAAAAAGATAAGACAGGTTTCTAATGGAAAAATGGAATGGAAAGCATTTCGTTTCGACAACCTCGGAGGTCTTTTAATTCTTTTTATCAGTGATTAATTCTTGTCAATGTGTGAAGGACGTATTTTTGATATGAAAGGCCTTAGTATTCGCATTATTTGCGGGAAGTCATGCCATTTTGGCAGCGACGGTTCACGACAGCATGAATCTCTGAGCTGCATCAGGGCTACACGCTGAGAGAGAGGAAAAAAACTGTGATTGGTCCCTAGTTCGTGTTACCAAGACAATTACCATCACAGAAAACAACGAGTGATGTTGGTCTTTGAAAATTTTTCTCATTTCATTGCTTTTGATTGTTAAAACGTTTTAGCAGCTACATTATTTAAAGTCAAAACAACCGGCATTGTGATAAACCTCGACACATTAGTACAAGGACTGATATCGCCTTATTTACTATACATTCACAAATATGGCAATTAAATATCCGCTTTTGTGGATGTCCTGTTATTTCTTTACGCCCTTTCATGTCAATATTAGAGGATAAGTATTCCGCTATCAAAATTACTTAGAATAAATTTTGGGGGGAAGATCTGTGCGTGTACATTAGTTGTTTAGGACAAAGTTCAGCTTATAAATCCCTCTAGGGCATGAAATAACATACGAGACAGCTGTTATGTCTGGCTCAGAAACAAAGAGTTTAGCTCGCCTTTAGCCGATCCCTCCTAGGGAATTTAACCTTTTTATTGCGTTCAGAAGCGTGTGAAATACCCGTTTCCATCCAAAAGTTCACGTTGCATAATATGGATTGACATTCACACGCAAGGAACTCCATGTCGAGAAACTTATAATCGATCATTCAGAAGTAGAACCACGTTGTAAAGTTTAAGTTTGCCCACCCCTCCCCCAAATGTGTGCATGAGTTACAGAAAGCTTGTAGCTTCACCACAAAAGTGACAAACACTCTGTCATCACTATGGTTATTGATTGTAGTTTTAATGCCGTTATTTCAAAAGTACTTCCGATTTCACTAATCACCCTTCTTCGTTTGCATGCTATGTCACCTTGCCTGTATGTTTGTGTCTGCAAGAAGTTCGATTTACGGGCGGTAAACCTCCGATGTCACGAATCTATTTGTGAATTCTTTGGTGCGTTTCGGTTCTGTAAATCGCGAGAAATTTGTTGTTCTGATTTCTCTCGATTGGATGTTCTAAGAAGATGCCTACCTTTTCAGATCTTCAGATAATTTTTTTTCTCTAAAAAAATGCGGCACCCTTTCCTTGATCTGCGTTGAACCTGGCCGATCAACGGACACTTCACGCAAAGAAATTTGGACATCATTTGTCGTCTTAGAGATTAATTGCCAAAAGACTTCCTTCCACTTAAAATCTTTTCATCCACCGCCTGCTCCTAGGCTTTGTGACCCAAAGAAAAAGAAAAAGGAAAAAAAAATTGCCCCCTCGGGAAATGATAGCCTTTACGTAGAGTACCGCGTTCTCTATTGACGTTTCTTATCCGCCATTTTGATTTGTAGCAAATAGAGTTTTGCTACGAGACTGAATTGTAACATTTGAGTGCAAAATTGTTACAGAAGAATATCGTTGCGGTTTCTTTACGGATAGACGTGGTTAAAATGCTATTTTAAAGTTATGATCTCTCGATGGTTACATGTGAATGGGTCATTTTCAGAAAAGGTTTACTGATCATTTCATTTGTTAATGATATAGTCGGCGATATCTATCGAATTCAGCTCTCTTTTGAAGAATCTACATCCGTTTCGGTAAAGGTAATCTGAATTCATCCTCACGAAAGCTGTACAGACAGAATTAATCCCTACGCGGAATAAAGCTGACTTTTGGATCGAAGAGTGATGCATTTTGCGCAGTTTTTAACCTATATTGCGTCATGCAAAAACATTGACTTTTTGAAGAGAGAGGGAAAGAAGTACTCTAAAATTTGTTTTACTGTGGTATACCACTCTCAAAACTAAATGTCCCATAAAAAGTTTGGAAAAAACTTATGCTTCATGCAATCATGCATGTTGTTTTATTGTATCGAATGTAAAATTGTTTTTACCGATCATTCGAGAACATTCGTGGCCTCGCTATAAGCCTCCTTATTTCTGACATAAGCTAGGCTAGAAATTGCCCAGTTTTCAGATCTGGATTTTTTTTTCAAAATTTAAAGATTTTTGCAGCCATGAAAAGTAGTAAATTCAATCATTTTAAGATCTGATTTCTGTCACTGGAAAAGTCTTTAGATGCCGAGAGCTTTTGTAAAATGTGCCTTCACTCTTAAGAAGTCAATCTTCTCTGAATTTGTGTTCACAACTGGTGTTGTGGCGACAAAAGAATAATGGCACTTTGCCATGCCCTGCGCGTGCGTACAAGATTTAGGACGAGTTTACAAGAGGCTTTGTAAGTCATACTAGTGCGGAAGAAAGACAGCTTTTTTTGCAGAAATAAATACATTTAAGTACAAAGAGATCCTAAGCAATAATACTTCAAAACTGAGAAAGCTATGGGAATATCCTGAGAAAGACAAGCTTTGCGCCCTTCAAATACGGATTATAACTACTGAATACTACTTCTCTGGAGTTTTAGACTTTTAAATCTCTTTCACCGGTAAGATGTCTGATAATTTAAACATGTCACTTTTTTCTTTGCATTTGGCAAGAAATCCACGCATTGCTTTCAAAGCCGCATGATATCAAAGAACTTTTCCTTGAAAACGTTTGTTATATCAGTGGTGAGCTTGGTCTTGTTTGCGAAAAGATTGTAAGTCGAGGAAATCATTGGCTAGCTGTTATAACTCGGCAAGGAAAGTCAGGTTGCTCAGGAAACTTTAAATGGGTTTACAGAAAATCCGTGCAATACTCTAGCAAATTTTTCTCTTCAGCAATAATCTAATTTTTTTCGTTTATTAAAATTTAAATTCTTTTTTGACCTGCATCGAGGTAAACGCGGTGTTGTGATTAAAGCTTAAATCACTTTACTTAGCGTAAAATTTGTTAGCTTTTTCAAGAGAGCGCACAAACACCAATTGAATTGAAAATGATGTGACAAGGGCTTAGTAACGCCCCTGAATTTTCTCTGAGAAAGCTTTGGCCTTCGATGATCGCTGTTATTCGCTGCTACCAGAAAAGGAATCAATTTTAAGAATCTTAAGTAAATTAGCGAGTTGATATGTGAAGGTGTTATATGTTGCAAATTAGCTCGATGTATGTCCAAGATTTCAAGAGTGTTGTTCGCGAGACGAAACAGACAAAGTCCAACATCACGGCTCAGAACAGACACTGCGTTTCTCGCATTTTAAAACTGTCTTATTCTTGTGTTCTGGTGTTTTAGGCTGTTAGATGACCCGTAGCAAAGTACGTTAGAATAATTCGGTAGTTCTAATTCGAAATTATTTTGATTGAGATGTGGTCTTTTCGAGGTAAATCTTGAGCTTAACTCATCGCGTTAGAAATTATCGGATTAAAAAGTAAATCTTCAGTAAGTCTTCCGTTATTGTTGCATGTAACATATACTGGCACGAAAGGTTATCATTAGAGTGATTTTTATTGGCAATATCACTGCTATAGCATGTCGCTTAGCAATTTTTTTCATGAGATTCTGGACAGTTGACTAATCCCACACGACACTGATTTTTGCAATTCTTTTCAAAGTAATCCAATGGATATCCGAAACAAAATTAGCCACCACGATTCCGAAGAGCAGCGAACAATAGCAAATGTGTCTGTTTTGTTTTATAAATACAATGTTGCAATTCGCTCCGAAATAATTTTTTTAACACTTGCTGTATGCTCTCGAGAAAGTCCTTGAATTCATTAAAACATGAAGAATAGATCTTAAGCAGTCAAGCACTGGATAATTTTCCGTTAAAGATGCAAGAGACGTGTACTTTTTTTACGCACCATTGTACATTGAGACCTCAGTCCCAGCGCAACGATAATTTTTACTGGTTTTCTCTAAAACAGTATTTTACATCAATTTACTCTGGATTTAATCTTCAGTCATTTATTACTCTGTGGCCATTTTTGCTTAAAAAATTTACGGATTAGTGACTGAGGTCACCATCAGTTTGCCTTTGATTCCATTTGCTGTAAAAAAAACACGAAAAGACCCTAGATTCATTTCTATCTTTTAGGGATCTCGAGTGTTTAATCTTTCAATAGCTAGGGCACTAATCAAAAGCCGCCACAACTTCAAAACGATCAAACCTTTTTCCGATCTTCGGCATATCTTTTTATGCATATTGCAGCATTTGTGAGCAGCGATTGAGTAGGATTTTCCATGGGAAAATCGTTAAATGGTTCGATCAGCTCAAGCCTTTGTGATTTAGGCAATTTCGGAATGAATTTCATGCAGGTCAGGCAGGAAAAACTTTAGGTCGTAATTAATGAGATATCTTACACAACGCACGTTTAGCGAGTATTTTTTGAAACTGTGGTATATTTCAAATACAATTATCTCTGGCTACCGAGTAATCTTACAGTATTATCGAGGAAAACCAGACTGTTCTGGTTTTCATATTTCAGCGATTCTCTTACCCTGAAGTAGACAAAAAAAATTATTAAATAACAGTAGAGCCAGAAAGACCCTTGCCCTTTTTTCTTCCTTCTGTTGAGTAAAATCTAAAGTTCTGACTTGTGATAAAGGCAAAATAGGAGTTGTCTTTCTCTGTTTAAGAAAACAAAGATTGAATCACGTAAAATTATTAAAAAGAATTCTTTTGAATCTACTTGAGAGGGTAAACCACTTTCGCCATAAACACAATCCTTAGTAAACATTTCATAGAATATAATTACTAGATATTCCCTCTTTCCTTCAGTTCATTTAAACCCTTCACATCCTAATATCAGTGTGTAAGTTCTCCACACTGTTCTGTATACATTTTCTATGGTACTTGCGGGGAGAATTTGTCTAACAATCAAAAGCTTCTTGAGTTTACGATCGATTCTTTTATTCTCGTAACCTTAATGTTTGATTCAGGGGCTGATACTGTTGGGAGAAGCTAGATTTGTATCAGTCGTAGCGGTTAAAGAGTTAGTAATCACCAATTATTGAAATTCCAATTCCACCTGGAATCAGTAGAAACCTCTTGTACTTGATTCTTATCAGCAAGTTATAGTTTTACTTCAAGTGCTTTGTGATAATCCAGTGTGAAGTACGTTGACTTGGTCTAACGAAGATTCTAAGGAAGCGTAACTCTGTTCAGTGCGCTCAAAAACAATATGACATTAAAGGACTATTCATAGGCTGTTTAACAGCCATCTGATACTTTGTAACTATCTGTCGACGAAATTGTGTAACGACACGTAACAGATGAAAAAAGTTTAAGTTAAGTGCGTGGGAAAGGCGGTCTGTTGTAACTTTTTGCGTGAGCAGAGGAAAGCAAGAAAATCAACTTAATACTGGTTTAATAATTGCTGCTTGGGAGGAACTGAAATGCTCTCCGGCAGTAAATGAACATGCTGAAATTTTTAAATGTATATCACTAGAGGATAAAAAAAAGATGGAAAGAAATACAAAGAGTTGGTGTATTCTCGCTTTTACACTTTCTTGCAAGAATCTGCGGCTTATCTTCTGAAGGGCTTGGCCTTGACATCAAGAACCCCTCTTTCTACCCTCGGTATTGACCATTCCTGTTTTATGCCTGTCAGCTGCTACTCAAAGTAAAGTAGGGGATTTACATTTTAGAGATATTTGCACGTTCTATTGCGCAGATGCAATTATTCGGGTGGAGAGGGGGGTGAAGAATCGATGCTACCCCTTACTCTCCCCCCTGGCGGGAGGGAGGCATGTTTCGCCCAACAGGGTGTAGACCTGGAGTTTTGATTCCTCATGCCCGGGAGATAAAATTCATTGTTGAACGTCGTAAACAGGGTGTCTCTACTGACAGTGTCTTACTTTAAAACTTAATACGATCGCTCTTTCACTATCAGAATTAAGGAGCGATCAAAATGGAATTTCTGTGTTCAATATCGTTGCATTTAAAAGAGAGATGATGAAAGGGAAAAAAAATCAACCATGGGATATTGATGATTGACAGCAAATTCTCAAAGCTAAAATTATAAGAAAATGTATGGCGGAAACCAAGGAGAATTTATGTTATGATCATGGCAATGAAAGTGTTGGCTTTATGTGCGTGATAGGCCACTGGCCACATTTTATAGCGATAATTTATCCTGTACAGCACATGCGTATGAAAGGAGTTTGTCTCAAGTATGGAGAAGGTTTAAACACGTCGATGGTACTCCTCTATGCTTAAGTTCCCTCAGTGCTCCTCTCAACTGTGCTCCGTGAAACGTTAGAGGTTCTATAAAAGAGTCGATGAAAACTGCGCTCGCAGTGAAGAGGGTTATGATAAATATTAACGAATATTGCAAACAAAACACACGCTTCATGTGAGCTCTTCCTATTCCACAGATTTAATTAAATTTAATTTCCCCTTTTTAAATTAGCTTAACAGGATTGATCAATGGAACTTAAATCTGCACCTAGTGTTACGATTTTGAAAACGAGGGTACATATGTCCTATCAACATCAGCACTTAAGTATTATCGACGAAGGTTGGCATTCAATACTCGAGATATGTCATGTAACAGTATACATACAATTGACAGAGCCAGTGTTGAACTCGGCCGTGAAATTGACCAACGAACTGAGACTGCCGTTTCATGAAATCGTCGAAAGCGATCTGGCAAATGGGCGAGTCGTAAAGTTCCACTGCCAGCTTCGCTTGGCTTGAAGTCATTTCTGACAGAGCTTTTACACTCACTGCGATTATGAGGCATGATGGTCAGCTGACCAGGACCTTCATCATTACGTAAATGGCTTGCGAACTTTAAACTTTAATCGCTTTCGTGGCGAAAGAACTGAAGTGTTTCAAATCGCCGAAAAATGTTTACAAAAAGGCTTACTAGGCTCACGCAATTTTCGACCACGAATATGGCCTGGAGAAAAACTGATTAGGTAGAAATTTTATTGAAGTAAACCAATGGAAATAAATCTCATAAAATATTAAAGATCTCAAAGGCCTGTGGCATACGAAAATCGAATGGTAAGTCTGTGGTTCATTGTAAAGGTGGGGCCCTTAACAAAACATACCGACCGTCGCATGTGCTCTCTACGTCACGCAGTCTATCAGCAATGACCCATGCATACGCTGCTACAAACGACTTTGATAAATTGCCTTCACGATAGGCTGAACCGAAAGGCTTCCCTTTAATAAAATAAAGAAAACAAAAACAGACTTGTGCATTGAACCTAAACAAACAGGCACTTGTGGACGAAAATAGCAACAGCACACTTGAATGATAAATTTTCATGCAATGGGAAAATTCGCGGTTAGAAGAACATTCTGCGGCAAAATCGTAAACAAGAGTACGTAAATCACTGAACCAACCACAGTGTCGCCTGGAAACGCACACCTCGTTTCCACCCAACCGTTAAAAAAATTGAATAAATTGGTTGCTCTTTATAAGCAAGAGTTTGCACTCTTCTTCACTCCAGTCGTTATAGATGTTTAAACCGGGCCAGAACATTGAGCGATAATACTTCAGTGAATATGCAATGTCCAAATTTTTTCAGAGCGCTTTATATGGACGTAATTCTCCTCCGCAAGCAACCTGAAGCAATCCGCGCGCGTCTCTGTTGCATGGTTGTATTCCTCGCGCGTCTAACGCATACACGTAAATGATTTCAGCCATAGGAACGCCCCCAACTTTTCCTTCAATCAGAAAAATACATTTTCTTTCCCCAAAAGACTTGGATTTCCACCCAGTTTGGATTTTAGATTTGGACATTTCTTAAGGTAGGTATGGCTGTCAAAGGAACTAAAGTAAGTGAATAACAGGCATGGAAAGAATGAAAAATTCATGATTTGTTATCGTTTACCGTGGAAGGGGGCGGGGGAGGGGAGGAGAGGGAAAGTCGAATGGGCCGCTTTTACAGAGTCGACAAAATCTACAAAAGGTTCATCTCCAAGAAAGAAAAACGGAAATCGAGAAGGAAATCCGAAAACGAGAAGAGGAGGAAAAGAACTGAAGATATCTGAGCCAAGGAACTCCCTCTGCACTTTAACTGCAGCGTAAGGTTATGACTTATACACTTAACATTCTTTTCAAGTATAAGTACAGAAGTGATTGTTATAACAGAAGGAGATCGTTTTGTGTGTTCTAAGATCATGTTCCCATGGAATGGTCAACATTCATGATCAAGTTGCGTTTTGCTCGCTGAACTCAGTCACGCGTGTTATTTTACAAACGTGCATGGTCAGGTCTCATTACAAATTCATAATTCTTATTCGGATACGTGCTCGCTAAAAATCAGCTGTTGCAACATTGCTTAGTTGCGGATAAATCCTTTATAGTTCAAATAAAGGGCCCTGATTGATCCAACTGAAAATTTCTGATCGGGGGGTTTAACGCTTTGATAAAGAGTTTAGATGAACTCGGCGGGCGGGGAACTAAAGTAACGAGATGTTTTGCTCCTCTCCACTTGAAATATGAGAGCCGATATTATCCAAACGCAAATTGTGACACTTCCATGACGGAAAATGTACCAAAAAGAGATATACAGTTGATTTATTAACGTTTGTTTTTCACTTACGCTTTTAAAGTATTTCACCGCGATGTTTTCTTGCGAGCCAATCTATTCCTCGAGATCTATTCAACATTCAAATATAACATACATGCTAAAGAATTCCAAAAATAAAAATTAAGAGCGTGATTTTTATGGTCGATGGAACAGGATGAAGAAGCGAAAAAGTAAGGTAAATTTCCACTAAAGAAAAGTGTTTTGTTCTCGCAATTCATGGTATTTGTATCGGCCAGATGGAGAGATACAGATGTCAGTTGCACACGTGTATTTACGCTGTTATTTTGCAGCGGCCGAAGTGTTAACTCGATATATCGTGAGCTTCTATAGGCCTGTCTAGTACTGTTATGTAACATTTGACTGTTGTCTCTTCCGTCCGTCAATCAAGCTATTGTAGTTAGGAACTACGCATGCTCTGTTGGCTCGTCTTCTCAAATGACATAATCGTATGTCAAAGGTTTAAGTTCAATACTTTCCTTTCTGTGCACTTTCAACGAAAGTCGAGGAACATTTCTTTCGTCTGACTGAGTTTTCTGTTCTTGAATACTCGATTTCACCATCAAGAGAGCGTTCAAGAGGCCGAAATAGACATGGAAGAGGTGAGAGGGCCGCGTAAACTGCGGAAACGGTCACGAAGCGAAAGTTCCGATGATTCGACCTCCTCAAGTTCGGAAAGATCTAAGCTAAAGAAAACAACGAATGGATTTTGCAATAATAAGTCCAGCAAATTGGCCGACGATCAAGCAGTTTATGGGCGAAGAATACCTTATTTCGGCGAAAATTCAATCAATGATATCTTAAAGGTTGTGTCTCTTCAGTCATTCTCCAATCCTCGGCTGTCGTTGTTGAATGATGGTGAAAGAGACGTACAAAAGCTGTCGAGTAGGGCAGAGTCGGACTGTCTGTCTGATTCGTCAAGTGAAGAATTATCCCGCAAAGAGAGGTCAGATTCGTTCAGCGAAGAAACAGGAGCATCAAGCGAACATTCGAATCTTGGGTTGCCTTCGAACAAATCCCGCGGCAGACGAAACGATTTCAAGAATGGTAGTAGTGGGATTACAGAGGCAATTGGAAAAGATCAAAGATATTGGGAGAAACGGCAGCGAAATAACGCTTCCGCGAAGCGTTCGCGAGATGCAAGACGCGTGCGAGAACTTGAGACTCAAATTAGAGCCGAATACCTCGAAGATGAAAACTATCGGCTGAAAGTTGAAAATGAAGTTTTACGAGAGGAGAACGCGCGACTACTCAAAACCATCGAGAGGCTAAAACAACATAGCTCCAACAAGGACTAAATCGAATGATCTAGCTTGTGTAATACTGTATTTTATTTTGCGTGAATAACTCCGAGGGACAGATTCCATGAATTGACTTCATCAAATTTAAATTGTATCCTTTTATTTCACCACTGTATAGATTTATTACCTCGTGAGCGCAAAGAGGTTTTCCACTATCCATATGTTCAGGTTTGCTTAGGAGTGACGCAACCTACTCGTCTGCCTTTCCCGCCGTAGTGAATTTCATATTTTCCATCGCAATGATAGGCGGTGTATTCTTGATAGAATATTCATGCTTACGAAATAGTGAACTCGATTTAATAGCCCCAAAAGGTGGCATTTCATATTCGTTTAGCTTTATTTTCTGAGATATCTCAAGGTATCGAGATTTTTTCGTGACAAAAGAAGTGATGCAAATTTTTGTTCATTTGGATACAAACTAAGACCTCTACGGATACGTCGCGTGATAAACAGAATAAGGTATCTCGAATCTCTGTCGTGAAAACCGCGAAGCAAAGATTGGAATTTGCTCCTAGAAGCTGCTATTTGATACAAAGATATTCTTTTGACATAGTGGCGGTTTGAATTAGTTCTAACTCAGACGACTATCACGTGCCTAAGAAGGCTTTGAGCTGGAAGAACAAATGTGAAAGTGTTTACGCACGAGATCGGCAGTATGTACAACTCGTCTAAACATGTATTTCGTCGAAGGCAGTGATGAAAGGGAAGTTCTTATTGGAAGAACTGTAATCTTTTTCTAAATGGCTTCGGAAAAGTCTTGAAGAAAGAAGGTTTCCTGTCGATTGAAACAACTGGCACGTGAAATCTGAGCTTATAGATTATGCAGACATTTTGTTATTTCGGGTTTAGAAACCAGTCGCCATGTATATTTATGTGTCTTAAAATATAAGTGGTGTAACCTACTAGGGCCAATGAAATCATTAGAAATGATTTTCAATTGCGATCAGAAGAATTTGTTAAGACTATACTCAGAAACTTTTCAGTGCTGTAGAATTTAAGACCTGTAAATTTTGAAAAAATGTATGTGATAGAGACCTCACAGTTGCCCCCGTGTAAAACGGAATGTATAAAAATAACTTGTTGTGGCTGAATGTACCCTTTGTATTTGTTGAAGTGGTTTATTAACAAGATTGAAACGTTGAAAATAGTGAAACAAAGATTCAAGTGAAACTCCAGGATGTGAAAATTTCAAAATATAGCGTGCTGCCTACTGTTGAATGTTAATTAACTTCGTCTGTCCTGATATGAATGTTTCTGTAGTCAATCAATCTGCAATAGGCTTACTGAACCCTGCATTAACATATTTTGTTCCAGATTAACAATCATGCAGAGCTGGTTTGTGTTAGAGGGACAAACCTTAAAAAAAAAAAAAAAAAAAACAGCATTTACACAATATGCTATTTGTCATAGATGTGACAAATTTTATCAACTTCTCAACCACTATATGGTGGCACTGATATGAAAGAATATTATTATCAGTATTAAATATTCTTTCCTGTTTAAAAAATAAAAACTGACTTCACTGACTCAATCTATACAGTTAAGAATCAAACAAGCTTGAAGTGTTAAAAGACCTACAGGCAACCTAGATACTCAAGTAACTGTAAAAAGGGATCTGCTTTCCTGTTTACTATTAAAAGTATATTGCTAGATAAGCCTTGCTTGTGCTGTGGCATTTTAGTTAAAATGGATATGACTACATGAGTTTTATTGATAACAGTCTATAACAATCTATGATTACTGGGGCATGTTTGGGCCATGCTCTTTGAAACTTTTTTTTTTTTTTAACACAAGTAATTTGCTAAAAATACTTAAAACTCCTTTGACCGCAGTTCTATGAACACTTTGTAACAACATGTATTTAATAATTGTATTTCACTTTTCATATTAACAACACTGTAGCCAGTTACTGCTTAACATAGTAGTTAGGACAGCTCCAATAGCTGTGGTTCATGAAACTTATTTCTCAAAAGAATACTGGACAATTGTTGAAATAAAAGACAAACAGCACTTCAAGTGTTTTCCTCTTTTGTTAGGGATAGTGTTTATTTGGTTAAATCTCCTACGGAGCATTGACCCGGATATAAATTCAAAAGGATCTGAATGTCATTTACATTGTGACAAGAGAAAGGAGATCCAGTATCTTGGTCTTTTGACAAGCTCTGAATTTAAAAGAAAGAGCAGTTAATCTATTTACCTGATTTATTTCCTGACTCTCTTATTTTTCTTTTTTTTGGCTAAAAAAAAAAAGTGCATCTCAAGTTTTTTCATCATCTGCACACTTAGCTGAAAGTATTTGGGAAGTTGTGAAGATGAAGTCAGCCGTCTGCTGGTGGTAATTTTAACTTGCAGAATGTTTCACCCAAATACATCTGCCATCATTTACAGCTTAAGAGCAGTTGTTGCCTCACCAGGCAATTACACAGCTTGAGATGACTGTTAACCTAGGTTTCAGCATAACCTTTCAACTTTTGTCTGAAAATAACTAACAAAGACTCTCAATTCCAGAGTGTCATTTGATAATTAATTAAAGGATTTGCTGACATTAGATCGTCCACAATTATTAGTCTTTGTTTCCTATCATGATTGCATTGTAGGGGGGATTTTTCTTTTTGTAGTCGTGGAATTGCCTTAAGGTGTATCAGTGTATCAAAGGTTACTCAAGGAAGATTAGAGAATTGTGAAACCTGTCAAGATAATGAATGCATTTAAATGGCAGAGTTGTTGCCATTCTTTTAACAAAGTCTAAATTGAGCCTGGTTACTCTTAGGATATTTATATATATGTATATATATATACATAGTAATTCTATCAAGGAATCGAGTAAATTTAACCCAGTAACCCCTAAGAGTGTCCAGTATCTAATTTCTCCTTACAATATCACCCTTGAATCAAACATTTAGGTCATGAAAATAGAGGAAATGATCACCAACTGAAGAAGCTCTTGATTGTTGATCAAATTCTCCTTGTCAAAACCTTAAGAAATGTCTAAGGAGTATTATGGAGAGTATGTATACTGATGTTAGAGAATAAAAGGTTAATTGTATGAAAGAACTGTTGAATCTCAAGTTACTTCCCTTGTTCTCTGTTGGCTCCAGTGAAATCTAACCCCCTTTTATTAATAGTTCACGTATCTATTTCTACAGGAAGTGGGCGGTGTATGCAGCAGAACATTCGAGTGCCCTACCGGTGATTCTGGAAGTAATCCAGTCTGCGGCAGTGACAGAAGGACATACAGCAGTCGTTGCACTCTTCAGCTTGCAAAGTGCAATGGGCACAGAGTCAGAATGGCTTATAAGGGAAGCTGTAAAGGTGAGAATGATTTGGTCTTAAACACACTGCCTTATCTTTTTGCAGAATTTGGGTCTTAACCAAATCAAGAAAGAATTCCTCCTTAATTTATCTGTACAATATACAAGTGATGAGAACGAAAAAAGTATCAATCATCAGATTACTAATTGATCTGTTACCAAATTCTCCAAACTGATATAACGAGAACTGTGGGCAGACAGTAAGGAGAATTACCAATGAGACCTTGGGAGATAGAGGGTTAAGTGTTTCATGAACATCATAACTAACTTTCAACTCACTAATGGTTTGAATGAAATAAATTCTCTCATGTTAACATGCATTGAAGTTTAAATTGCAATTTCATTGCAGGTACAAGACCATCAGTGCCACAACGCTCCCACAACCTTGTAATGACCACTACAACCAAGTGTCTGCGTGAGAGACAGGAAGCACTATCAAATGCAAGAGCAAAAGATCTCATCATGCTTGGTGTCTTTGTCCCTAAATGTGAGGCTGATGGCAGCTTTAGTCGAGTGCAGTGCTTAAACTCATCAGGTTATTGTTGGTGTGTAGACCGCGAGGGTAAAGAAATGTCAGGAACCAAAGTGCGCCAGCGTACACCACATTGTCCCACAATAAGAGCACACAGTAAGGGTTTCGTTGAAAATTTTAAACTACAGTTAAGAGAAACACCAGGACCACTTATCCCTTTACACCCTAACATCAGGATTAATATTCTCTAAACTGTTCTCTGTAGATTTCCTGTGATACTGACAAGGAGAATTTGGCTAACGACTGTAACCTCTTAGGTGGGTGAACCATGCCTGAACAGTTCCATGTTGTCTAACAAAAAAACATGGCATTCATGACAACCCATCCATCTACCATTTCTCTATTTGACACCCCTGTAAGTTCCTCTTCACCCATTCACTCCAAAGAGTGACCAGTATCTCATTTCTCCTTACAATGTTACCCCTGAGTCAAACATTAAGGTCATGAGAATAACAGAAATGATCACCGACTAAAGGAGTTCTTGATTGTTAAACAAATTCTCCTTGAGAAAGATGTTTTTTGTCTTGTCACAAGCATGGGACAAAGAAAAAATTCTGATTCCCCAGGAAGAATTGAACCTTAGACCTGCAGATTCTACCCTCCCATGCTCTGCCACTAAGCCACAGAGACTCTATGGTGAGCGAGGTCTATTATGAAGTTCATATGACAGGCGTCCTGCATACTGTTAGGATTAGCAATGTCAATAGTGGCATGTTTGTACATTGAATAAGAGAGATGGAAAGTTCTCCTTCTCAGCACCTTAGGCAATTTATGGAGAACAGTGTGGAGAAATGTATTCTGATGTTAGGGTGTCAAGGATTAAAATTAAAAGTATTGTTAAGAAAAGCAGAAGTTAGATGTGATTGTGTAGGACAAGTGTGAGTGACTCTTAACCCTTTGAATCAGCAGAGTGACCAAAGCAGAATTTCTTCTTACAGTATCAATACATTAACAAGCAGACAAGTGATGAGGATAAAGAAAAATATCAATTAGGGGATTACTAGTTGATCCAATACCAAGTTCTCCAGACTTGCATCATGAGAATTGTATGTTATAGACAGGGAGGAGAATTACTGATGAGATCTTGGGAGTGAAAGGGTGAATTCAGACCATGACCAAGATCTTTTTTATGTCCCATTTTTCTAGGTCAGCCATCAGAGAAACCATCAGGAAAAGGCTGGAAGTCAGTAAAACCTTGCATTAATTGTAAAGGTGAGGTATTAAATAGCTGCTGACGATAATCTTAAAGATTCAATAAAATGTGTTGTTAGGAAATAAATTCAGGAAGTCATTGAATCTACTGAAATCACAACCACATATACTTACAAAAGATTCATTTTGACTTGTTCCAGGTTGTCCAAGAGATGCACGCACTAATTTTAATGATAAGCTTGTGAAATTCTTATCGAAGCAATTCATGGAATATGTTAAAAAATCTGCATCCAGCTCAGGACAAGTTCAAGGTAATAAAGGAATGACTTTGCTTTGTTTAAGAGTTTTTGCTCATGCCACATAACTGTGACACTTTCAATAAAAAATTTACAAAAGTGGTTAAGAAACCATTGCCTTTTAACCCCTGGAAAAATTGTGCACCAGAGGGTTGGTCCTAGGCCTTGGCTGTAACTGTTAAGGTTTATTCTTAGGAATAAACCTCAATTTATTTATTGTGCACCTTGTTCTACCAAGGAGGGTAAAACAAAGACTGTGAATCTTGATATTCACTGCATCCTGACTGTCTGATCAAGGAGGAGAATTAATTATCATCTGTGTAAATGGCCTAAAAATGGAGAAAAAAATGCCCCATTAATTGAAGGGCTGGACTTGAGAGTCAAGAGGTCTAGGTTTGAAAACTGGCCAGGTCTAAGTGTTGTTTTTTTGGGTAAGATGTGTAACTCTCATGGTTCGCTTTTTCAAAGGGCTAATACTTGAAAAGTCAGCTTTGAACTCATTACGGAAGCCAGTTTATGTTATCAACTCAGTTGATAATACTTAATAACCCTGTTATACTCCCCTACTGACACATCACCGCAGTCTCTTTTGAAACTTACCCCCTTAACTCTCATGGTTCCTCTCTCTGCTCAGTATAAATGGATACCAGTAAATTGTCGTGGAAGCCTTACATAATGCTGGGGACATGGTAACCTTGCATTGGATTGGCATCCTATCTAAGGGGGAAGTAAAGAAAACCATTGTTGCTTCATGCAGATGAAACTGGGAAAGGTTCTAGCTGGGTGGGTCACTCACATAGAGACTTGACCATTGCTTTCTAGTGTAAATGACATTCCATTTTAAACCACACAGCAGAAACTATGGGAGATCCCTAAGTGGACATATTTTCAATTTTACTGTACAATCTTTTGTAGGTCAGTCAAGCAGCATGGGTAAAGTCCATCTTCTACTCTGGAAGTTCACACATCTTGACACCAATGCTGATTACATGTTGGAAATGAAGGAACTCCATGCTTTCCTCAAGATTACAAAAAAAACCATTCACCCTAAAAAGTGCAGCCGCACTTTCATGGCTTACTGTGACAGGGAAAGAGACCATAAAATTTCACTCAATGAGTGGTACTTTTGCTTTGGAGTGAAAGGTGAGGTAGACATTCATCAGGAGAAAAGAAAAATGAAACTTAAATGTAAAGGTGTGGCTAAGTTGTTTCTGTAGAATAATTGTTGATCAAGAAATGAAATTTCAAGTAAGGCAGCCCAAAGATAGCCTTTGATTTTCCACCAACAAGTGTTAGTGCGTAACCTTAGAAGTGCCTATTAAGCTTTTTTGCTGAGCAATCACTGGTCAAAAATCAAGCCAGGGATTGCCACTTTTTCATCTGGCAACTTTTGCAGACAAGAGACAACCTCGAGACCCCTCTTATTGTCAAAAAGATTGATACTGTATTAATATTGAAGTAATGATTGGAAATAATCTAGAATACCTCACCCAGCCCATGCCTCAGAACATTAGAACCTAGTCACACCCATGACAATTGACATAACTTACATCTTCTTGATCAACAGAAATTAAGAAGTGCAGTGGTGAATATCTCGCAGCGCTGAAAGCAAGTAGGCATTCTTCCAGTGAAAACCAACCATACTTGCCTCGTTGTGCCACTGATGGTTCATTTACTCCAACCCAATGCCATTACTCCATTGGTTACTGTTGGTGTGTTGATATCGACACTGGCAAACCAATTCCAAATACGACAACGAAAGCTACATCTTTGGACTGCCGGAAGTACCGTAAGTTATTTAAACCAAAGAGTGACCAGTATTTAATTTCTCCCAACAGTAATACTGCTAAATCATTCATGGGAATAGGACTAAAAGAATTGATCATCAACCTTAAAGAAGCTTTGATTGATAAAAAAATTCTCCCTGTCAGTACCAAAGGAAATGTATAAAGTAGAGTATTGAGAAAATGGATGTGGATGTGGATGCAAGGGTATAAGGGGATAAAAATGTAGCTCTCATTTTCTTAAATTCATGAAAAGTTGCAGATCTGCAACATTGATGTGGTGGATTAGGAAAATGACAATTTTAAGCTTGATTGTCAAGCAGCAAGAGAAGCTCAACTTTTGTTAATGAGAAATTTTTTTCTTTTCAGTGTCAAAACAGAATGCAACTGGCTTAGCAAAGAAAGGTGAGCTCCTACATAGTTCTAAAGAACTGTTCTTCACCTGCTACCTCTCATACATTAGGAGTGATTCTCTTCCTTCCAGATCAGCAATGTTGATCACACACCAGCTCTCATCTGCTCAACTTTTCTTAAGGCTAATGAAATATCCCATAGAACTGCAGCCTGATACATTTGTTTGATACGTTTACCCATTAACTTGCATGAGTAACCAAAACATAATTTATCCTTATCGTATCAATACAATATCAAGCAGATTACTGATGAGAATGAAGAAAAATATCAATTAGGGGATCACTAATTGATCCTATACCAAATTCTCCAAACTAGCATCATAAGAATTGTATGGCAGACAGTAAGGAGAATTACTTATGAGATCTTAGGGGTGAAAAGATTCAGTTAAAGCATCAACCAATCCAGGAAAGCTTTATCAATGATCCTACTGTTGCAATGACATCTGATTTTAGTTGGGGGGGTGGAGATACAGTTTTGTCAAAACTTATCACAATATCATTGGAAATTTTTTAACATGTTTGGAAATTGCCTAGGGTTTGGGCTTTTCCTGTGGAAAAATGATGTCCTCTACTAAGAGAATCACACCTTTGACTCCAAAAAAAATGTTGGCTTACATACTATCATTGTGTTCTGATCAATCTTGCCTCTTCAATCTGCTCACTATATGTATTCTAATGAATGATGTTTGTTGTTACACCTAGAATGTGCTCAAGATTTGTGGATGTCATTCAGGAAACAAATGCTGAGACTGTTCAGGAGAGAAGTGGGTGAAGACTCTCCAAAACATGAAGAAGATCAAGGTTATTGATGATTTAGTTATTTAGTTAAAACCCTTTACACCCTAACATTAGTATGTAGATTCTCCTTACTGTTCTCTATACATTTCTCAAGATGCTGACAAGGAGAATTTGTACAATAATCAAGAGCATTTTTTTGTTGGTGATCATTTCCTTCAGGGACATGTCCTTAATGTGTGATTCAGGGGAGATTTTGTAAGGAGAAATTTTAAAAAAAATTTCCAATGTATGTTAATTGCATCTAGGAGGATTGTTGACAATGTTTCAAAAGTGTCATAAGTCATTTAAGCGAGCGAAATCAAACTGATTGAAGAGAATGTAAAAGGTAAATTGGTAAAATTTTAGCAAGGTGACATTGAGTAATTTTTAGTACAGTTGTAAAACTGAATGCAGCTTGTCTTGTCATGAGGGTAAAAAAAAGTCCACTTATGTCTGAGTCTTCCATAAGAAATTCCAAAATAAGTCCCAGACCACTGGATTTTGCAATTATTTTCTTGACCTTTGGAAATGTTTGCTTCCTTCAAGTTGAGTTTGAGTTATATTAGTAATTGTGTTGATCTTTCTTGCTTCTGCACAGTTGAATCAATAAGAAACCAACGCAGAAGTGCCAGATCAGGAAACCTTCAACTTTTTGGCACCTTTCTATCAGATAATCAAGTTTTAATCTGGAAGTTCAACCGATTGGACAGTAACAGGGACAAACTGCTTGTGTCAAGTGAGTTTCTCACATCAACCATGAAGAAAATTCTCGGAAACGTTAAACGAGGACGAAAATGTGGCAAAAAGCTGTTGGTTGATTGCGATCTTGACAAAGATAGAGGTTTATCAATGATGGAATGGACCCTTTGCCTAAGAATACACCATCGTCGCATGCCGCTGCAGTAGTTTGTGGATATCATCATGCAAGTGTGATTCATTTCACAAGATCCAAGAACACGGCAGCTTGTGTCCAGCACAAGAAAGCAGGCCCAGATTAGTAGAAGTATGGACTGGTGATGCTGCAACCTCTATGTAAAACATGATGAAAATAGTCTCTCTTGTAGTTTCCAGGCCTCCTGTGCTTTTCACACAGGAAAAGTCAGTAAATGATTTAGTTGTGTCCTATTCCCATGTAAGATGTTTCAATTGATCTCTCACCAAAATACAAGCAGACAAAAAAACAAATTTAAAGAGAGATCAGAATTCAACAAGATGCCATAAACGAGAGTTGAGAAGGAAATTTCTGAAAAGAAGTAAAAATCCTGTTTCTTTTTTTATACATGCAATGTAATTCCAATAACTTTATTCTCTGATATTTTGGGCTTTGAACTTTGTATTTTAATAGTGTAGGGAATTATTATCATGACTTATACTTTACCCTGTCACTCCCAAGAACTTATCAGTAATTCTCCTTACCTTCTGACATACATTTCTTATGATATTAGTTTGGAGAACTTGGTATTGCATCAACTTGCAATCTCCTCATTGATATTTTTCTTTATTCTTATTACTTGTGTGCTTGATATTGTATGGATGTTGGTCGCTCAAGGGAGTTTAAGGATTAAACTTATATACCACTGTTAGCATTACCTTAAGAGTGACTAGCATCTAATTTCTCCCTACAATATCACCCCTGAATCAAATATTAAGGTGACAAGAATGAAGAAAATCAGATAACCAACTGAAGTACCTGCTGATTGTTAAACAAATTCTCCTTGTCAGCACCTAAGGAAATGTATAGAGAATTGTATGGAGGATATGCATACTGATGTTAAACAAATCAGATGCAGAAATTAAGCAATTTTGATTTGCTTACTTCTTTTCTGTGGACTTCGAGAAATTTACAACTTAAAATAATTCGGAATGGTCAATCTTATGATAGTTTCTTGTATTCTAATCAATGCAGCAAACACCAGCCATTCAGTGGCAAATTAAAATAAAAGCAGTGTCAACGCATAGTACCAGCATAGCGTACTTGGACAAATCTCACAAGAGACAGTTTTTATTAATATATATATAAAATAACATTATTCTGTGTTGTACATAAACCCTAGCTGTGCAAGAGCTTCTAGGAGATAAGGGTTTTTAAATTATGAGGTAATATTTCTTTGCATGTACTATACTCAATACATTACAGATTGGTACATGCTCCTATACAATAATTATTCAACTAACTGAGGAACAGCAGAAACAGTGAAATTTGATAAAGGAGCAGCTTAACTGCCTGACAACCATATGCATGTCTTATTTTACCATTGCCAATAAAATTGAACCCACAAAGGGACAGGTGTTGCTTGGAGATACACCTTTCACTGCAATCCACTTCAAGTTTCAGAGTGAGTAGTTTACAAATACATTTGATTATCAAATATCATTAACAAGGAAACTAAGTTAAGAATATTTTAACCCACAATGGAAATGACAGAATCAAGACGCAGCAGCAGTATGTGGAGACCTTCATTGGTACCCATAGAAAACACAACAAACCGGTCTTAGAATAGGAAATTATACAGATTTTGCAGTAGTAGAAAATGACTTTCTCATTCAAAATGTGATATTATTAAATATCGTTATAATCAACTATTTAAAGAGACCTTTGCAAGAACTGGCAGTTCTTTAGAAAAGTAGAGAAAATTGTCAGTTCAATTCTTAGAGAATTGGACCAGGCAGCTTCATGATATGGATACATAATTTTAAAGTTATCATGGCTAATCAACAGTCAATATTAATAATGATTGTCAATCTATATAAATAAATGACTAGAAATATTCAAACAAACTTAAAATAGTTTTGTTACTTGTTTAATTGTGAATCCCAAAACAAGAACCCGCACTCCAAACCCTTCCAATTTTTTACTAAAATGCTCTACCACAGGGCCACAGACAGCAGCCCAATTCTGAACTACTGGTAGGCCATTTATGTTCTCATATGACTAAAGTCCAGTATACCACTAGGATCAGCAATGTTAAACACAGCAAGTGTATTGCACTGTATGATAGGGAATTTCCTGAAAAAGCACCCATGCTTTAAAAAAGCACCCTCCCTCAACCGAGTGCCCAACTCTTAATAAATGCCCACCCCCTAGGCCTTAATGTCAAACAAGCTCTTCTCTTAAATAGGTGCCCCCTGCCTCATCCCCTCAGCCCTCACCTTCTGAAATGATACCTGTTACTATTACTACTTGATTTGTAACTTTTCAAGCTTCAGCTAAAATGGAATCAATACAAGATTTTCTTACAGTTTCTTTCTGTTAAGTCACTTTCTGATATATCTATCCCTGTGAGAAAGTTGTTCTCTTCAATGGTCCTATTGCCACACATGGTAAATAGTAAACACTTCCCAGGAATAACCATACCATTCTCTTGTCTTTGAGGACCAGTAATCTTTGTGATAATAAGGTTATTGACAAAGCACCCTGTCAGTTTTTATTATCATCAATATTAGTATTATTTTCATTATTATTATTATTATTATCATTATCATCATCATGGCCCATATTTGAGGTTAGCAATGAAATATGCATGTCAACCACATTTTTAAAAAGTAAAAATGTTTACTAATTGGACTTCACATCATGATAAGAATGTAAGTTTTGCATATACATGAAATTATTTACATAATGATCAACTTTTGACTAAAAGAACTGAAGGATATTTACAAGTGTCCACGCACACACACACAAAACCATTATGTCCTTAATTAGCACTCAAGTTTGAAACAACTGAAAAAGTTTTATTCTTTGAGAAGAAATTACAAGTCACAACAACTATAATCCTCTCCTTAAAACCACAACAAAAATACTTTTTGTTCCTGTCCTCAAGTCCAAGCCACTGGTGCAACATTTTCACAATTAACTATAGTATTGGGAACAAGTAGTATCTGATTTTGTCTCATATTATACAATTTATAATTATCAAAATTGGATATCTACAGGATAGGATCAGAGTCTGATTTGTAAAATTACAAACAGAACTGGACAACAAAAAGTTCTTTTACCAGTTAAAGCCAAAAAACCCCCAAAATTTTAGAAACAAAATACCCATTGATTCAATCTGTTCTTAAAGAAAAAATAAAACAGTTAATTAGTTCCATCATGAATCTGACATGTTTGAGAATTTATTATACTTGAATTTAATTTTTTTTATTAATTACTTTTTACAAGTTTTGATATAAGTTATACCCTCAGTAATACATTCATTTAACCCTTTCATACCCAATATCTCATTAGCAATTCTCCTTACTCTATGACATACAATTCTAATGATGTTAGTTTGGAGATTTTAGTGTTGGATCAACTAATAATCCCCTACTTGATATTTTTCTTTATTCTCATCACTTATGTGCTTGATATTGTATTGATATTGTAAGGGGAAATTCTCTTTTGGTCGCTCATGAGAGTAATAGGGTGAAATTATCAGTCAATCCCTTCCATCCTGGTCAAAATACTCCTGAAGTCTTTTAGCAGCAGCTACTCCATCCAGTCCAGTATGTTGAGAAACAAGAATTTCAAGTTGCTTTCTAAGACCATTCGTTCTGAAACAAAATAATTTTAGTCATGTTTAGCATAGTAACTTGGAATTTTAATTAAAATTTAACTCAAACTTATCAGGTATAAGTTGTTATCTTGATCCAACACCAAATTCTTGTTAGTAATTAGCAAGGAAATGTCATGCAGCTAAAGGAGAGAATTACCCATCAGATATTGGGAGTTAATTAAAATAAATTCAGATTCAGGAAGAAACCTTCTTAAGACATGTTTGGGCATGAACCATGCTATCATCGGTTTAATCTATCAAAATGTTGTAGATTCATGAGGCACAGCCATGCAACTGTCAGTTTGTTTTTTACCACAATGTCAAGGTCATATAAAACAATTCTTTCTGTGCATGACCATTGCATGACATGTTGAGGGGTGCAGGGTTGTCTTTACTCTTATTGACAACAGCAAATTGGCCAATCAGATTGCAACATTACTGCCAATTGTGGTAAAATGTACAATACTGCCTTTAATTTTACACCATAATTTGTTTGGTGATGATGATACACTGTAATTATTATGTAGAGGTGACAAAATGTTGATCATGATTAACAGGAATCCTGAATTCTCTTCAGCAGACCTACCTTGCTCTTTCTCTCACTTCAGCATAAATCTGTTGGTTTCGTCTACTTAACTCTTCAGCATGAGCCTTGTATTTGCTATGACGTGAGCTGAAGGTAAATGCAACATAATGCTCACAGTTAAAACTACAGGGAACTTTCCTTAACTCTGACAACAGTGACCAGTGACAATGTTACAAATACTTGCCCTGTTAAAATAGTCCATGGCAATCTTGACAAAAAATGAAAAGGAAAAATCTTGGTTACCTTATAACAAAGTACTCCACTGCTCCTCCAATTAGCATGAAAGCCAGTGCACCAAGAACAATCTTCCTATTAGACGTTTGTCTCCTAGATGAGTTGGCAGCTGGGTACACAAAGTCAAAATCTCTTCTTTGTCTGGAGATAAAACAATATATCATTGGTATATACTAAGACAGTGGATAGCATTGAAAGTGTTCTCTGATTGGCTACTTAAACTCCAAATATCCTTTGCTATCCACCTCCAAGCAACTCACTCTGGGTTTGCACCTGAAAATATTTTAACTGTTGCAGGATTAAAGGAGTCAAAATCATCTGTTTGTGTTATATTATCTCATTGTTTTAGTTTTCACCAAAACAAATATTCACTTCCATGTTGGTGGTTAGTGTTAGATATTTACCTCACCACTTCATGACTCAGTAAATATCCAACACTAGCCACCCCCACTTTAGTGAATAGTTTTTAATTATACATATGTAGATTTTTCTGGACACTCCAAGAACTGTAGTTTTTAAAATAAACTGCGTGACTTTGAAAACTTTTAAAATGAGGAATAATTCTGGAGTGCAATTAAATATCATTAAGTTTCAGAAAATGAACCAATCAGGCCTCGGAAAAATGGGTAATGAATACATTGGAGCTACTAAGCTTCTAGTTTTGTGATTCAAATTTTGTCCTCGTCACCACATTACAAGAGATAAGCCATACCCACACTAGCCATTTTTCAGAGCAGTAATTTTCTAAAATTAATTACATAAAGTTGTCATCATTATTAAAAAATATCAAGACAGCAAATAGAGCTTACTTAAAAAGTAGGTAAGTTAGAAAATAAATTATTGATGTTGAAAATAAGTCATTTCTAAATAAAAGTTTAAGATCCTTTACATATAATAATGTTAATTGTAACAAATGTGAAATTACCTGTAGTTGGACTGACTTGTGGCTCTGTCATAATAATATTGTTGAGCAGATTGCCTAGCCAGAAAGGATGAAATTCAAGAATTCAGATCCACAAAACTGAAGTTGACGTGACTAAGATTCATGTTACAGTATTGTGTGGGAAACTGTTACACAGTATATTTCAAATAAACCATAAATTTTAACTACCAAAAATTCTTGGCATCTTATTAATTCATAGAATGTTAATGGAAGATAAACACTACTTTTCTACAGAAAAAAAAAGGGTTCTCACCGGTGGGGTGGTACTGGACCAAATGGGCTTCCTGCTGGAGGCCTGGTAACTGATGGGGATTTTAGTTTTAAATCATATTCACGCCGTTGGCTTGCATTGCTCAATATACCGTATGCATTGTTGATCTACCGTGAAAAAATATCAGACATTCGTGATCAAATAAGATGAGGTTTTACACATAAGTCTTCTAGGTCCAAGGCTCGTTTCTTGAAAGCTATATGATAGAGCCAGAGGGTGGCTCATAAGATTCCCTCCAGAATTTTGCAAAGTTTTCCTGACAGTTTCCCAGTCCCCAGGAACATCTAGACCATTCTCTTGTCTTTGAGGACCAGTAATTTATCTGATAATAAGGTTATTGACAGAGAAGTTTCTTGAGAAAACACTAAATAATGGATAAGTGCCTCCCTTAATAATTACCTATTATTATTATTATTATTATTATTATTATTATCATTATTGTTGTTATTATTATCATCATCATCATGGCCCATATTTGAGGTAAGCAATAACAAGTGCATGTTGACTGCATTTTTAAAAATAAAATAAAGTTCTCTAAAATCATATGCATTGTGTTTTCATGTCCAATACAAGTCATTACCAAATACCGCTCTAATATAAGCTTATTTTAAGGTGTTTGATCAAAAATCAAAATGTAAACATTGTTTACGGTACGAGTAATGACAACAAAAGCAGTACCTGCATCAAATTTCCCAAAACAGAAAACGTTTCTCACCTTCAGAATCAGAGTTAAGAACAATTCTAGACAGACTTAAATTTCATTCTCATTTGTTTCTTAATTGGAGCTTCAAATCATGATAAGAATGTTAGTTCTCCCTATTTGTATTCTGAGTTGAGCAGACCCCTGTGAGACTGTAGTGTTCTGCCCAAGAACACTAACACCCACTCTGACCCATAAGTGGCTGGGCTTGATCATGAAGACCTTAAACTGTACCTCACTTAGTCCAAAAGCAAAACAAGATTTACCTGCACAAATCTTTCATGGAGTTCTGGCTTATTTGGATTCTTGTCTGGGTGTGACTGATTTACATGTAGAAAAAAGAAAAAAAAAATCAGTAAATGTGTTGTAAATGTGCATGTGCCAGTGAACTAATGAAAAAAATGCATCTATAAATAAAAATGAATATGTCTGTGAGAAATTTGTTACTGACTTAAGTGTATCATCACATGTGTAACGAGAGTTGTGAAAGGAAGGTCTTGATTCTGTTTCATGCATGAATTTGTAAAAGGACAACTTTAAATCTATCTTCTTACTTACAAGGTTTCAGGGAAATCTTGAGGTTTTTATAATATGAAAAGAAAAATTCCCAGTTCATGTATATTTCAGAAGAAGAAGGCAAAGCACGTCTCACGCTGGTTCATGTTACAAATCATGCTTTCCTTTCTGTAAAATTCATGTCACACATATTTGGCCTTAATTATGCTGTATATCACAGAAGGCCTTTCAAAGTTTCTATTTGGCCAGCTAAAATCATAACTTGGCCCCCAAATGAAACAAAAAAAGCATGAAAATTGGTCAATGTTGGTAAAATTGTTAAAATTGGTGACTTTCCTAGCACATTTACTTGCCAAACATTTTTTTTTCATGGTAAACTGGTTCCAGCTTTGAATGCTGCAAACATGTACAATTACAGTGGCCTGCTGTCTGGTAAGTCTCTGTCATTAATTCCACTTTCCTGAACAAATCTAGTTTAATTTACTGTTTAATGACCCAGACAGTCCCATCACCTCTTTAGATTTTGCAATAAAAGCATCTCTTATTTCTCCAAGTGTAGCCTTTTCTGATACACCAAGGACATCATACAATGTTGGTTTCCCTGTTGACCTGTAGAGGGGAGAATGGACAAACAGATCATGAGAATTAAAGAGTTAAACTTAAAACATGTCAAGCTCTAAATTAACTAATATCATCTTGTTTTACTTCCATTCTGAAAAAATAAAGGGAAAATATGTACAAAAAGTCTTTTGACATCAATCATCTCCATCCATTAGGCATAATTATGTGATTGTTATTCCTCCTATTAATAAAAAATAATAATAACTTTTTGTCACATCAATCAAATCTGGTAGGAGGCCCATCCATTTGAGGCAAATATCCATTTGAACCAGGGACCTCCGATTGTTAACCACTTCCTTCTATTAAACCCTTTAACTCCCAGAAGAGATTAACATGTAACTTCTCCCTAATATATCCAAACACTGTCCACCAAATGAGTTATGAGAATACTCAAACTTATCAGGTAGAAGTTGTTATCTTTATCTAACCCTTAGGAATTCTTATTACTAATTTAAAGGGAAATGTTTAGCTGCTAGAGGGGAGAATTATTAACAATCAGATCTTGGGAGTTAAACAGTTATGGCAGGTATAGAATATCAAGTAGCTACCTAATATCATTCATTCTAGTCAAGCCAAATTTGTGATTCTCGCAGGTACATATATATAGATACATTATCTTACTGCTAAGTATCATTATAATCATAGCAATACTAAAATTAATGTACAAGCAAATATAAGAGTGAATGATCTATTTCTAAAAATAACTTTCATCATTCGCGGAATGAAAAAGAAAGATATGACTCAACTGGCCTTATTTATAGACCAATAATTTTGCACTATGGCTTAAAGCTGAAGGAATATTCTTTACCTTGTTGAAGCGGCAGCTGAGTATGGGCAACTCAGGAGAACTTGAAAAGGGTGACATTGTTCTTCCTTCTTAAACAAGAACATGACGTGTATATAACCACTCCTAGTGTCTTTTGCTAATAATATAAATAAGAATAAAATCAACCAATAATCAGTTAATCAATAATGTTAGAGGCATGTGCATGAGCTTACAGGTCACACATTTTGAAAGAAACTGTTCAGCAGCAACTATTGGAAAGGGAACCTTTGATGGCAATCTTGTCCACAGTGTTTGAAGAAGTGGAAAATTGCCCAAATAGGCAGCAATGTCATTCAATTATATAAGCGGCCCTACATTCTTTAATATATCCCTAATTTAAGAGTTTCCTTCGATTTCTCTTTACCATTCCATCCATATCTCGTTACTATCATAGATGTATATATCGAGTTTAGCCTGCCAAATATTGCCACACGGTCGTCTTCTGTAAGCCAAAGAGTCAGGTTTCTTTATGTTCTTTCTTTCCCAGATTAAATGTTAGAGAGAATTATAAAGATTCCCTTATACACGCCACCTGCACAAGGTAGCTGAGTTTTTTTCTCCCTTGATCTTTTTTCATTCAATCACTAAATGATCTAACGGCAGACAGATATCTTCCGTTACATAAGCAGAATAGCTCAAACTTAAATTATTTAGAAAAAGAGCTTTCTTCAATTCCTAATCAGTTAAAAATCTGTATAAAAATACAAATCATGTTAAAAAAAATACCTCTGTAATCGTTCTAGACAGCCTGGGTTACCCTTCTACCGAACAAAACAGACACTTCGTTTCGATCAACTGAGCTATCTCGTCCGCCATCTTGGCGGACAACATAAACATCTCCACCCTACCCATGACGATCCAAGAGCGTTATCGTGTAAACGTCATCATTTTACACTGCTCATGCGTTGTGCTGAAAGCAGTTGTTCGAAGAAAACATGGCGGCAACCAAAAGATACTTCCCGCTTTTCCTCGAGTTATTTTTCCTTCTTTCCGTTTGCTGTCTCCCTGAACCTGGTAAAAAGCAATTAAAATTTAGTAAGGTAAGCGACAGTTGACTTTCTTGGCTACATTCTGTATTTTGTTTTTGATCGTGAGAGGCTGTTTATCGCAGTCTGTATTCAGAAGCTGATATTCACAAATTGATTTATTGACGTCTCTTGTTTTCCTTATTTCCAGGAACATCATCATGGTGGTTTTCCTAAAACGATGAATAAGGGTTATACTGTCGCAATGAAAGGTTTGTTCGCAAGCTGAGGCTAATTTCATTTAAACGATCGATTGATATTGTCGTGGAACTTAACATGATACAGTACGCTGTTCGTAGATACTTTTGCAAAATCAGCTTTTTTTAATGCGATGTCAAGAAATGTTGATCAGATGTTGACAGAGATCTTTGTAATTATATTTCTATTACTATCATTGGCATTTTTCCATCAGATTCTCTACTGTTATAATTTCTCTGGGATACATGTAATTGTTATTTAAAATTCAAAAAAATTTCATCGTTCGTAGAATCTTGCCCAAGTCTCTCGCAGATACGGTCCGCCCTACAGGCTCCAGATTAGCGCATTTGTATGGTTTACTAAAAACACACAAGGAGGGCTTGGCGATGTGCCCTATGCTGTCAGCAAAACAAACATACAACTACGCTTTAGCCAAATGGCTGGACTCTAAACTCAAGTCTCTGTTCTTGAATCATTATATGGTAATTGACATGTTGAATACGTGAACGAGATTCACAACTTGGAAATCGCAAACAGTGGCATTTTGGTTTTGTATAACATGTCTTCCCTGTTTACTAACATACCCCTAGATGAAGCAATAAAGGTTCTTGTGAACAAAGCTTTCACAGCTTTTAGCGCATTTGTATGGTTTACCAAAAACACACGAGGAGGGCTTGGCAATGTGTCCTATACTATCAGCAAAGCAAACGTACAGCTATGCTTAAGCTAAATGGCTGGACACTAAACTCAAGCCTCTGAGGACCTCTTATCACAGCATTTTGATCACCCCTGATGAAGGCACTAAACAGGAGTGTCGAAACGTTGGGTCTATGAATTGTAACTTCTTTGGTTACATTCATTAAATCTGTAAACCAGAGTAACATCAAATCATGTCTGATTGTCCACCTGGTTGCCATGTGGACTTAAATATATTTTATTTGAGAGCTTTCACAAACTGGCTTAATACAACCATACGACTTGAACCTCACCAAAACTGATCTTGTTGATCTTCTCAGTGTAGCTAACAAAAAACAATTATTCCAGTTCATTGGTGCTCTGTGCAAGCAGACAAATGGCGTGGCCATGGGATCCCCTCTTGGTCCCTTTCTAGCTAATGTGTTCCTGTCCCACATGGAAGAAAACCTTGAGGGAGAGGGCAAACTCCCTTCTTTCTATCAAAGATATGTATGCAATACATCCACCATCATGCTAAATATAGCAACAGCATCTAACTTCCTGGACATGCCTTAACATGGCACATTCCTCTGTAAAATTCAATCAAATTCAATGGCATGCTCCCATTTCTGGGTATCCAGTTATTGAACCAAGAGTCATGTTGATACTTGGTTCAAAAAGGGTCCACTAAGAACTACACCTGACAGAGCACATATTTTATCTTTATCTTGGTCACATTTTTCCGATGAATGTGACCATTCAAAGACAGTATTCTCATGTTTGAAGTTCCACCAAATGCCTCATTTACTCTACCATCAAAAGTTTCATTGACTCAAAGCATTGTGATCATCAGCAACTTTTGTCAACCTCTAAAGAGCCAGATGACACAGTTCATGTAATTTTGCCATTTAGAGACCAAATCTCAGCAGATATCATGAGAAAACAACTAAAGGATCTGAGCTTAAAAGTACACACCACCATCCAGCCTGTGTTTGTGAGTGGAAAAATTGAACAAGAACTAAATTTCAAAGAAACAAAGCCACCAATTGTAAATCAGCAGTATGTTGTTTATATTTTTCAGTGTGACCTGTGCAATGCAGGTTATGTAGGTTACACATGTAGACATTTATATAATCGTGCAAAAGGACATAAACAACAATCCTATGCTATTGCCAAACACTACAAGAACGTGCACGGAAAGATGCCTTAGGACGTGCTAAAGCATTTCGAAGTGCTCAAGAAATGCAGAAACAAATTTGACTGTTTAGTGAATGAAATGTTTTTTTACAAGAGCTTTAAAGCCAACTCTCGATGTGTAATCAGACTCCATTCAGGCAAAAGTATTTTCATAATCTTGGCATCCTTTGATGTTAACCCTTCTATGTTGGTTTTTTGTGCCAAAATTGCTTTTAATGCTGTAAAAAATTGTATGCAAAATAAATAAATGAAAAGTGCAACAATTACAAAGATTATTCTAGATGCAATTCAAATTTTTCTTCTGTAGCAGCCATAATTTCCCAGTGAATAATTTGAGATATCTTGTTGTTTCATACAGATACTGTAACATCCCTAGCTTAAAAACTTATCAATTTAAATTTCTGTTTTGTTTCATGAAGGGCAATGCAAAGGAGGTTATAAAGGAAAAATCTTTATTAAATGGCGTTTGGCGGTTTCACCATGTGCTGAGATGTTCTCACCTTTGGAGGTACATGTTTCTTGAATGTTCCCTGTTTTGTCACATCTTTTAAATTTCCTGAAATTCTACCAATTTTTTGGATAGTAATCAGCTTTCAAAGTTTTTAAAGACTTTTATGAGCTTTTCTTGTGTTCTGTTAGACCATGACAAGTCCATGACTTTGATAAAATTATTAGAAATGTTATGTTTTATTGTGATGACGTCCTTTCTCTATTTTGTCAATAAGTAGGATTCAAGCCCCAGAATCTTGTAATTTTGTGTATGCGTGTGGGTGTTAACCCTTTACCTCCCATGAGTGACCAAGACAGAATTTCTCTTAAGAATTTTAATACAATGTCAAGCAGATTATTGAGGACAATTAAGAAAATTATCAATTAGAGTATTATTAGTGGATCCAAAACCAAATTCTCTAAACTAACATCGTAATACATTGTAATACATTGTATGGCAGACAGTAAAGAGAATTACTGAAAGGGTTTAAAAACTTTTCATTTCTATTCAGAATGGTGGTGATGATTCAGGAGAGGACCGTGTTGGTATAATTTTTGATAGTGGTTATGCCAATCACTCACTGAATGGAAACTACACTGTGGATTGTGAAGCTGTAATACATTTTGCGGTTTGTATCCATTTGCCTTGAACTTTTGGTTTTATATCTACTCTATTTCCTCAAATAAGCAACCAGTTATATCTTATAAGTTATATTGTCAAACAAGTGCCCCTCACAGATGAATTATGGTCCAGTCGCCGACAGTTCAACTCACCAATGTCAACTCGCTGATGTATAAAATCAAGTAGAGATGTAGGCGAGTTGGTCTTCAATCTAGTACAACTTATCAGAAGTTAAATATGAAGAAAAGTAAAAGACCTTTAGTAAAAAACCATTTTTTTTCTTCCAAAGTTTATAAGTTTTAAAGGATCTCAAGGCAAATAAAGCAAGGTGCTAATTACCAAAAAAGCTTTAGATGTGATTGAGTTATAACTCATTCACATCTGAAGCTATCACAGTCATTGGCGATGTTTACCTTACTTTATTTGCCATGAAATCCTTATAAACTTTGTTGGAAGAAAAAGTTGTAATGGATTGAAGACCAATTCTCCAACATCTCTACTCGATTTTATATGTCGGTGAGTTGGCGTTGGCGAGTTGAACCATCGGTGACTTGACTGGATACCTCACAGATAAGCACCCTCACTTCCAAGTTACTTTCTCAAATAGCAAGGTAAACCTGCTTCTATTGCCACTTTATTTGTAACTTTTTAAGCATTAACTACAGCAAAATTAGCACAGAAGGATGATACACACCCTCTTGCAGCACTGGCACTTTTAGCCTAAATCTTATATGTGCTTGTTTGAGGAATACTGTATTTGCTTATTTAATTTGTTTAAATATTGTTCTCATTAGCTTTCATCAAGCTTCTGATGTTATTAAAAGCTTTGGAAATTTTTTAGCTGTCTTCTTGAAAACAATAGTGATAAATCACCAATATTTGTCTGGTCTAAAAAATAGAGATATGCTGCCACCAGATATGCTAGACAAGTTGAGCTGAATGTAAAATTCTGGATAAAAATGTACATGGAACTTCATTTTGTATAGTTTTCTTGCCATCACTATCCCAGTAGATTAAATTCCTGTTATTTATTGGAGGAGAGTTGGACTAAGCCTTAGAAAAAGTTATAATGCATTTATTGGACAAAGCTTTTCAACTGTGGGTGTTAAGGACCTCTGAGGCTGATGTAAACTGTGTAGCACTAAACTAAAGCTAAGACCAGGTGGTACTTTTTGTGGCATCTGTTTTTTTGTGGCATACAACTTTTATTGCTGTTTTTTTTTTGTTGTTGTTTTTTTTTTAATATATACCTGTAGGACCAAACCGATACGGTAGTAGAGTTGATTCAACCCAGCCCTTCAGTTACAGAAAGTCAAGTAAGTAATTCCTAGAGTAACTTGAGGCAGTTGTGTAGATTAAATGTGTGTATGCTAGATCCATAGGGATGTCTCCTTCCTGGAAGACACTAAAACAAAACTGAACTAGGAAGTCCTATTTCTTTGTAAGTTTACTTACTGGTGTAGCCTGAAAGACCAAATGAAAACCCTTCAAATTTTTTAAAATAAACTTGGTTTGAAATCTGTTGAGACTAATAGAAAGTTAAAAAGGTTTTGATGTGAATATCATTTCTTTCAGAATTATTATTGTTATTGTTATTATAGCTTAGTGAATGTTTAAATGACTTTGTAAGGAAAAGGTATAAGGTACATGTGCATGTAGTTATGGTGTTAAACTACTGTAGTTGTAGTAACTAGAATCATTGAACTTCAACTGTAATGATTAGTTAACCCTTTCACTCTCAAGATTGGATTGTTAATTCTCTCTTCTAGCTGCTACACATTGCCTTGTAAATTTGTTACCAGAATTTGGTGTTGGATCAATATAATATCTTGTACCTGATAAATTGGAGTATTCTCACCACCAGTTTGCTGGATAATATATATGGATACTTAAGGGAGAAGTTACATGTTAATCACCTCTGGAAATGATTGACATGTAACTCTCTATAATATCAATACATTATCTAGCAATAAGGTGATGAGACTACTCCAACTTATTGAGTAGTTAACTTGATCTAACATCAAATTCTCTAAACTAATTTACATGGAAATGTGTATCAGCTGGAGGGGAGAATTTTCAACCCAATCTTGGAAGTGAAAGTGTTAATGGTGATATTCATGTTGTGTGCCATTATTTTTCCTTCATTTGTGAACAGGAAAGGGATCAGGGAACAGAGGAGAATCAAGATGAGAAAAATAAAACTGATGATGTACGTCATACTGTTAGACATTAATTTGTTCACTTACATTGTACACTGTCAATAGCTTAGTCAATAACTTGTATTTAATAGTAATCTTATGTGTCCTGATTATTTGATATCATGCAATCTCATATCAAATTGTCAGAATGCTTTTGTATAAAAATGAGCCTAATGCAAAGGAGGTCCCAGATAAGAAAGTGAAGATTTAAATGCTAAAATGATTGGAGAATTCACATCACTTATTTGATGAAAAAAATGAAACGGAGAACTTGTTTTACAATCAAAGTCTCTTTGGTTAGTGATCAGTTCCTCTATTATCCTGATCTTAATAAATGATTCAGCAGTATTGCTGTAAGGAAAAATGAGATACAGGTGACTTTTAACTCTTTAACTCCCAGATCAAATTTGTAATTCTCTTTACTGTCAATCATACAATTCTTATAATGTTAGTTCAGAGAATTTAGTATTGGATCAACTAACTACCCCCAAATTGCTGCAGCAAAGTAAACTTCAACTGAAAAAGATTAATTGAAAGTAGAATTTTGTAACTTTCTGGTATTTTTTATTCATTTGCTAGCAGAAAGAGAAGGCAGACACAGAGCAAGAAAAGAAAAAGAAACCTGTTCACACCGATGTAAGTTTCTGATTTATATTCATTGAAAACTGGTTCAACAAAACATGATGTTTGACAGGTGTGAATGGGATATAGGACCAGTTAATAAACTGAAGTTTTTGTACTAAAAAAGGAGAGTTTACTTCACCAATTTCTATTGATGAATGATGTCTGCCTGGAGTATCTGTTAGTGTGTATCGCAGCACCAACACATGCATCAATCACATGTGCATGTAATTTGTAGGAATAACAGTGTGCATGCACTTCCATTGGGTGAAGTTATATGCATGCAGCATTTGATGATTTACATGCAAAGGTGCATGTGTTTCATCTTTTGACTTTTTTACATATGTGCCCATGCATGTACTTTTGTACTCCAATGCGATGACTGTGAGAATTTGTATTTCAATCCACTGTAGGACTCTTACAGAAAAGCTAATAATGTGTGTGTGATGGAAAAAATGCAAAGTCCATTATTCATACATAATTCACTTGAACAATATTAATGTCCCTGAGGTTAATTAATATACTTCAGGCAGATTTCATACTGAAGGTTTGTGGGGAAGGGGAAGGTAGTGTTTCCCAGTTTCTAGTAGTTGAAGGTGTTCATTTGCCAGAGTAGTCATTTGAAGCATATTTCAACTTGTGTTTAAAATGAAAGGCAATCTGTTTTTCATTTTTTGCAGGAAAATGAAGGCAAAAAAGGAAAAGATTCAAAAGGAGAAGAGAAACCTGACCCTGATGTGGTAAGCACACCGTACTTGCTGACCTGGTCTCCAACATGTATTGTGGTATTGTTTGTAACTAGTACTTTGAAGTAATGTTTTCTCTCTTAAAAAGTAACCAGATGTCATATTTTGCTTCCCCTTTAGAGTGAGATGCTAGGAAATGGGGATGGGAAACCTCAGAAGACCTCTGAACGAAGAAAGAGAGATGCAGATGTAAGATTTTTATGGCTGTGAGACAGTGATAGCTGTCTGCTTTAAGGCTTTGACCCCAGGAGTGACCAGCATCTAATTTCTCTCTACAATACCACCCTGAGTCACCCATCAAGATCATGAGAATCGAGGAAATGATCAGCAACTAAAGAAGCTCTTGATTGGTAAACAAATTCTCCTTATCAGCACCTTAGGAAATGTATACAAGAGAGTATGAAGAATATGCATACTGATCTTAGGGTCAAAAGGCTTAAGGTAGAAGGGTGATTCCTGAATATTTTTTCCAACAGTGTCGATACATTTTCAAGCAAAAGAGGTGATAAGAAGGTTGAGAGACACTGTCTGCTTTAACCCTTTACACCCTAACATCAGTATGCATATTCTCCACACTGATCTTTATACATTTCCAAGGAAACTGACATAGAGAATTTGTTTGCCAATCAAAAGGTCCCTTCCCAGGTGTCTATTTCCTTTATTTTCATAACCTTAATTTGCAATTCAGGAGTTATCTTGTAGGGAGAAAATAGATGCTAGTCACTCTTAGGGCTCAAAGGGTTAAGCAGTGTACAAAGTCGCAGAGAGTGAGTGACATATCATGTTTAATATGATTTTGGTCTACTGCTTAGTGGAGAAACATCTCATTTGAAGTTAGCTGAAACATTGGTTTTAAAACCTTGTGTGTTGTAAATGACATCCAGAATGATTTAATATTTAGTCACCATACTTCTTACTGCATAGTTGAAGGTTGGAGTTAGATACATTACATAATGTAAAAATATAAAATGAAGTTCGTCTAAACAAAATCAATTGGACTTATCATGCACTGCTCATTTTAGGTAGGTTTTGTGTATTTGGGAATGGTTTCTTCGTTTGATAATTGGACCAAGGATCAATAAATTGTTCATGGTTTTGTTTTTGGTTTTTTTTTTTTTTTTTGTTTTCAAATATCTTGCTCGCCAATTGGCAACTTTTGTCAAAATTTTAGTCACCAGGTGGCAACTTTTTACTTTAATTTTTGTTGCCAAATTTATTTTTCACTTGCCATGGGGACCAAAGGTTTGCAACTTGGAGCATTGGTAATGCATGATTCTGGGGTGATATTGTAAGAAGAAGCTAGATGTCAGTCACTCAAAGGCGTCAAAGGGTTAATAAGAAAAGGCACTGATAGGCTCCAGGCACAGTGCTCCTGTGTGTGAGATTATTACAGCAGTTTTTAATAGATTCCCTCTTGTTCCAAAGGACAAACCAGAGGCAGTTAAAACAAGTAAATCATCAACTGCATCATCTACAACAAAAGATTCAGAGGTGAGCTCTATCATCAAGTACATGTAAGTACATGTATTGTAAGAAGAAGCTAGATGTCAGTCACTCAAAGGGGTCAAAGGGTTAATAAGAAAAGGCACTGATAGGCTCCAGGCACAGTGCTCCTGTGTGTGAGATTATTACAGCAGTTTTTAATAGATTCCCTCTTGTTCCAAAGGACAAACCAGAGGCGGTTAAAACAAGTAAATCATCAACTGCATCATCTACAACAAAAGATTCAGAGGTGAGCTCTATCATCAAGTACATGTAAGCTCCCATCTTAAAAAAATTATTGACCAGGCTTGGTTGGCTCACATAGTAGGCCACTGCCATGTGGTAGGGCGAGGGTTCAAGTCCCAGAGCAGACCAACCCTCAGGGTCTTAAAATAACTAATGAGAATGTGATGTCTTTGCTATGACATTGGCAAATGGTTAGACATTCTAGTCTCTGATGGGGATGATAACCCTTACGCCCTGTCTCCTGTATCCTTTCTTTACTGGTTAGCAGGGGACATTAAAGAACCCATGCACCTCTTGCAAAGAGAAGGGAACATAGCTCCTGGTGTTGTGATCTGACCTTGTTACTGTTCATACAGGCCACTTATTAAACCAGCTTTGAACTGAACTTGACCAGCCTCACTAAATATTGCAAATACTCTCTTATGCATGTAAAATATGAAATTAACCCTTCAATTCCAAGAAGTGATTAATGTGTAACCTCTCCCAATAATATCCATACATTATCCAGCAAACAGGTGATGAGAATATTCAAACTTATCAGGTGGAAGTTGTCACCATGATCTAACACCAAATTATGAGGATAAGTGTTACTTTCAGAGGGGAGAATTATTCAACAGTTCTTGAGAGTTAAAGTATTAAGTATGAAAACCTGCAACTCTGACTTTGTGGATTATCATTCATGTTGCAAGGAAAGAATGTCATGCCATCTTGTCAATGCACAAACATCCCAAGATCACATTTTCTAAAAACTGTGACAATGGGTCGGCTGACATACACTCTGTACACTCACAAAACAAATCAGCTTGCACTGTAATTTGAATCTGTGAACAAGATGAACAATATGTTTGAAAGTTTTACTAAGTTCCTTCAAGATTGTAAAATGCACCATCCTAATTTTGTGACTGATCCATCACTTGTCTCTGATTTTCAATGTATTACCATTTCTGATGTTAACAATGGTTATTTTGTTCCTTAAGAATCCAGAAAGTTCTAAAAAGTCATCTTCAAAAAGTTCATCGGTAAGCTTCAAAGTCTTTCATAAAGTTTTGTCTTCAAGTTGATATCTTCAAAATGCCTTAAAAGGGATTTTAAAGCACTTTCACGTATTGCATTTGCAATTTCCTACACAGCTTTGGGTGCTAACATAATATCTTGCCTTTACTTCATAACCAAGAAAACTTCTGTTACAAAAGCTATGGTTTCAGCCAATGAGAATGAGCTATTGAATAATAATTATTTTGTTTAATTATCTGTCATTTATTAGTCTTATCCTTAAGCGGTTTTTCTTTTCAAGACATTTTAGCTGTGATCCAATAAATTTTCAAAATTGATCATTTTGTTGTGAAGCAATTATGAGATGTAATAGCCTTTTTATAATGATAGCAATAATAATGATAATGTTAATGATTATACTAATCATTATTACTAATATCCTAATGGTGATTGTTATCCCTGTGATAATAGTTTTAGGTTGTTGATTATATTTATCAAAAATATTCTTGTACAATTTTTCTTTTATTGATGTTGTTGTTATTTTGCTAATGATTTGTAGAAAAAGCCCAAAAAAACAGGAACAACTAAGAAGAAAACTGAAGAAAAGGTGAATATAGAGTCTTTTTTTAAAAATCGTTTATATGTAATCCTTTTTTTTCACATACTGATCACAGATGATAAATAGCAACATTTTTTCCCCAGGATCTTTGGAATTGATATGATAGTTCAGTCTGATTGCAAGGGTGAGTGCAGTCTTGAGAAGGATTGTTGTCAGCAGTAGTGACTGACGTTTCAACATCCTGAGCAGGAGTTGGGACTTCACAGGACTACACTCACCTGGATGATCAGACGACACTATCACATGTTAACTACAGGTTCAAACCATTTACTGTATAATTTGAATATGTTTGTATTCTTGGTGATTTCTTGGATTCTGGATGTCTATGTCCTGTAGCTTTGTTCCATTTATTACTAATAATGATAGTTATGATGGTGGTAATTACCTCAGTTATAAAGATGTTAACCCTTAACTCCCATGAGTGACCAAGACAGAATTTCTCCTTACAATATCAACACAATATCAAGCAGACAAGTGATGAGAATAAAGAAAATATCAGTTAGGGGATTATAAGGTGATTCAATGCCAAATTCTCCAAACTAACATCACAAGAACTGTATGGCAGGTAGTTAGGAGAATTACTAATGAGATCTTGGGAGTTAAAGGGTTAAAAAAGATATGATATTGATATAAAAAGTTGTTAATTTTTTGTTTGTTTCTAACAGGTTGTGAACCGTATTTGTCAAACAAAACGTGATGGGGTCTTTGTACTAGTCATCGAGGCTATACCAGTGAATAAACTTAAAAAAGATGAGGACTTTCATCTGAGTTGTAAGTAACAAAATCATCTGCTTGAGTGAAATAATGGATCATTGTTATTTATTTAAGAAAAAGATTCCATGTTGTGGTGTGTTATACTTTGCTAATGACAGCTGATTGTCTCTCGTACAGTGGATGTTGAAATGAAAGGAAAGAATGGTTATCTGTCTGCATCTGATTGGCCTCTGTATCCTGTAAGTGGAAAGAGTGTGTTTTGCTATTGCATGGTTTATTCATGATGTTGCTACATGCAGTTAATTATTCCTTGCCGTTAAAAATGCAACCTACTAGAATGTCAAAAATTGTTGTTTATTCTGTGCTTGTCAATGGGTGGCTTGCAACAGGGTTTTTTTTTGGCTACCCTGGATGTTTCCTCTAAAATCCAAGCAAGTATTGTATTTTGTGTCTAGGACCAGTAAGAGTTAATATTGAAGTTTAGCAGCAGGCACAAAAAGGAGAGGGAATTCAGTTGTAATCAGCTTGAGTTTGAATGAACAAAGACCATGATTACAGCAATTGTTAAAGTACAGAAAATCCAAAGTATTAAAAAAATTTCAGATTTGTCAAATTCCAAAAACTTAGTGACCCTTTAAGAAAATGGTGTTGATGTACAATTCTCAATCTCTTAAAGAACTTGTGGAGTATTTTTGCCATTTTTTACTACCTGGGTAATGGTATAAGGCACATGACAAAGAATCCAAAACCAAATTGTGTTCTACAGAGCACCATTGTCAACAGCAATAGAACTGGTGGTGAGTGCGTAGAGCGTGGTGAAACGGAAAAGGTGAACTGATGGGAAAAAAAATGAAAAGTGGCTTTATTTAATGATCGAAGTTATCTTTACTTACATGTACACACTCACTCAATAAAAGAGTGTTTATCAGAATCTGTTTTTCATCCCTTTAGTTTTATGGCACCATGTCACTTCTCTATGTGTTCTATGGCCTTGTGTGGCTGATCGTTTCTGCTTGCCAGTGGAGAGATTTACTCAGAATACAGGTATAGGTATTAATCTCATCTTACTTTCAGTGATACAATGGTTTCATTTGGAGCTGGTTACTTATAGGCAGCTGCTTTCGAAAAAAGTTTTTGAATTCCCCCCCTCCCATGGCGTTGTCATTTTATGGATTTTTTTTTTCCACACGTGTAAAGTGAAGACGAGCTCTCTTGTCTTTATGAATAACAAGTAATTTTCAAGTTTTGTACCAGAACAGTTCAATCTTGTAATTTTTATCTTCATCAACTCCTGCAAATCTTCCAAAGAAAAACAGTTACAGTGTATGAAGAAAAGTAATGATGAGTGAATGGAAAATAAGATGACACTAAACCCTTAAACTCCCAAGATCTGATCGTTTATTCTCCTATCTAGCTGCTATACATTTCCTAGTAAACTAGTTACGAGAATTTGGTTTTAGATCAAGATAACTTTTATCGGACGTTATACTTGAGCTTTACTGTAGGCGTGTTTTTCTTCTTCTAGAACTATAATTTTGACTTTTTCATGGTTTTCTTTTCAGTTTTGGATTGGAGGTGTTATTGCTCTGGGTGAGTAAACTGTTTTGTTAGTAAACTGTCAGGACGCGTGTCATATGAACTTCGTGATAGACCTCGCTCACCGTGGAGTCTCTGTGGCTCAGTGGTAGAGCATCGGAGCGCGGAATCTGAAGGTCTGAGATTCGATTCCTCTTGGGTACTCAGAATTTTTTTCTTTGTTCCACGCTCGTGACAAGACGATGAAAAAAACATCTTTCTCTAAACTGTCTTGTGTATCATTGTATTTTATACAGACAGTGCATTGAGTGGGATTTGTACGCGCCACGCGCGGGTTATGTTTTAGTACACGTGAGCGATCACTGTTTACATGAACATATGACCCAAGAATTATTCTGCAGCGTAGGCATTTAAAAAAAAAAAAGAACCGTGAACTCTTGGGTTTAATGCTATTGCATTGCAGTCTTCATTTTTTCATGATTATTCTTTTTGTAGGTATGCTGGAAAAGGCAGTGTTCTTCTCAGAGTACAATAACATTAACATTACCGGGGAGACAAGTAAGTGCTCTTACTTTTCACACAGTTGGTGTTAAAAAATGTGAAACCTCTAATTTGTATTTGTGGAAAATATGCTCTTCTTTGTTATTGCCCTCTCATTAAGATATCCCTTGGATACTTACTCTGCAAGTGATTTGCATCAATATGTCTAATTTTCCTGATTATTTGTTGGTAACCTGTCTGCTTTTTAGACCCAGGATTGACAGTTTTTGCTGAGCTTGTGTCATGTGTCAAGAGAACGTTGGCTCGAATCTTGGTCATCATTGTCAGTATGGGATTCGGTATCGTCAAGTAAGTTCGTGTGTTTGTTCTTCTGGCCTTTCCAGTGTTTTGTTCTTAGACAAGACACTTAACTTTGGCTTTGTCCACCCAGGAGTATAAATGGGTACCAGCGAGATGTTGAAGTAACTGAAGAAAACACTGAAGGGGGGAGTGGGCTGGGCTGGGCTGGGCTGGATGGTAGGGTAGAGAAATGTCTCTGATCGCTTCATTCTACTGAACCCCTGACGGGATGGCTTTTGATTCGTAAACTTATGTTATTTTACTACGTTATTTATTGAAGTACCTTTAATTTCGAATTATAACAAATTCTTTTCCCGTATCAGACCCAGACTGGGATCAACCCTCCATCGAGTGTTAGGAGTTGGAGCTTTGTACTTCATCCTGGCTACTATCGAGGGATGCTTTAGAGCTCTTCGTGTAAGTCTGTCAATCACCGCTCATTTGCTCTAAGAGACCTCAGAACTTCATACAAATGAGCGTCTAATTTGAAACGGTTTTGTTAGATTTCGGGTGGTTCCTTTACAGATTTTTGAAGACAGTGTGTGCTTTCAGACAGTTCTGTACAGTTCGTCTTGTTTTCGGACACTTTTCGGGTGGTTCCTTTACAGATTTTTTAAGACAATGTGTGCTTTCGGACATTTCCTTGCAGTTCGTCTCGTTTTCGGACACTTTTGTCAGATTTCGGCCACTACCGTCCAATTTCGGACGCTATTGTCCAATCTCGAATCTCGTCCGATTTCGGAGGTTTTCGTCGCATGGAGTTAGGTCGCCAAGTGGTGTCTGAAAAAAGTTTTTCTTGGATTCCGGACTATGACGTTTCCAATTTAGAATGATAATGGTCCAACTTTTTCTTGGGCAGTCTTGACACCAATTGGTTTTTTCTATATTTCTTTTGTCTTTTATTAATTATAATGATAGGAAACGAAATAAAGAGAAGAATAGTAATTCGATAAAGTTTCGGCTCAATGAAAATTGCTTTTGTATTTACGGGCACTTGGATATTTTTTTTTGCAGCCAAAATCTGATCCTGGTCGTCAGCAGTTGATTGCCAGTATCCCGCTGGCTGTTCTGGATGCCTCCATCTGCTGGTGGATATTTATGTCCTTGGTTCAGACCACAAGGACTCTTCGTATCAGACGCAACCTGGTGAAACTCTCCCTGTACCGCCACTTCACAAACACTCTTATCTTTGCAGTTTTAGGTGAGCTCATTTCTTTAGTTTTTGCGGGCGAATTCTTGAGGAATTCAATTCCTCAGGACATTCCTCTTGTCCCCCTGCTCCTCTACTCTCTCCCCGTCCATGACCTGTACATCCTTCACTCATTTCTTCCCCTTCCGGTCCCCGTCACATCTTTGTTGCTCTCCTATTTCCCTCCCTTTTCCTCTTCCTCTCTTCCACCTTCCCTGCCTCCTTGCCCTCTTGCCATCTTTTCTGCCTACCGCCTGCTCCTCTACCCTGCGTCTTCCTCCTTCTTCTTCCCTTCACACTTTCTGTACCCCTACCCTCTAACCCTTACAGCCTCCTTCCTTCACTCTTTCTGTACCCCTACCCTCTAACCCTTACAGCCTCCTTCCTTCACACTTTCTGTACCCCTACCCTCTAACCCTTACAGCCTCCTCCCTTCACACTTTCTGTACCCCTACCCTCTAACCCTTACAGCCTCCTCCCTTCACACTTTCTGTACCCCTACCCTCTAACCCTTACAGCCTCCTTCCTTCACACTTTCTGTACCCCTACCCTCTAACCCTTACAGCCTCCTTCCTTCACACTTTCTGTACCCCTACCCTCTAACCCTTACAGCCTCCTCCCTTCACACTTTCTGTACCCCCACCCTCTAACCCTTACAGCCTCCTTCCTTCACACTTTCTGTACCCCTACCCTCTAACCCTTACAGCCTCCTTCCTTCACACTTTCTGTACCCCTACCCTCTAACCCTTACAGCCTCCTCCCTTCACACTTTCTGTACCCCTACCCTCTAACCCTTACAGCCTCCTTCCTTCACTCTCTGTCTTTCCCTCATTATGTCCCTCTTTCAAATAACATCTTCCCCCTCAGTTCAACTGCCTCGTTCCTTGTCGCATACACAATTTATGACAATGATACTATATTTCGTTTGTTGTTCTTCATATTCTAGCATCTGTGGCCTACATGATTTGGTCCATCAAGACTCACAGATTTTCCAAGGGTGGTTGTATCACGGTAAGGAGTTGAAATCGTGATGTCACAACACTGACCTTCTGCTAAGTTCTTGTAGGGCCAACGAAGGGCCAACGCTGTCACAACACTGACCCTCTGCTAAGTTCTTGTAGGGCCAACGAAGGGCCAACGCTGTCACAATACTGACCCTCTGCTAAGTTCTTGTAGGGCCAACGAAGGGCCAACGCTGTCACAACATTGACCTTCTGCTAAGTTCTTGTAGGGCCAACGAAGGGACAACGCTGTCACAACACTGACCTTCTGCTAAGTTCTTGTAGGGCTAACGAAGGGCCAACGCTCGAAATGTCAGCTTTAGGAATTCTTTACGGAGGCCAATTTACGTTATTCTCTTGTAGGATTGGTCCGAGTTGTGGCTTGATGAAGCTTTTTGGCATTTCCTGTTCTCAATCGTGCTGCTTGTCATTATGGTTTTGTGGAGACCCACAGCAAACAATCAAAGGTAAACAGGTTTCGTTCATCTGCTAATCAAGCAATATTCAATCGGGCGTTGAGAGTGACATGAGTCTGTTTGGTTCTGCTTAACTTCGTTTTCTTATTGCTCAAAAAATTGACGTCACCCTTGCAACCAATCAGATGTAAAATTTCATCAATTGGGGAATTGACTACTCGCGTTTTCGCGCGCTCGAGGCGGTGCACTTGTTTTCAAGGCGAGTTCTTATTGGCTCCTTATAACCGTTCTACGTGATTCGTCCAGAAAACTCGCGCCACTTTTTCAACCAACCAGATGCAAACTTAAAAATAAAATGTGACTTCGTCACTCGCGCGTTCCCGCGCTTCAAGCTGTATGCTTGTTTCCTCTTTAAGTTCTCATTGGCTCCCTGTACATTTTCCTTTCTTTTGGTTGACCGTCGTGATTACTACGCCTCTGCATATACTGGGCCCTCAATCAAAAAGTGCTTGGTTTCCTTTTGAGAGATTCCAAACGTCACTAACGAAAATTTGAAAGACGTCCGAAGAATTCCGAGAATGTTCCGAAGGTTTCGATCGTCGCATATTCTCACCTGTTGCAATCTTTTCTTTGACAGGTACGCCTTCACCCCAATTGTTGACTTTGGTGACGAAGAAGATGAAGACGAGAACATGACCCTGTCAGATGCTTTCGGTGAGAGTCGGAAAACACTTCTTTACGGCTGTAACCCTTTACACACTAACATCTGTATGCATATTCTTTACACTGTTCTCCATTCATCTCCTAAGGTGCTGGAAAGGAGACTCTCTTTAACAATCAACAGCTTCTTTTAGTTTGTGATCATTTCTTGTATTCTCATGACCTTAATGGTTGATTAAGGGGTGATATTGTAAAGAGAGATAAGAAATTAGTCACTCTTAGGGGTCATCGGGATAATTTTGCTCTGCTGCGCACCATGGGGTAGAAGAAGCTTCATTTGCAACCAAAACTACGCGGAAATTGTTCAGCTAGTTATTTTACTAGATATGAAGTATCATCGTTTGTCTCACAATTTTCGGACTGCATACTGCGATCATGCGAGTCCTCTTCAGGCGACGAGGTCAACTAGTATCTTGTCACCTTATGGATGATAAAGCATTTTGGTTTTTTTTTTTTAGGTCCACTGTGTAGCTTGCTAGGTTAGTGTGGCATTTTTCAGCAGCAGCAGGGGTCATCGGGATAATTTTGCTCTGCTGCGCACCATGGGGTAGAAGAAGCTTCATTTGCAACCAAAACTACGCGGAAATTGTTCAGCTAGTTATTTTACTAGATATGAAGTATCATCGTTTGTCTCACAATTTTCGGACTGCATACTGCGATCATGCGAGTCCTCTTCAGGCGACGAGGTCAACTAGTATCTTGTCACCTTATGGATGATAAAGCATTTTGGTTTTTTTTTTTTAGGTCCACTGTGTAGCTTGCTAGGTTAGTGTGGCATTTTTCAGCAGCCAAGAGTCCTTCCTCTAAATTCCGGTTTTATTTTTCATTTTTCGCAGATGGCATGAAGATGAGGAATGTCAAGAACACACCAGAAGTTATCATCAATGGCGACATGAAAAGAAAACACAAACCAGTAAGTTCATGAAAACGTTGTATAGTTTCTGAATCAAAATTGATTCAGTGACAATGACTGTCTGAACAGCGCGTAACCAGTTGTTTCTTTGCGTTCAGGAGGATGATCTGAAATGGGTTGAAGAAAACATCCCCAGCTCGGCAGCCGATGCGTAAGTTATCATAGACTATTTTGCAAATATTCGCCGAAAATAAGATGAATATTTACAGGATTGTGTTTTTGGTACTTGACCCTGGTGTTACCAAGGAGACTGGGGAAGGAGCGGTGGGCTGGTAACTAGCGGGGCAGACTCTGGATCGAAAGGCGTGGATTCGAGTCTCGGCCAGGTCATTCTGTTGTGTTCTTTGGAAAAACACTTAACTCCCAAAGTGTGACACACATTTTTCTTTTCCCCCCCCCCCCCCTTAGGAGTATAAATGGGCGCAGGCAAACTGTCAGGGAAATGTTTAAGGGCACAGGTCAGAGGGGGGGGGGACTTGCCGGCAATGGACTGGGATCTCATCCAGGATATGATACTCCTTGTCGCTCAATGCTACGGAGACTGGGATAAGCACGGGCTTTTTCATAGTATTGTATCTTCTTTATTTTATTAAAACCTTCAAGCTTTATATGGTTTGTGGAACTTTTCGTGTTTTAGAGTCTTACCAAGTGTGTTGGACTCAGATGAGGTGAGTCAAATTTCCATTGTGTTGTTCTGCTAACAGAATCGCAAACTGCTTCAAATTTTACAAGAGAGAATACTTTTCCCCTTCCTGTCACGAGCGTGAGACACAAACAAATTCTAAGTCCTAATGAGGGATCGAACCTCAGACCTTCGAATTCCGCGCTCCAACGCTTAACCATTGAATCATAAAGACTCTACAGTGAACTAAGCGATTGCAAGGTTCCCACACGTCCTGCATACTGCTAAAATCAGCAATGTTAAAGCCTCCAAAAATGGTATATTTTAAGCCCGGCAGTGAAACAAAAAAATGGTTGTTTCCGTCTTGTCAGGAGCATGGGACAAATAATATAATTCTCATTCCCCAAAAAGCATTTAAAGAATCTTTGTAGCCATCGAAGTAAAAACATTTTATTTTATCTTGTTAGGAACTAATGACAACCAAGTTTGAGATGTCCAAAATGGAATAAAATTTTTACTTTCCACCGAATCACTAACGCGGTATGTAAGACCTTACGTAGCTAAATTACTTGTTTTGGGTTTTTAACTTGCATTTAATCCCTCTTTTATTCGTGTAACTCCTTAGTTGTGGTTCTAAAATCTCCCTTTTAGCCGCGGTACTTTTCCCTGTAAATTGGTGTTAAAATCAAGGTAACGCCCTCCAGAGATTGAGTTCATTTATTTTCACAGCATGTGCGCTGGTCGTGTTATCGATTTAGTTTAATTAAGTTAGGAGAGGAGAAGATACGTGGTTACCGTTTTAATGAGTTGAAGCGTAAACCGCTGTAAGTTTTAGAGGTTGACTGTCGTTAAACCAAAACCAAAGTAAACGCAACAGCCAATTAGAAAAAAGGAAATTATCAAAAGAGACAAGTAGCCAATGGGAAACATGCAAATTGTTTGAAGCGCGGGAAAACGCGATTGACTGAGACGCGCATGGTTTTAGTTCAACGCGAGTTTTTTGGACAAATCACAGAGCAAAGTAGAGCAAATCCAGAGCAATTCTTGATTAATTTCTACACTCCATTGAGAATTGCCCCAGACCACTGAATACAGTTGTCATACTGACTCAAACCTCCTTCATTTTCAGTCCTTGTAAACTCCTCTTCTAAACGCTCAAGCTTCAGAGTTCAGTTGGTGAGACGCGTCAACGTGAAAATGTGATACCGTTTTCTGAGATAAGAGCAGGATTTTTTTTTCGTTGAAACGAAAGTGCACAGTCAAAGAGATCTGGGCACTAAGATCGGTGCTCGTTTCTGCTGTTCATCTGTAGGAGACGAGACACTTGTTCAACTACATAACTTGTTTATTTTCGCATTTCCTGGAGGGTTCTAATCCAATCGTGGAAAAGTCAGAACCCGTTTCTTCTTGTTTTTGTATTTTTCTTTCTACTCTGAATGTTAGTGCTAATACGTCTTAACCCTTTAGTCCCAAGGAGCGTTCAGCATCTTATTTCTCCTTACAATGATACTGCTGAATCATGCTTTGAGATCGTGAGAATAAAGGAAATGATCACCAACCTAAGAAGCTTTGACTGATGAACGAATTCTCGTCGTCAGTTCTAAAGGAAATGTTAAGAGAAGAGTAGGGAGACTGTGGATACTGATCTCAGGGCGTAAGGGGTTAAGCGATAAGAATATGTTCAAATGATGTTCTAAACAAATTGATCCGAATTATTTGGCCTCAAACGGTCAGCTTTTACTGAATTATCAAACGTGATTCCTTTACATAGCTTCTTGGAAAATTTTAGAGAGAAGTACGAAGTAGTTTTAAGTTTTACAGAAGCCTTTGTTATTGAGTTGAAAATGCGCTTTCGTATGTTGCTCATTGTTACAAAATGCTTACTGCTGTTTTTTCCGTTAAATATTTGACTTTTGTGTTTTGTTCCGTTCAAATTACTACGATGTATTCCAAGCAGTGGTATTAGTTCGGTAATATTTCTCTCTGTGGGTACTCCAAAAGATTTTTATATTACGTGGTCCAGCCGCATGTTAGTTTTGAATCAGTTAATATATTAATTTAAACGGTAAATTTTATTCCATTTAATCACAATCGTGAATTACAGTGGCTTCGGTTGAGTGTATGAATGCCTTGCTCGAACTTGAGAGTGTTCGTTTCCACTTTTGCAGTCTTCTTTTGGAAGATTTTTATTAGTTGTCAACCGTAAACGGCAACTATACAAGAGATTTCGTATGGTTCACTATTTACTGAGGCGAACAAACACACGCAACCACGATTGGTTAAAACTTTGATCCAATCGGAATCATCATCTTTGGACACGCTCGTGTCGGATTCATTTTCAAATTGCTCATATATCATTCATGACTCAGTTTTTCTTAGGAGGCTGAGAAAAATATTGCCTTAATGGACATAAAGCTTATAAATAAGAGTTTTTCATGGTAGGAAAACACCAGAGATCTAAAATTAACCAAAAAAGATAACGGATGGACAAGAATGTAGAAGATTCTTGCGGATTGCAGTTCACGAACTTTGACTTGACGAGTTTAACTTGGGAACAGCGGCAATTCCACTTCACTTTCTTTGCATTTGATTGACATATTCGCCGTACGAACAGTCGTGTCCAGTTCCCCCTGTTTACCGAAACTCGATTGACTAAAATCCTTGGTTAACTCCAAATCAATTTGATCCGTTTTCATAGCAATTAAAGCTGGATTTATTTATATCAGGTGTTTCGCAGTCCAGGTTATATGGTTAGATACTGCTAATAGCAGTTATGAAGCTGATTCTCTCCGTAGATTTCGATATTTTAAAAAATAAAATTGTAAAGAAATAAGTTATCTGTAATGTGTAAATATTCCAAGTAGTGCGAAAAAATTGGCAAAAAGAAGTGAATTTTGTCCCAAAGAAAAATGAAAAATAATTAGAGGGTAAATTTTTTCTTTGCGTACGAGGTGGCTACATCATCTAATGTGTGCACGCCCTTGAAGTCATTTATTGCGGAGTTGTGGATTAAACATGCACGTCATCTATGGCTTATGACTCGGCATAAGTGTGTGTGAATTCTTGCAAATTTTTCAGGATCAAAACTTTTGGGCCTTTTTCCTTACGCCACAAATAATTATTGACTTTTCCTTACTGCGTTTAAATTACTCTTGCAAGTTTTTTTTTTGCTTAGTGTTGACAACTTGTTTTGCAAATATAATTGAGAAAGCTTTCAGAGGCCTTTGTATGTTAAGCCAGATGTGTTTAATGGTAATTATATAACAACTACAATTTCGTTAAGTAAACAGAAAAGTTCCGTAACTTCCTTAAGTGACCAAGACATAACTTCTCCTCACAATTTCAATACAGCATAACATCAAGCGGACATGTGACGATATTATAGAAAAATATCAACTAGGGGACGATTAGTTGATCCAATATAAAATTCTTCAAACTAACATTGTAGGAATTGTATGGCAGCTAGGACAGTTGATATTCTCTTCGTTGCAGACAGCTAGGAGAATTATTATGGAGATCACAGGAGTGAAAGGGTTAAATGCGTAACAGTTTCGCTCAGGAGTTTTTTCCTTTTTTAAAGTGTTTTAATTGTTTCATTCCGTTGAATAGTTAAAATCACTGGCCTTTGGGTTTAGATAATTTGAAAATGTAATTTACCAGTTAAAGAAATAACGCGCAGACGCGCTATTGGGCGATCAAATCAGATAATTGATTATGCTTTGATTTTTATCCTGGTAGACTAATAATGGCGCCTGTTTCTGGGAATCGTAACATTTGTATTACTTCATTATGTCATTTGCCGGGTTTAATAAATTTGTTCGAGGCCTTAATTTTGTAGTTTGCTTAATTGATGCGTTAATTCAGTGATTTGTTGATAAATTTATGTTGTCAGAGGGTCTCGAGAATTCGTCGTGCATCTTCAGATTCACCAAAGCGATCCCTGGCTGCTTATTTCAAATCTGATTCAATAATTCTCCAAAGGGCTTGTCTTTAATTCTCTTTTAAAAGTACATGGTCATTTCGAACGTACAATGAAGACATTGAAAGCGAAGATCAAATGGCGTTGCGTTTGGTTCGCAAGTATGGTTACATGTTTTGATTCTCACGTTGTTTGGGTAGAGGGGTCCTTGTCTCGTCATCAACGCAGCAATTCGGAGGAAGAGGGAACTGTTTGAAAGGAAGGCGCATATTTGATACTTTTGGCGTTGGAAGGAGTCTCGCATGATCAACCCTTTACAACATCAGTATTCATGTTCTCCAAACTGTTCTCTGCACATTGACTAAGTTGCTGACAAAGATAATTCTAACAATCGAGGGTTTGTTTAGTCGGTGATCATCTCCTCTATTCTCCTGACTTTCATGTTTGATTCAGGGGTGATATTGTAGGGAGAAATTAGATGCTAGTCACTCCTAACGGGTTAACAGGATAGACATCTATTCCTTAGCATGTCATTTATTCATTACGAAATTTAGGCTTGACTAAAAGTTACACATGTAATGAACTTTGGTTTCAAAACACACTGATCACAACCTTCGCAAATATGCAAACGAGCCTGATCCGCTTGACCGCCCGTCAGGGTTTCCAGGTTCAGCTTCTTCGTCGTCTACCTCCCCCCCGGATCCGTTCCCTGAGGTATCTGTAGCCTCGTCATCCAATACTACGCTTCCTGATCCGCCGTTGTCATTACAAGTATATGCGCAGCATGATAGGAAAACACTGGAATGGTGCACGTTCTTGCAACCACGATCGGTGTCATCATTGCATTTGACATAACGGAAACAACTATACTTTCGTGAACACTTCGGCGTAGGTTCCGAACATATTTTGGACATTGTGTAGAGATCCCTGGCCCCAGGACATAACTTTATGCCGTTTAAAGGTTCAGTTCGTCGTCGAATTCGACGTCCTCGTTCTGTAAAATTAAAGTATTTCGTGAAAGAGATTAATTAAAGAGCTTACGCGAACGGCAAATAAGGTTAACAATTCCTCTTCGGTTGTCCATCTTTTACCTGTTTGCACAACAATATGTACTTGATATATTGTATTTGTTGTGAATGGAAGATTTACGGCTTGGAGTCTATTTGATGATTAGAAGAACTGATAAAGAGATATCTCATTAATTTTTATCCTTTTGGGTTTGAAGTAAAAATGGTTCCAAATCTCTGTTAGATATTAATAAATTTTATGAAAAATTTGTTTCCTACGCGGACATGTCGCGGATCAGTACTTAACGGTTGGTACAAAGTAAAGCCAGATTGGACGGATGAGGCTAATGTTAAGTTTAGATTATAGACGAGAAGGATGAGGGGACGCTACAATTTACGGGAACGAAAAAGTGCTAGGGGCTGAACGAAAGGGGCACGTTGAAAAGGACGCAACCGTCTCTTACTTCCATCTAGAACGTGGGGGCATCCTCACTTTCAGTCTCGTTGTTTTGCTTGGTTATCAAACGACCCCATACAACGATTTTCTTACCCTTCGTTCTTATTTCGGTCACCTTCATGGATTCCTGCATTTCTTTCACCTTGTACATCTTATACTTAGCGCAAAAACTCTCTGTCTCTTCACCGAGAGCTGAGCGATCAGTTACCTCCCCGTCAAGAATCCACGTGCTGTCTTTCCGGCTGGTCTCTGTAATAATCGTCTGATGGTAGAATAGAAGAAAAACGAATGCGTGCGAAACTGGAGATAAATTATGGACTGCGCTGGATCCTCCGTTGCTTCGTAATAACATCATAATACTTTTTTTCGCTCGATGAAAATTTTTTTTAACGACGTAGTTTAAAACAAGGAATGGAATAAGCCTTTCTTTCATCCTACTTGTGCGTAGAAAGAAAAATTTTCACGTTACCAAAAAGTAATCTGACCTTCTTTGCCCTCTTTAGATCTCTCACTAGCTTCTTTGGCCGCGACTGCTGTTTAACGAGAGGAAGCAGGTAACAAATCTTGGTTTCCGGGAATCGTAGCAGGGTTAAACTCTGAAAGGATATACAAATTGTGAAAGTTAAATTCCTCGTCGGTCGGTATGGGTTACATTCTGCGGAGGGACTGGTGACGAGGATGAATTGGATCCCCTTCCTTCTTAGCGCGCCTTTTTTTATGTCTCCTTCCCTTGTTGTGAGTGTAGAGGAGTATGAAATAATATTTATGCTGATATACTCGTGACTATTGCGCAAAGAACCCTCTTTTGTTTTAGAAGTCACCGAATATTCTTGTAGGTGTTTTGTGACTACTGCTCTGTTGAAAACTGGACCGAGAGTGTCACGTGGATTTTTGTATGTTTCTTACCCCCCACGAATTGAACTTTGAACTCTTGATAAAAAAACTCTAAGAAGGAAAATGAAAAGGAATGCGTGAAAGCTGTCTTGTGTATTGTTATTCTGGAATACAGTCTTTATTCGAAGTTGTCCTGTTGTATACGTTTTATACATGCTCCATCGATTTTGGAAGCCATGACCCCGGCTCGCCCGAGTTTGAGTTCTGATCTTATGTAAAAAGTGAATTGAAAAATGTAACAGATAGGTAACGAAATTTCTCACAAGCATGAGAAATAACTTAGGGGCCGTTTCGTATTTTTTTGACGGAGGCGTGGGATTTCAAATTTACCTGCTCCCGCAGTCTATTCTCTATAGTCTTGGCTTTAAACTCTGTCAGAGACAACTGAAGTATTTCGACTCAATCGCTCAACCCTAATCAGTCTGTTAGACTCCATGTGCCATGTTCGAACAAGGCGCCATGCTACAATAATTTTATTTCTAACTGCGACTTCGCCATTTGACTTGTGCCAACTATGACTTCCTTTCTGCGCTATGAATCTGCAGATAATTTATTTAAAAAATCTCCCCCTTTTAATTTGATGAAGTGAAGGGTTAGACATCAATAAGTGAGAGGGATAACTTACGTTTTTGAAATCGTGCAACACATCACTGCGATCCACACCAGGATGAGCAGGAACTTGAAACAATTCTGTTTGCTTCTTTTCGTCCACTTCGATCCTCTCTTTGTATTCTTTTCCAGCCTCGATGACATCAACTGTAAATTCGACGACCTTGAGAAGTAAATCAGTTGATAGCAGACAGTAATGGATTATTATAGAGCTAAGTCGGAATATTTTTGCTTAGGGTTTATGAAAGCAAGCAAAATGGAGAGATATACACTTCCAAAACTTACCTGTTTACGAGAGAAGTAAAAATGCCTGTAGCTTTTGCGAACAGGGTTACCGAAGGTCGCGCTCATCAGCAAAGCCAAGATGAGGAAACCGAACATTGCCATTTTCTCAGAGCGAGTGGCGGGCGGAAGAATTCCCTGACGAGTAAAAAAAGCGTTACAAGACAGGAGTTTGAGAGGAGATTTCAAGCCTGAGCGAAGCGTGATACAATTGACTGAGCCAGGGAAAGACGATCACTAATTTAAGACTGACTAAAAAAGGGCATTTGAACAACAAGCATGTGTTTACTTTAATATATGAATGCGGAGATTGGTGGTGAAATGTAAACGGAACTTACACTTCAAGACAAGGAAAAATAAAACTTCGTAAACCAATTTTTGTTTTCGTGCTAGAAATCACAGCATGTACCAGAAGGTCAAAATTTTGAGCCGTGGGAAAAAATTTTAGTGTAAGAAGTCTGACTTCTGTGAAAAGAATATCTTCTTTCTTACGCACTTTTCACAAGCCCGATGGAGTTTTTTCGTGAAGAATTTCTAAGATCAGAGATGTTGGTCAGGATTACAGGCTAAGAAATTCCTCGAGACTAAAACCTTGTTCAGGTTCCATTTCAGCTATTTGAAATTGAACTTGTTGAGAGCCGTTATTTGGTGTTACTAACATCATTTTAAATAACAGCACTCAGAATGCAATGGAAAGGAGTCTAAGCTCTCGTTTTATTTCCTTGGGCTCCAGCATACCACCACTTTAACAAATAGATTAGCTGATGAGATTTAAATCATCATGTTGTTTAATGTTAGTCCTTACCTCAAAAAGCGGCCAGAATGAGCAAAAAATAAATGAATAGATTGATAAGCCAAGCGAATTCAAGCAAGGAAATTTGCAATTAAGTTTATTCCGTGACGAAAAGGAAGGCAAATTTTATCACTCAGATACAATAGTTAAAAACTTACCTTTCCCCCAATTTAGCAAGATGAACTGTATAGAAAACATTTAAACAATAACACTTAATTTACCTTCGTTAGAAGAAAGACTACTCCGGGATCCTCCTCGGCTCTTTGCTACGTATAAGTACAAGCTGTATTTATACCAGAGAAATTAACATGATAACCATAGTATTAATTCTTTCAAATCGATAAGACAGAGGGGAGGAGTTTCCTGTTGTTCATTGAGATGGAAATTATTGTTCTTTTTTTCCTCATTTTTAGACACTCTGATCCGATTTGCGGTTCATCAAATGTTTAAGCAGTTTTATCCAAACCTTAATAAGCTTTGTGTATTTTCTTTAATTAGTAGTGTCTAACACTGTTTTCGATGGTAAACAATTTCTCAATCAACACAGGAAAGTGTGAAAAAATCTCCGCGAATAGTAAGCAAATGAAACGTTGAACACATTAGAAAGTTTGATTTGTCTAAATTACATTGACGAGTGTTGAAAATATGACTGAGACGGGTTTGATAAAAAAAAAGAAAATCGCATAATAGTTACCAGATGAGAAAGTCTAATGTGGACTATCCGAAACGATACCACCTTCCTGGGAACGAAAGCAACGTTAAAAACAGGAAAATGAACCGGGATTATGCTCACATAAAGTATAAACGATCATCAGATGGGTATTTACATAACGTGCTTTCTCGAATTTCCCGGAACACGTAAAATGAAGCGGTTATTGTGATTTCGATTGTTAAGAAAGCGATTGAGTAAAGGTCAATACGTGGTCGACATCCGGCCAAATTATTGTAAGACAAACTAAACATACTATGAAATCAAGGTCAGCGTACGCCTCACTCTAACGACACACATTGAAAATACATCAAAATAACTCTCTCGTTTTTAAATGAGAACCTCTAGCAGAACATTTCGCCGTTTTGCACGTTGTTTTTCCTTCGGAATTTAAAAATATTCCGGAAGTCGTAAAAACTGAGACATTTTAGGCGTCTTCCTGTTCCGTGCAGCTTATCGGGCTGAAAACCAGAGGAGTCTTAAATCATTTCCACAGTAAGTCGCTGACCTTGCAATAAAAAAACTGGCATCTGAACGATGTTTCAGCAGGATGAAAACGTGTGCAAACGCACGAACCTCACAAGTTAGTTCCGAGTAGAAAGTTACGACGCAGAAATCGTTTTGCCGCTCGAGTTGGCAGACATTACTTTTCTGGCGAAGAGAAGCAACATGACCGGAAAAACGTCTGCGTTCGCAGGCAATGGCTTAGAGTGTTTATCAGCAATAATGATGTCACAGTGAGATTAGAACAAAATGTTGAACTTGATAATCAAGTTTGCAAAATCTGTCTAGACGGACCTCTTCGGGATCAAGCTAACAGGCAAGGCTCTTGAACTAAATCACGATTCCACAGTAGGTAAGCGGTTAGAAGCTTACATACTGAAAACCGTTGCCGAAAATATCTGGGATGAGTGTAGGCGAAGGCTGTACACTGACAAAATTATTTGTTTGCAAGTTTAAAAGGATACACGGAATTTTGTTGACGGAAATATCTAAATTGTATGCTTCTTTATCAATTGGCGCAACAAAATAGATCTAAGGCCTTTGTAGAGTGCGAGAACGACTCTCCTTATCTGCCCCTCTGCGGGTTGTTGCGCAGCCCTTCCACTCCACCCCCGCAAAAAAAAAAAAGTTTGAGCTTGGGTTGGCATTATATGCCAAGGAACAGCTGCAGAGACTTCAAAAGAATCACGACAATCATCATGTCATAAGTCAGTAGTCAAGAACGCTGGCGGTGGGGGTCAGGAGAATGTTCACTTTGGTAACGGTCGTGGGAGAATATCGTCATTTATCGTTTCAAAAAACTTTTTATTAAAACAACAGGCGACCAGCAAACTGTAATTAAATTTGAACACAGTAGGAAACAAAAGCATAAAAGCTCTTTCTCTCCACTATAAAATTCTAGATACTAAGTTTTATACTCGGAGAGAAAATATCACGCGAGTGATTGATATTTTCTTTATCTCGTAGGGGTGAATTCAGTTACAAGCGAAGTCACCTCGAGAAGTCAGGAAGCAAAGAAACTAAACAGGAAAAGCAAAGAAACTAAGCTTTTCTGATTATTTATAGCTAGGTGTTCAAAATTATCCGATTACCTGGTTTTCACTGTATCTTTAGGGAAAAAAAAAATGACTATCAAGTTTGTTTGAAGGCTAAATGCCATCTCGGCAAAATAACCAATTTTAAGACTTTCAAGGCATCATGATTTTCGTAAAACCTTTCAATACATAGCTACTGGCCGAATATTCAAAGACGGCCCAGCAACACTTCTAAGAGTGATTCTGTGTTTTCCTCTGTTTCTACGGTTGGTGTTGTTGGTCTGTCAATCTTCTCACAAATGTATTCGCAACATTTAATTCGTCTGGTGTCGTGTACATTCCAACAGCGTGGACGTTCGACTTTTTTCTGTTTTTTTCTTTGTGCGGGTGGAGCATAACGCGGATTGTACCATTGCAAGCGATGATGACCGTAACGACCGTAACGACCGTAATGACCAAGAAAACCGAAGAATCCCGCCCACGAACGCCGTTCGCGTTTCTTCGCCTCGCGACATTTCTCAATCTGGTAACACCCAAAGGTTTCTCTGCATTTCCTTTTGGACTTGGCACATACTTGAAGGGAGGTATTCAGGTCCATTCCCCCGCGGCACAGTTTTGTATCATCCAAAGCACTCACAGACTGACGTTTTACCCTATCTGGCGATGTTCCGCCTGAAGGAGAAGAAGAAAAAAAAATACGTATTTGACATAGAAGATATAATCTGTCAAGTTAACCCATCATTATTTATGCGAAATTACCTTTTCAATTTTCAATTGATTGTCGAAGAAATTCAAAATGGTGAGACACAACATTGTTTTGTTTATGTTTTTGTTTGTTTGGTTTTTTTTATTGACTTGTTGGAGTAACTTGAAAATCAGTTTTAGCATTTTTCAAGCCTTAAATTAAGGTTTCTTTGAAAAAAAAAACATTCTTGTGCGAATTAGGGAACCAGGACTGACTTATTTCTGGGAATATTATAAATCTTTAAACTCCAAGATCTCATGGGTAATTCTCCTTCCTGTGTACCATACAATTCTTTTGATGTTAGTTTGGAGAATTTGATATTGGATCAACTAATAATTCCCTGATTGATATTTTTCTTGATTCTCATTACTTGTCTACTTGATATTTTTTTTGATTTTGTTAAGAGAAATTCCGTCTTGATCACTTATGGGAGTTTAAAGGTTTAAGACTCATTGATGTCTCACTTTCAGTTTGTTCTTCGGTATCGTGTTCCCGTTCCTCAGTCACGTGGTATATCGTGTACTGAGCGCAAAAGTCGTTCAGCTCTTCACCAAGCCACGATCGATCAGTAACTTCTCCATCCAAAACCCACCTGCTGTACACGCGTTCTGTCTCTGTAATATTCATCTGGTTGAATACATAGACAACGATTCACTTAGACGTAAATTGATAAATATTTCACTACAAAACGGTATATTTCATTTTCTATTTCAAATCAATGCGCAGAATGCATGGATTCTCGGCCAGCCTGTGTCTCTGATGTAGACGGAGCTGCATTGTTTTGTCTCATGTCGCTTATTTCTGAGCTCGCGGGCTAAGGAACCAGTCCTTATTTATCACTTAGGGGAGAGTGTGAGGGGAAGGGGGAACGGAGTGAGGATTAGTCGTCTTTTAAGGGACAAGGGAGAAATCTTGGAAAGCAAAGGGATCGAGCGCTTAATTCTGAGACCTTCAGGGCCAATTTTTGCGCCTAAGTGAGGAGGGAAATTCTTGATAAGTTTTTTTCCTATTTGGAAAATGACGTGTTCTTTCTCACCTTCTGGGCCGTCATGTGATCTCTCATTAGCTTCTCTGGCCTCGACTGCCGTTTTACGAGAGGAAACAGGTAACAGATCTTGCTTTCCGGAAAGCGTAACATTGTCAAATCCTAACAGAATAAACAGAAATGATAACCACAGAAAAAAGAGTGAAAGAAATAAGGAAGAGGATTGATGGTTGGAAAATGGTGGAGGAGTGTGATACAGGTTTGGAAAACAGCATACGTGTTAGGGCTGAAACAGGAAAATGTCATGATTAATGGAAAGAAATATGAGACAAAAACGTAATATTGTGGAAGAATGTGACTATAACGTAATTGTATTTTCTTGAAGTTATTTCGACTCAATCGCTCAACCTCCATCAATCTGTGAGAGACCACATGTGCCATGTTCGAACAAAGCGCCCTGCTACAGTAATTTTATTTCTAACTGCGACTTCGCTATTTTACTTGTGCCAACTATAACTTCCTTTCTGCGTCGATTTGCGCTATGAATCTGCAAATGACTTCTTTAAAAAATCTCCCCCTTTTAATGTGATAAAGTGAAGGATTAGATATCAATACGTAAGTGGGATTACTTACGTTTTTGAAATCATGTAGCACATCACTGCGATCTACGCCAGGATGAGTAGGTACTTGAAACAATTCCGTTTGTTTTTCAAGGTCCACCTCGATCTTTTCAGTGTAGCCAGTTCCACCCTCGCTGATGTCGATATCAAAATCCACGACCTTTTTGGATTAAAAATAGCAATTCAGTCTTGCAAGTCTCCGAAATCACTGGGTGAAACGACAGAGTTGACAGCTAAGAATTCGGTTGAAGGTTTAACAATTAACTAATCTCAAAAACGTACTTGTTTTTTCATCCGTCGTCCATCATTAGTAGGGCTAGCAGATGATAAACTTAGGATAACGAGTACGACCAGGAAAGAAAATAAACACGCCATATTTGAACAGGAGATGCAGAAGTTCCTGTTAGGAGAAAGAAAGCGGCATTTGGTCAGAGGTCAAATAAACACGCAATATCTGAACAAAAGATGCAGACTATCCTGTCAGAAGAAAATGCGCCATTCAGACAATGAATAAGACTCGATTAGGCTTAAGAAACATTTTCTTGTGGCAACTGCGCAGGTTTTAATTTCAGCATTATCACTTCTACAAGTAATCTTAGAATAAATTATCCGTAAAGTATTGACACACTGTTATATTATATAGAAAGGTCTCGATAATAAAGTAGTTACATCAACCTAGAGTGCATGAGTTGTTTAGATATAAAACCAAATTTTCATGACTAATTGTCAAAGGCAGAAAGCCTCTTTTTCGAATCTGGGAAGTTTTGGTGAAAAATATTTTAAGAAAAAGAGTAAACCATTTATATCTCAAGAGTTCTTACTCAGAGCTTGCCAAGTTTGTTTGAAAAAGTTACGATTTTTGAGCTGGTCGACTTCAAACACTTTTAAAGGAACATAAAAAGCAGATGAAAGAGCTGAGAATCAATTGAGTTTCCAAATTGGGTGGATAATAACATTCTGAGGCTAAAATTACATAAAACATTGAAAAATTTCTCTCCGTGATATCGCATGAAACTTAACTTCAAATACGAATTCAAATTTGCAGATGAGTTGCACAATATATCAGTGAATCTTACCTCTCAACATCGAAACTTTTGTTCGCTCGACGAACAGGATGGTTGGAGAGTGAAGTTCAGTTTATACTGCAAAGCTTTTTGTAGAACCGTCACATGGTTACCGCTTCCGTTTGCGGTTTAAATAAAAAATGAAAAAACAAAACTGATATCCTAAGAAAGGAGGAGCCATGATGAAAAACGCTTGTCTAGATCTGTGACATCCTGTTGTTGTTCAGTTACAACGAGGTCAGAATATTAAGCGATTGTGATTTAAATGTAATGAATACAGTAGTTACTAAGTTTCATCCCTGCACGTTTCATGTGATGGAGAGGAACGCATCTTTTCAATTATTTGAAAAGCTCAGGCCTGACATCATTATACTGTTCAATCGCATACGTTTCCCAGTAGTCTGCTTCCAGTATTTGTTGCTGTTTTCTCAGAAAATTTTGGTTCACATCAAGCGACCTTCTAAAAAAAAACCAGATGTCATTATCTTCTTAATTTCAGGGCGTAACGAGTGAATTATGCTCTCTTGGCAACTGAATGATGTACGTTGTCTGAAGGGTCGCGGGAGGTCACAATATAAAAACATGTGGAGTTGCGTATCACAGCAAAACCTTTCTTTTCCGTTCCTTTTTTAAGTATAACTACAGGTTAACTCGAAGTTAAGTCATTACCTAGAAACAGATTTCTTAGTGCTAGCTCAAATTCTCTGGTATCCCCTGAATATGATATGGTTCCATTGTGTCTGCAGAAGTCGAACAAAAATCTTCTTGTTGTCATGTTTCTATTTTCACATTTATATATATATATATATATGTACTTTAAAAAAAGTTGTCTATGTGCCAAGAGGTCACAACTCACGTCATAAAGGGGTAATTTTATAAACCATTAAAAAAAAACACTTAGATCGGCTCTCTTGAAAATACTTCTCTCCTTAGACGTAAACGTTTACTGTTCTACTGTTTACCCAAACAGGAGTACTTCATACTCTTTCTTTACAGCAGCATGCGCTGCATTTTCAACACAGCCGGTTAATGATAGAGAGATCCCAGTGCCCTTGCCCATCCCAGTGGTAATTCCATCCCCTGATAAGACGGCTTTATCTCGTCTCATGATATAATCTGAAAGATGTTAACAAGTTATTTAAGTATACTCTGACAAATTAATGCGGAAAACGAAATTGAAGAGTCTCTTCCGAGTTAATCGAGTTAACTGAAAACAGTGTTTAACAACTTTGTATACCAAATAACCGAGAAGAAATAAAAGGTCTCGAAAATTTTTCTCAGGTTAGAGGATGATTTTATAAATTTTGATAGAATTTGATATCTTTATCATAAATAATTCTTCAGCTTTGATTTTTAGGGGGTGATTTGCGAGGCGAGATTTTTAGTGGTAGGAGTTTAAAAAAACGTTCTGATAAATGGTTGAAGCGGTAAGTCTCATGGCCCAAGGCTTTTGGCAACTGCAAGTTATATCAACAGCTTCCTATACGTTGGCAAAGGATGTTTGACATCTGAGAAAGAGTCATTGTTTGGCAAGGCAATACTGTCCGATTTTGGACCATAGTGTCTGATTTTAAACAGAAGAGTCTGATTTGGACACAAGAGTCTGATTTTGGATACGTGTGTCCGATTTTGGACAGTAGTGTCCGTTTTAAGACACAAGTGTCTGATTTTGGACACAAATGTCCGATTTTTGACAATAGTTGGACTTAAAGTTCAAAATCGGACATTTGAGTTTAAAATTGGACATGCAGTACTGTCTGAATACCGACACTAACATTCAAAATTAGTCACTTGTGTTTAAAAACGGACGCTCGGGTCCAATTCAGACAAATGTGTCTAATATCGGACCACAGTGTCTAAAATCAGACATTCGTGTATAAAAATCGGTCATTAGTATATTGAATCCTATCGTAATGTCTAATGTCTAAAAAATGGGACACCACTGAATGTCCAACGTCTAAAATCGGACACCACTGATTAAAATTAGATCAGTGTATTATCATTTAGACCAGTTTTTAGAACTGTGCCGAGTATTCACGTCAATCTCGCTTTACAAATCAAAGCCGGCTAGAGAATCATTTTTGAAGACCTCAAATTGGATTGTAATTGGTTAAATCATTATTTTACCTAAGACTTCTTGGCATGAGTTTGCTGATAGACCTTTTGTTCAGTTCTTCGCGATTATTTAGTGTACGAAGATGGTCTACACTCAGTATATAAGTAAGATCGCAAAGTTTATGGTTGAATCCTTTCAAAATGGATTATAAAATGACTCCTGTTAGCGTGACTATGGCCTACGTTGGCAAAGCTTGGCACAAAGACAACCTTTTATTGATTTGATATCGAAAAAAAGAAAAAAAAAATGAAAAAATTCGAGTTCCGCAGACACGATGGCTCCATCCTACCATGAAGCACAAAGGGATCCTAGACGATTTGAACTCGCGCTGAGAATTTTAAGAAATGACTTTAACGTCGAGTTAACAGGGAGAAAACGGAAAAGGAAAGTTCTGCAGGAACACGAAAGTCCACATAAAAGCAGACATATTGTGACTTCCTGTAACCTTTCCCAGTCAGCGTACGTGATTCAGCTGCCAAGTGGACATATATCACTTCTTGAAATTAATAAGATCATGAAACCTGGTTTTGTTTAGAAGGTCACTCAAGGTGAATCAGAGTTGGCAACGAAAACAACAACCAGAGCCAAAAAAAAACAAATTCAGGGAGATTACCAGGAAACACATGGGCTGACTTCATTGCAGTCAACAGGAAAATCGTCATAAACCTAAGCGCCCTTATTATGCAAAAGATTTTGTCTCTTCCATGACTGTAGGAGGATAACGTCTAGTGGTTTGGGTATTAAATGCATTTAACTGACACTCCTTCAGTTCCATCTGCCCTCGTTTTAATTGAACAATAACGTGGTAGCACAGACCTGTGGCGCCTTCTTTCAGAGGGTATCCGTTTCATGTTATTTCATTACACAAACTGCAGACGCAGGCGGATAAACCATCTAGCGATGCCATAAAAAGTGCCGTCGCTGTTCTCCGCTCTCCAACCATCCTGTTTGTCGAGTGATCAAAATTCAGTCGGGCGCATTTTGGCGGTAAGTTCTATTGTAGTTTGCAGTTTGCAATTCATTCGCAAATTTGAATTCATAAATGAAATTCAAACTTCATTCGCAGGGGAAAATGTTCGAAATAATTTAAGCCTCAGAATGCTATTTCTCCCCTTAATTTTGGAACTTAATCGATTCGTTGCGATAAATCATTCTAAAACTCATTCAAATTGCCACATTTCAATTGATCAGTTTGCAACAATGGAAAATTCTCCTTTCGAATGTGTTTGTAGTTGAGCGACTCAAGAATGGTGACTTTTTTTAACCTTTCGTTTAGCCTTTCGTAGGAGCTCTTGTGTAAACTTGGTTTCCTCTCAATTAACTCAGAAATTTTTAAACCAAACCTCCTCAGATATAAAAGCAATTTACTTCACATTGTTGGTCAGTCCTTGTTCCATCGAAACGAGTTTTAAGTTGATGAAAATTCTCTTTTCTCATTGTTTGTCTGTCTCAGTAGTGTATAAAACTTTACGGAGAATTTAATCTACGATTACTCGGGTGAAAATGTTGGAATCAAAAAGTGCACAGTTGCTACTTTAATTGCTTCCTAGGTCTGTGTGAGTCTTATCATCAAATCCCGCATTTTTCTCCTAACAGGAACTTCTGCATCTTCTGTTCCAGTGATGGCGTATCTGTTTTCATTACTGATCGTATTTGTTGTCCTAAGTTTGTCATCTGCTAGCCCTACTAATATTGAGCGACGGATGAAGAAACAAGTATGTTATCGATCAAACTTTCCTGTTGCACGCTTAATTAAATTCTCAGCCGTCCGGCTCGTGTTGTCCCCCAATCATTCAAAAGATTTCACAACTATCACAGACTAAAGTGTAATTTTGATCCAACAAGGTCGTGGATTTTAATCTCGACATCATCGAGGGTGGAATTGGCTACACTGAGAAAATCGAGGTGGATCTTGAAAAACAAACAGAATTGTTTCAAGTTCCTACTCATCCTGGTGTGGATCGCAGCGATGTGTTGCACGATTTCAAAAACGTAAGTTATCCTGCCTATTTATCAATGTAAAACCCTTTACCTTATCATCATTAAAGAAAAGTAAAGATTTGATAGAGTATCCATTGGCACAATTACAGCGCAAACAATATAAAGGAACTCATACTTAACATAATTTCAATGGTGACGCAGTTAGACATCAATTTACTAAAGTCTCGCCTTTTTCCAGCCTCCCACGCACTCGGTTCTTTCAGAGAAGTATTACACTTCGTAACAATTAATTTTGTCTTATACTTCTAGTAATCATAATATTTTCTGGTTTCATCCCTAGCACTTTGTTGTTTTCCAAACTCGTCTCTCATTCCTCTATTGAGTTTTCCAGCAAACCAGCAATCATTACTCTTAATTCTTTCACATTTTTTTTCACAGATACCTCTTCTTGTTTATCTCCGCAGAATTTGACCATGCTGCGCTTCCCGGAAAGCAAGATCTGTTACCTTTTTCCTCTCGTAAAACGTCAATCGAGGCCAGAGAAGCTGATAAGAGATCATAAGAGAGCTCAGAAGGTGTGTAAAAAACATGATATCCTCCAACTGATGGATAGGTAAATACTTATCAGCGAAACAAGATCGCGCTGATCACTTGGGAGCAAAAATAGGCCTTGAAGATCTGAGTTGTAAGCGCGAGACCTCTTCTCTTTCAAATATTTCTCCCTTGTTCTTAAACTCCTCATTCAAAACTTGCTGACACGTAGATAACATTATTTCCTCAGAAATCAAAATATGATACGAGTGTTAAATATTCCTCTTGATACTTAAAAAGGGAAATGTCTAAATTTAAAGGAGTATGGGCTGGAGAATTTTGGGGGTATCACGCGGTTTTCAAAGAGTAGGAAATATAAAAAATTTATAGGGGTAAGCTTAGGTTAATTTTGCTCCTCGAATGCCTTTTCACTTGTGACATAAGATTAGGGTGAGATAAGATAAGGGCCCACTGATTATTTATCGCCGAAGGGGGAAGGGGGTTCGGAGGATTTTGGTCGTGTCAAAATTAAGTCTACCCGATCCCCCCATGAGGTTCTGTAGTATTCTAACGAACATCCTTCATTGGCAGTCAATATTCTACCGTCCCCCCCCCCCTTTAAACTCTGTATGAGACGACTGGCCCTCCTCTGTTTCCACTGAAAATCATTTGATCCCCCCATAGATCCCCCCCCACACACACACACACACACACACTCAGTCTATAAATAATGACTTGTTCCTTAGTCCGTGGGCTCAGAAATAAGCGTCAATTTTGGAAGGTGAATAACATGCATCTTCTGAGGCAAGATGATTTAGCTCCGTCTTCACCAGAGATGAAGACCAGCCGAGAATCCATGCATTCTGCGCATTGACTTGAAACAGAAAATGAAATATACTGTTTTGTAGTGTAATATTTGTCAATTTACGTCTGAGTGATTCGTTGTCAATTTATTCAATCAGATGAATATTACAGAGACAAGACGCGTGTACAGCAGGTGGGTTTTGGATGGAGAAGTTACTGATCGATCATGGCTTGGTGAAGAGCTGAACGACTTTTGCGCTCTGTACACGATATACCACGTGACTGAGGAGCGGGAACAGGTGGCCGAAGAACAAACTGAAGGTAAGACATCAATGAGTCTTTAACACTTAAACTCTCATGAGTGATCAAGACGGAACTCTCCTTACAAAATCAAAAATATTATCAAGCAAACAAGTAATGAGAATAAAGAAAAATATCAATCAGGTCTGTTAGGAATTTTTACGCAATAATTTAAGGCATTTGTCGAACCCCTTTTTAGGAAGCACAAATAAAAACACAAAGTAAGTGTTTACTTTTCCAAAAAAAATAATTGAAAGCTTGGAAAGTTATGAAACCGAGGAAGAACTTTGCTAAAATTGCCTTTTTACTCCATCTAGTTAAAAAAATAAATCATGAAAAGCGCTGTTCCGAATTACTTTCGATAGTCAACTGTAAATATTACTGCATAGACAATGATGGGTCAACCTGACAGATCACAGCATCTTCATTCTTACCTACCCCTCCCCAAAACCCAAATTAACCCTATCATGCTGTCAGTTGACTGTTACTGGGTTAGGGAAGGGGTAGATGGGCAGTTGATCAGATCCTGATCCTGGTCGTATGCTTTTTTTCCTCAGGCGGAACATCGCCAAATAGGGTGAGACGTCAGTCTGAGAGTGGTCTGAATGATGCGAAACTGTGCCCAGGAGGATTGGACTTGAATAGCGCCCTGCAAGTATGTTCCGAGCCCAAAATAGAATGCGACCAAACCCTCACGTGTTCCGAGATTCGCAGATGCGACGACTTTTGGAGACGCCGGCGTTCGTTGCCATTTTGGTTCTCATACAACGGCTGCTGGAATGATCACGACACTAGAAATATTGTCGAATGTTGCAGATACGTTTGTGATGATATTGATGAACCAACTACAGGAACGGTGGAAAACATGGGCTCAGAAGTTTTGTAGAGGCATCTTTAAATATTTGGCCAATTTAGCTTTCTAGAGATACAGAACCAAACAAGCGATGCTATTATTTCAAATATCTGGCCTCAATTGATTAAAAATATCTAGTTTCTTCATTGTTTTTCCATCTTCTTTCCACCGTAGTCTGTCTACCTTTGAATGGCCCGCAGCTTACTATGTGATATCCCAAAGATGTTAATTATACCCCCTAACCTCCGTTCCAGAGGGCTTCTTCTGTCTACCCGGCAAGTCTCCGATTTTGGGCAGTAGTGTCCGATTTTAGACGCTTGTGATCGATTTTAGACACAGGTTACGATTTTAGTTCCTAGTGTCCGATTTTAGACACGTTCTTAAATTCTCAGACAGTTCTCTTCTTCTTCTTCTTTTCCTGAAGAATGGCTCATTTTTGACATCCACTCGCATCCTCTGAGCCAAGAATTTTGCCAAGAAAAGTCTTTTATTATTTTCGTAAATAATGAAACCTCCAGGTCGGTTTACTTTATTTCGGTCAGTGATTGGTCAACTCTCAACCAATCAGAATACAAAACTGAAACCAATCATCCCTTGGTCACCCGCGTTTTCCCGCCTTAAATGCAGTTTGCTTGTTTCCCTTCGACCTCTTATTGGCTCTTTGGGATTTCACTTTGGTCTTGGCTTTGGTTTTGCGACACTCAATCGAAAAGCGTCCTTGACCATTGATCTGAAATTCATCGGATGTAATAAGATACACGAACATGGGCATATCTGCATACTAAAAGTAATTATTTTTTAAAGGCCCATTTTCACCCTTGATGTAACGCGCGTTGCGACCTAATTTCCTGTAACGCGAAATTCTCAGGTTACTGAAAACCTTCTAAAATCGTCTTCTCAAGAGCCATCCTGGACATACAGTCAATTGTTTTACGGTAAATATATTCGCCGCTCGTCATTTTATAGTTTCCTTACAGTATTGTGAATTTTGTCAGGTAGAATCCGAAGAAAATATTTTTTTAGTGTCACGCTTGGATCTCTACGTACTGTATGTACAGGGTCGGCGGAAAGGACAACATTCGAATTTTTTCACTTTGTAGAGGTGCTTGAGGATCCTAAATAAAGATAAAATATTTTCCAATAGAAATTGGTATTTTTCAAAGAGAAATATGGAGTTATTTGAGGACCGTGTCCGGCCGTGTCAGTGAAACGTTTCTACGTGTCACGCGCTTGGATGGCTGCAGGGTTAGCGAAAAACATCAAGTTCGAAATTTTTGGCTGCCTGGAAGTGCTTGAGGATTGTAAATAAAAGTAGAAAGTTTTCGTATAAATATTTTATAGATTTCGAAGAGAAATATGGAAAAATATCAGACTGCCAGACATTTAGTTATTTTAAGACCGTGTCCGGCTGCCGGACGTTTAGTCACATCATTGAAGGAACGTCAGCGACACTGACAGCTTGCTTTACAATTATTATTTGCTGCTTTGCATGGACAACAACCTCGACCACTCTTTCGAGCACAAGCTCCTTTCTACGGGCAGGAAACTTCAACTGACCCTTGGTCCTATCTAACAAGGATGGCAAACTTCAATAAAAAAATTGATGAATGAATGCTCGCAAGGATTTTCGTGTTCCTCTTCAACAACAACCGACCCGTGAGCGTTTAGTGCCTCGGAATCTACTAAATCAATGGATCCATCTGATTCCATACTGGATTAAAACGTACAGTATTGTTTTAAACAGAATTATTTTGACAAGCTCGCCAAACTCATCGGAGAAAACGCAGAAGCTATTTTGAGACAACGTGACTAGGTAAAAATAACCGACCAATCAGAGGCGCTATTTAAACAAAAGCGGTGGTTCAAAACAAAAACAAACGACTACGTTACATCAAGGTTGGAAATAGGCCTTTAAGCCGGAAATTGTTGCACGATGTAAGCGAGGAAGTTAACTCATTACGAAAGCTCAGAAATGCAGGTTAACCACCGCAGTGAATTTTGAAAAGCTGATACTTCTCAGAAGCTGAAATAAGTGAGTAAGTAAGTAGATAAACTCTTTATTTGAAGAGGGTAGCACTTAATAGCCAAAAGGCAATTAAACATGCGGCCTTAATACAATACATATGATAGTACTAATACAAATATAGATATCAATTACTAAAAATAAATACATTATTAGAAATAGAAGAACAATTAAACAAAATAAAAATCTTATGATAAAATCTTAAATAAAGTAGATCTCAGGATTAAATGACAGAGTCAGGAAACTGTAAAATAGCCTGCAGTGCACGCGTCTAATTAATGCAAGCTAACGTTATAAGCTCGCGATCGTTTATCCGACCGGCCATGTTTGATTTGGAGTTAAAGTGGACGGTGAGGGTAGGGGGCGGGGGGAAGGGCGAAAAAATCTTCACTACCCTACCCCCATTCTTCTCCTTAGTTTTGACCGTTGGCCACCCCCTTTGGTACAAATCTATTTCTCTCCCCAGCCTTCCGCTGCCATTAAATTCAAAGATGGCGGCCATAATTTTCGTTAAGAAATAACTGAGCATCCGTTCGCCAAAATTACGCCTGCTCTGTGGGCTAACAATAAAAAGGAACCTAATAAACTACAAGATGGTTCAAACTCTGTTGGTTTGCGAGAAAAATTGCCTTAAGGCCTTTTTAAAATTTTTTACTGATGTCTTTTGTTGTAAGGTGGTAGGTAAACTGTTCCATAGTTGACGAGTGATAACGTTGAAAGTTTTACCGCCATCTGATTTACGTTTAAACTTTGAGCGTACTTAGTTATAGTTTGTATACCTTGTGTTACGAGAGTGAAGATCACCATTACGTGTTAAAAGGCGAGTAATATACGCAGGTAATTCTCCCCGTAGTCTCTTAAATGCAATTAGAAATTTGGAAATTTTAACATCCTCGTAAGAAGGTAACCAGCTTAGATCATGAAATAATCTGACATAAGAGGCCTTAGGATAAGCGTCCATAATAAGTCTAGCTGCACGTTTCTGTAATTTCAGCACTTTAGCTAAAAGGTCATTTTCACAATTGGTCGGCCAAACAACGGCTACATAATTCAGTACAGATCGTATCATGCTCTAATAATATAAACGTTGTTGCTTCATCGGAATTTATACTTTAATATTTCTTAAAATGCCAACGCGTTGAGAAAGTTTTTACAAACATTTTCAACATGAGAAGAGAAAGACGGTTCGCTATCAAGTTCTAAACCTAGCAATTTGGTATTTGGGACATAATTATGTGAATTCATGCTGTTAAGTAACATGTTTTTGTCCATCTTCGAGCTGAGACGTTTCCCAGGGAAATCAACGTTTTCGTCTTGTCTGTGTTAAGTGATAGCTTACTGGCATTGGCCTATTTGGTGACCTCAGATAACGTGATGCGTGATGCCCTTTCTTGGAGAAAATTGACTCACTGCACGATTTACAGTTATAGTGGAGCCAAGACAGGAATTCAGAACTGATATACAGCCAGATAAATTGGTTTCATAAACTTGGTTGACAATATAATGTATAGCCAGTTGAGAATGTCTCCTACTTCCTTTTCCTTGTTTGCTCCTTCCACCTTGTAATTTCACAGTGTACGTGTTCATTTGTGTGAGCTGCTCGTTGTTACTTCCTTGTGTTTGCTCTCGGGTAACACGAATGTTTCCGCCTAGGATTACTCCACCATTTGCGACAACATCAATAAAGATTAATCGTAACCTTCTATAGGGTTTCCAATCGACCTCCTGCATCCTTAATGTTTCCGCTTAGGATTCCTCCACCATTTGCGACAAAATCAGTAAAGATTGATCGTAACGTTCCTTAAGGTTTCTAATCGACCTCCATTCTTAAATAAGATCACTTTATCCTGAAGCACCTTCAGTTAAATTATAAGTCCACTGTTTGAATAAGTTTGGGAAGCTTCTTAATTAAAGAGGAGGAACCAACTTTAAAATTCATGTTATCATAAAAAGGCGTGCTGCGCTATTAAACGATAAGGCTTTTGGCCTTCAGTACAAAGCCTCAAAAAAAAAAAAAAAAATAAAGTAGATACACCAATCGCTAAATCCTAAAGCCTCCCGGAAGTTGAGCGCTGAAACGGCTTTGCGGAGACGGTTTCCTCAGGCAGTTAGGACGTGACCAAATGTCCGATAAGAGGGATTTCTTGATACCTAAGCCAATTGTGCAATTGGACAAGGACGCCCTTTAAAGTTTCAGGAACTTGTGGTCTATATCTAGAATGGTAGAAAGAGAACGTCTTGCATCAAAATATAATATTTGTTTGCTGTAACAATTTAACTTTGGGATTGTCGGGAAGAACAGATAATCGCTCCTTGTGTCACAAACCAATAAAGCAGTATATCACGGACACAACATGCCGGATACAGCAACTGTTACTTGATAGTCACGTCACGCAGTAAAAATAGGCTATCCCCAAATGTCATAATACATTTGGGCTTAGCTAAGCCGTTCCTGTCGCTGAATCATTCTGCAATTGTGAAAATTTCCATTCATGCTATGATTATGAGTTATTTCCAAAGAGAAAATTGTTCGAAAGAGTCCTAAATTTACGTAGCACTCGCTAACGCGCAAGCCGCGCGGATCCTCGCGCCTGATTTCATTTCAATTGTCAACTTTACATTAATCACGTTCGAAGCCAAACACCTTTCTTTCACTTGCTAATCGAGTCCTCTTGCTTTACATTGACAAGCTTATGGATATTTTACACTTCCCAGGCGAGAATTTTGTTCTTGAGCAAAGCTCGCTATGAAAGCTAAGAAATACACTTAGACCACAGCAGTGAATTTTGAAAAGCTAGTATTTCGCGTGATGCTCTTTCTCGGAGAAAATTGACTCACTGCATGATTACAGTTATAGTGGAACCAAAACAGGAATTTAGAACTCATATACAGCCAGATAAATTGGTTTTATAAACTGGGTTGATAATATAATGTATAGCCAGTTGAGAATGTTTCCTACTTCCTTTTCCCTGTTCACGTCCCCTACCTTTGTAGTTTCACAGTGTACGTGTTCATCTGTGCGAGCTGCTCGTTACTACTTCCCTGTGTTTGCTTCCGGGTAACACAAAAATTTCAGCTCGTGCGATTTGCGACATGTTTTGGTGGACAGTGTTCCCGGTTGTGCTGAAGCTGTTGATTACGCAAGTGGGCTCTATGCCAAGGAGTTGCTATAAAAGAGTGCAGCTATGATACAGCTAGCAGTTAGCAGACGTTTCAAAAGACGAGAAGAATTCACCCTGATCACAAGGAAGAGAGCTTAGCTTATCGAAGGAAACATTTCTCTTCAACCATGTTAAATGTAAGTAGACGTGCATGCTTTTTTTGGCTTTGGTTGCACAACGCTCACTTAAAAAGTGAACTATTGCAAGTTTGATACCGCTTGATCCACAACTCTTACCTCCCTCTGTGCCGATCTCGAGAACAAGAAGAATCTTCCCTCACTGTGTTTTCCCCTCTATTTTTGATAGAAAATGAAGGCGACCTCCCTTCAAGTGGCGTTAGTACTTTTGGCCTTGATTATCTTGCCAATTTCTACTTCGGGAAATCCCGCTTGGCAGAGACTAAGAGCTGAAAAGAGGGTGAGTATGTGGTTAAAAAAGAAACGCCATGGCAAATACTGAAAAGCTTACGTTTCGAGCGTTAGTTCGTTGTTCCGAGTCACAACAAATTCGAAAAGTATGTAACTATTTCGACCGCCGAAGTGGACGCAGATTCTCGTGCAGTTCACTAAAAAATCTTCGAGTTCAACACGTGGCTTTTATCAGAGTCAGACATTCAAAGCGAAATCAGGAAATGACTTGACACTTTATCGAACCGAACCGATGAGTCTTAAATAACAATTTACTATAGTAATCATCGCAAAGTTCATTCTTCATAATAATATTCTAAAAATTTCAAAACATTGTTTTATTCAGACACATATGTTTGGGTGTAAATAAGAAGTGAACATTATTTATCATCGATTCTCGAAATGGTCTCTTTAACGGAACAAGGACAGTGCTAATCAAATCCAGAAATGTTTTCAGTTGAGGGTTTGCTTCAGAATTTTCAACGAGCCAAATCTCTGACCGTCGCAGATGAGAGCTCTCATCCCATCAAAAGTGTTTCTTTTTTATAAGAAAACAAAGGGTATATGCATTTCGTGTACATTTTCAAATTGCAACGTTTTTGCACATAAATACATATTAAAGATATATATATGTGTATATATATGTGTATAGAAAAAGATATCGGTTGCTCTGAACGAAACGTGCCATTCATGATATAGCTGTCAAAAATTTTAATGATAATTTTACACCTAAAGGTCGTGGACTACAATGTTCGCATAAGCGAGTCCGGAGAGAATTACACTCAGAAAATTGAAGTGAATCAAGTTAAGAATACCGCATTGTTCCAAGTTCCAGCCCATCCTGGTGTTGATCGTTCTGATGTCCTACATGATTTTAACCAAGTGAGTTTTAGTGTAGACGAATTCTTACTCAACTTTCATTATTACTGTAAAGCCTCGACTCTTTTTACCTTTTTACACATAAATTTAGCACCACTCATGCAAAATCCAGAAGCTGCTCAATTCTTTCTAACCTCACTGTTAACAGCCCAAGGTCGCACTCACGTATTTTTGTCCGGGTGAACTCCTGTATCGACTTCCATCCTCGCTATTTGTTTTTACTAGCTACAAGCTCTTCAGTAATTGTATATCTTTCCATTTTTTATTTTTTTTTTTTTTTTACTGTGAAATAATGCAACGTAGCTTAAAAAAGCGATATTTAGCCATTGCATAAGTATTTGATATCATTTCCCTTATATCTCTTTATTTATCGCACCAGAATTTGACGATGCTGCGAATCCCAGAAGAGAATACCTGCTATCTGTTTCCTCTCGTGAAGGAGCAGACGACCCCTGAAAAGTTGATTAGGGATCTCGACAAAGCCAGCGGGGTGAGAGCAATTGATACTTTTACAATAACTCGTACCGTAATTTAATTGTTTTATTATTTGTCGCAATAATTTTGAATAATAAGGGTGCAATTTATCCCGGAAAACCCCCTTAACAGACAAACTACACTTCAGGATGACAGGCCGGGCGAGGGCGCGAGTTATTTTCATGATAAGCGATTTAGCTCGACATAGTTAATAATCAACTAGAACTTGATATGGGGCAAATACTACTATGGCTGTATACTTTCCGATGTTTAGAGCGTCGGTCGGGGTCAATCGAAGGATTGTGAATTACTTGTGCGTGTGTCTAAATACCAGAATATGCAGTTAGGTTATTGGGGTAAGCTTGGGAAAGGATGATAATGATGTGTAGCAAATCAGTGGGGCGTGTTCTTTGTTCTTTTATTCCGACTTGAAATTCAAAGTTTCGATTACGAAAATAAAAATTGTTTTTGAAATTTTGCGATTCCCCAGCGTTCTGATTCATACCTTAATTTGGTGAAGGAAAGTCCCCAGAAAAGTACGTTTTGAAACAACCATCATAAGCTTGGGACTGAGATTTCTTTGCGACCAGTGAAAAAGAATGCAAAGAGAAAAACAAAAAGGGATCATGATTTAATTGCAAGTTTAACGGGAATGTAAAAATCATGGGCCTGATTTTGAAACAGTGTACTTTGTGAAGTCCTGACACACTTCGCCCTCTTTGTATACTATCACACAAATTCGAAAACGATTTAACAAAATATTGAATCCTTAACTCTATCAGATGGTTGTGACGGAGACCAAGCGGGTTGATAACACTTGGATTCTTGACGGCCAGCTAACAGACCGGTCCACACTCAGCGAGGAGTTGGCGCAATTTTGTGCAAAATACTTCATATACCATGTGAAAAAAACCCACGATTCGTTAAGTGTAGCAAAAGGTAAGACAACAAAACTATCAAGTCACATTTCGTCAAGAAAACTTCACATAGCCTAGCGTTGTCACGAGGTCATTTACACACACACACCTGAACGGACGCACAGATCTCTTGCGTGCGCGTTATTTGTATTCTTGCCAACTCTCCGGAGCCTGAGTTCGACATCCAATCAGCAACGCCCGTCAATTAACAGCTCAAAATTGTCAGTTCTTTCAGAACGTCTAATAAAGTTGTTTTGCTATTTTTCTAACTCTGTAAAATCAAATTACAAATTATAGCATCGGTTGATAGATGATTAACTGTTCCTATTTCTGTGCTGTAGCAGAAAGCCATATAATCGAGGAGGCGGAGTAGTAAACAAACTGTGTCCAGATGCTGCCATAGATGCCTGTATTTCGCCTAAATTTTATATAGCCTGCGTAGCAAGAGTTTGATTTTAATTTGGACACAAGGAATTAAAAAATAAATCCGTCTGGGCGAGCTGGAAGTCACGCACACACCACACGCACTCACACCCGCACAGACACACCACTGCTCTCTTGCACGCGTGTCCATTGCATCCTTACCGAGCGTCTGCAACGTAGACTAAATCTCACATCCAATAAACAACGGCCGTCTCTAACAATTTAGAATGTCCAGTTCTTTCAGAAAGTCTACGTTGTTTTGCTATTGTCTCTGACCTTGTTAAATCAAATTATAAAATGCAGAATCACTTGGGTAACAATTTAATGTTCCTCTCTCTGTTGCTGTTGTAGAAAGCCACACAATCCAAAAGCGAAGGATCAGAAGAATAAACAGACTTTGTCCTGGCGGCATGGCTCTAGATGATGCCTTCAACTCCTGTTATGATATGCCTAAATTTAGGTGCAGAGTTCGAACAAGAACATGCTACAAGTATGTGATTTGTAGTAATGTTGGCGATGATAGACAGGATAATTGGATCGACGTAAGAGTCCCCAGGGCGGCTCCCCTAGGTTTAAATTGCCGTGAAGAGCACATCTGGAATGCAATCGTGTGTTGTGAATACACTTGCATGAATAAATAAATAAGCAAATTATCTTCAGCTCCCTAACTAGTAACCATTTTCTACGAATTAGTCTTAAACATACAATTAAACATAAAAGAGAACATTTGAACGTTCACTTGTATGTTTGACGTCATGATCACATGGCTACGCTAGAAGACAGACAAAGTTCCTTTCCCTTACACAATGCGACAACTATCAGAACGAAAGGTATCTTGACCAGTTTGTATCAACAAGTGGTTCTTTTCTTTTTGTAAAATAAGCGATATTTAATAGAAATAAAGTATAGAACTTTTTGGAGAAGGAGAGAGTAACTGTGTCTATTTCTAATAAATGCAAACTATTTCAAGATGTCGACAACATCTTGTTAGGGATCGTTGATTATTCATCGCCGGCAAGGTTTTTTTTTTTGGTGGGGGGAAGGGGGGGAGGGGAGGAGAGCTCACGTGGCTTTCAGGGGGAATAGAAGGGGATCAGTCGTCGCCAACAGAGAAAAAGAGTATAAAGAGGGGCCTATGGAAAATTTCTATAGAACCGGGATAATAGGAATATTGCAAAGCCTTATGGGGGATCAGGAAACCGCCGGCAACCTCCATCCCTCCGATTATCCCAAGGTGACCAGGGCTGGTTGTGGGAAGACCCAGTTGGAAAGCCTTCCCAAGCAATTCCATTAAAACACTTCCACCCAAGTATTCGAGACAGGCAAGCTCCAACACACCTGCTTAGAGTCTTCATGAATAATTTCAAACGCTTGTCCATAAGAGAATGGACTCGAAACTGGGATCCATTACAGCTTATCAACCTTCCTACAGATACTCCGAAAGAATTTTAAGGCTTAACATATGGGACTTTCCTCTGTTATCAGCACAGGATGATATAAATTTCGGGTCTATACTCACTTTTTCTGTTGTGTAAGTTTTGTTTTAATTAGAATAACACGAGGCATGAAGAGCGGAAAATTAGCGTCAATTCTTGCAAACAATGCTCTTACAGTACTCAAATGAAGTCTCTGCGTCATTACTAAATCATTTACGCACAGTAGTATCTATAAGGTGCGATAATTCAACAGATAGGGATTACTGAAAGGATTAAATTACTGTCTCTTACATTCGTCACAAAATTTAATTAGACGGCGCGAGAATACAATGCTAATGACGTGGCTTAGAAACGCATTTTCACTTTTACTGCGAAAACCTTTGTTAAAAAGCAATGACGTCGTTATTCCAGGCTTTTGTAGCGTTTTAAAAAGCATATCTATGTTTCTAACAGGAAATGAAGCTCAGTTTCCAATGAAATATTATTTCATAAAGGCACTTAAACTTCATTATTTGCGAAGAATTGAGAAGTAAACAAGTTCTTCGGTCGATAATCTAAGCGTTTTTGTCCGTTGAAGTACGTTACAGAAACTTGGCGGATTTAACATTAACACAGAATTTAGCGTTCAACTGCTGAAGTCATAAAGTGGCTCTGTAGACTCTAAAGCCTTTCGTTTGTAAACGCCACATTAACGCCATATTTCAACCTTAATTAACAGGGACCACAAAAATGCGCTCATTACACGATAAGCTTACATTCAAATGAAGCTGTTCAACTTTCAATACATTACTAATGTTAAAACTTTTTATTTTCCATTTAACTTTACCAAAAACTACTTTATATCACAATTAATTAAGCTTACAACGCGTAACATATCGTTTTTTAACGATGAAAACTGCTACGGTCGAACAGCACCTACTACAGTTCCCAAAGTTCTATTTCCTCAAAATTCCCCTGGGAAAAGCACATTTTCGGTATGAAAACAGCTTCAGTTTACATCTTTTAATTGGGACATCTTTAGGTTTGCCAAGTAAAGTATTTTCAATTATTTTCTTAAGATATAGGTCGATATCAGTTCTAGAAAATGTTTACATTAAGAACGCTTTAGATTCCCGAGAAAAGTCTCGAAAATTTTGCTGTTGCATTTGAAAATGCGTGGCAAGGCTTTGCGAAGATATGAAGTACTGAAGTTCTCGTTGACGAGAAGGAAAACTCCTTTTAACGAGCAAATCTCGCCACTGACGAGCACTTTTCGTCAATGTCAGCTGATCACAGAGAACTAAAATGGTTGCTCTCGGGTCGAAAAGGAAATGGTGCTGTTGCAAACTGATTATTAAACCCTTCGGCAGGAATTCCTACACTAAGCAAAACAATTCACACACGGAACATCGTTTTAAACTGATCCTTTAATTCGCATATAACTTAACAACCTTATCGTGAATGAGCCCAAACTCTACAATTACATATCGCTTGACTTTGTTGACTTGTTTATGTCTACAAGATTGCTCAATCGACAAAACCGGCGCGTGGTTCATCTTCGAGAGAATTCTTAATTCTTAATAAACGCAAGTCCGCGCTGTTAACTATACAGAATTAAAAGCACCGAGGAAATCTGCGGCATTTGGATGAGCAATAAATATTTTACGGGTTACCCTTTTCCCTAACCTCACTCAGAATAATTGAATATATATTTTACAAGTACTTGATGAAGCGAATTTTCGCAATATTTTGCATTTTATTGCTAGCGACAGCCACATTTAGAACTCGACCCCTCCTTAGAAATGTCTGCTTTTTTTTTGCCAAAAAGCTTTTGTGATCGGCGTAATTCTCTAACTTATCAGCCGGTGCCTAACGAAAAAGAACAAGGTCGAAAGCTCATCAAAAGCAATGCATTCTTGCTTTTTATATGAATGTAAACATTTCCAGCTCTTTGTTGCCATTACTTTCCCGTTCTGCTGAAGTGTCCCGGCGATTCATAGGAGTCTTTGTATCACCGCATTTTCAAAGTGTCTAAAGTAAAACGTCCGTAGGAGCTCTGCTATAGTTTGCATTAAGTTAAGAAGTCAGATTAAAGCAGATTCTGCCTTCTGTATACAAAAATTTGAATAATTTGTTCTCTCCTCACAATCTGTCTCATTTCGCTGCCGCCATGCTTTTTCGTCTTATTTCCTCTGGTGAATGCTTCACCAGCATTTCGATCAAGTCGAAATCGTCCGTTAGATCAACAGGACACTGGCCATCGTAGTTACTGATATCAGGGTTAGCTCCGCTACGAAGGAGAAATTTCGTCACCGCTATATTCCCGGCTGTGACGCTGTGGTGAAGAGGTGTACAACCATCCTCATCTCTCATATTCACATCTGCTCCCAGAGTCACAAGCATGCGAATGCATTTTAAGTTCCCGTCTTTGACAAGCTGATGAAAATCTGGATTTGCTTGGCCTCCTTGAGTGTTAACCAGCATTTCTGTATCAACACTTGGCCGTTTCAGAAACGAGCACATTTCAGATGGGTCTCCATCTTTGACCATGTCATGGAAAACCAAATCGTGGGGAAATTTCACTCGACGATCCATAATCTCCTTGACTGGGTTGTGGCTTGGCATTAAAAGTCCGTCTTCTTTCACAGTGTCCCTGGAACAACAAGTTTTTCTCGGACTTTCGACCGCAAGGATGTTTCCCTTCGCTTTCTGATCAATAGGCGCGCTCGCCTTTCAACACAGATGTGTTTTGACTCTTATATGGAGGTGCAAAATGTTTTGTATTTGATATCTGAAGAGTTTACTTACGAACGGAAGACAAAGAGACCCTTTTATTATATTTTTCCAAACAGAATAGCACTAACTGAAAGCTAATTGGTTAGTTTATGGACCCTGTTTACTTAATTCTTTCATACGTGATTGGCAAATTATTTCTTTACGTAATATCAGAGACAGACCGTGAATTAATTAACCAATGTGACGTCAGGTGTCAGAAAGAAGATTGCAATTTCTATATCTTTTGAAGAGGGGAACTGGAAAAATGAGCTAAAGATAGAAAGTGCTCTTTTGTACACTTTATAAAACCTCTTCAGTGTTATTTTGAAGTCAACAAAGTTTAACAAGGAAAGGAAATTGAGGAAAATTTTAGTTTGTAAATGTGGTAGTCAGGTTTTATCTGACAGCTTGAAATTGTGTTCTAAATTAAGCTTTTGCATTTAACGCCGGCTAACTAAACAGTGTAAGACAACCACTGAATCACACAGACAAAATCCGCTTCCCTTTAGATTACGATTACGTACAAAGGATTTTCTCATGAAGGAAGAAGGGATTAACTTTATCTGAGACGCACTCGGACAATAACAACTTTGCGTTCGAAATTAAAATTAAAGGCTCATAAAAGGCTTAACCTTTTCTGAGTAGCGGGGTCGTAAATGTTTTCTTACTATATGGATCGGAGTAAACTAACCCTGGCGGCTCAAATTTTGGCTTTGTTGCGGTCTGACAGCTTCGGAAGTGGAAAATATGCAATTAATTGTGGCGACTTCAAAAACGTTTTGAGTGGTTTTATCTGTTATTTGAATTCAGTGGTTTACCACACAATAAAACTCTTACGTGGAAACTAAGCTGGAAAACACCACAGATGTGCTTTATCCCTAGTTATTGTTCAGTTTAATCCTTCACACCCTAACATCAGTATGCATATTCTCCATACTGTTCTCTACACATTTCCTAAGGTGCTGACAAGGAGAATTTGTTTAACAATCAAGAGCTTCTTTAGTTGGTGATCATTTCCTTTATTCTCATGACCTTAATGTGTGATTCAGGGGTGATATTGTAGGGAGAAGTTAGATGTGAGTCACTCGTATGGGTTTAAGGATACGTTAAAACAATTGAAACTGTTTTTCAGTGAAGAGGTAAGATATTCAATACAAAAGAGCACTTGTCAACACTTAGGAGGTCAAATTTCACAGAAAAAAAGATTTTTCAAAAATATTACGTAAACAAAGGCTTCCTGACAATCAATCAAGTATTAAATTAATCTTACAGTAGTCATGTTTAAATCAGAAATGAAAACCCTGTTACTGTGATACTGAAAGCCATTATTGCAGCTACACGCTCAGGGAGTATTTTGAAAACAAAGTATGATACGAAAGTCTTCCTCTTCAAAAGGGTAATTGTGAAACTGAAATTGTACATCTGAAATGATAGAACCTTTCTCGTCAATATACCTTTATGCCTTTGATTGGTTTATGTGCACGTGTGCTGTAACACGCTTCATAAAAATGTATGTGCAAGACAAGTGACACGTGCCCACGTGGATGTGGAGTACTCAGACGGAAAAAAAAAACGCTGTCTGATCACGTCTAGTTGACACGATTTAGAGGAAACGAAAGGTTCAGAAAACAAGCTTACAATCACGCATAGGGCTGTAGAAAGAGTGGCAAATTTGGTGGCGACCTAATTACCACGGCCTATTGGCAGCTGGCTGAAAGCTGCCGTTTTGAAACCCGGGAGTTGGGCACTGAGTCGATGCCACTATATTTATCGAAGCACTTTCTGGAGATTAGTAACGTGAAAGACAAATAATCGAGATTATTTTTTCTGGATTTATTTCCATAGTCAGACAGAGTTTTTCAAATAGAAATTCTTTAATAAATCTCACTTCCCTAAAATCTTAAATTCCCCAAAGAATAAATAGTGAATATCCTATTCAGAGGTTATGTCACCTTCAGCTAAACCAGACGGTTTCTCTGTTTCTTCTTCCGCCGGTATGTTGTACATACGTAATACGAAATTTACGTTTATTGTTTACAGTTCGCAATGTTAGTAATCAGGTATGTCTTCAAATTCTCGCATCTTGAACAGAAGTAGTCTTAAATTGATAATTTCGTGGAAAATGCTAGTTTCAAAGGCTGGTTTTTTTTTCTGTTTTAAGAAAAAACTGCGGAGATGGCATCTCGATTGAGTGTGTGTCGTAAATCTAAATAAAAGTATACGTAATCATAACAGCCAATCAACTGAAAGGTGAATACCACAAGAAGCCAATCAGAATTCAATGCAAATATAGGTAAAAAGCGCGGGAAAACGCGAGTGGCCAAGATTCATTTGGCTGTAAGTTTTACATTTGATTGGTTGAGAGAGTAGCGTGAGTTTTCTGGACCGAGCACATAGTGAAGGAACGCCAAAACAATACAATTCCTAATCTTTTGTGACACTCAATAGAAATTTTCCCTCAACATGACGAGGAAACAAAAAATCTTCTGAAACTTTTATTCGGAAGAGAATGTCTCATCAATAAAATCAGTCACTGAGTTGGACAACTGTTCGCGTTACTTTGGTGACCGACCAAGCCTGGTGGAGGAATTTCGACAAAATATCGTTCTGTAGGGTCAATCGGGTTGACCACTTATGTAACAGTCACAGGATGTTCAATGATGAAGGAAGCCAGTTCGCACCTTGTGGATATATAATGAACATGGAAGGTTCTTCACGTGGCAAACGATTCCACAAACCGTATAAATGATTTAAATGAGGGCGCTTGTGTTTGCTTGACCGATTGAAGTAGATATGCCATGTCACGTGTCACGAAGTCAACCAGGCGGGAGGTGTCTGCAGTTAAGTTATGGGGTGGAACTCTCATACCAGTTACATGAATCCAAACATAGACATCAATGAGTTCGCATAAGCCATGGGTTTCACGTCTGGGTGAGGCTGAGTACGAAAAAAGAAGAAGAGGAGTTGAAATACCCCTGGGGCATGTTACCCAAATAACCAGGGTATCCCCGCTTCCCCCCCCTCCCCTCCAGCCGTCAGGATGACGATAACAAAATCAAAACCTTGAACTTACCACAGCATCGTATGTTGTGTAGTTAGGTTTCGTGTCTGTTCCCATTGTGATAAACGCTCCTTTGTTTCCCATTTCATCACTGTTAAAGTAAACTCACGTTAAATAAGGAAAAGGATAAAGAAAAGTAAAGAATAAAAAGCTGCAAAGGTAGCAATACACTAAAAAACATTCCTAAGTATTTTTTAAACATTAAATTCTCCACTAACAAATTTTTGGTTACAAAACGTTACCATAAACTCTTCAGTGCCTTGCACGCCCTTACTACGGGTAACTTCACGCGCGAGTTTAGTTCCCACATCCAAAAAAAAAGAAAAAAAAAACCGACAAAGTAGCAAACAAATTTCCATTTCCTCGAAGACGAGTAAGGTTGCATACAATTTTTCCTCTCGTTTTGAATTATTACGCATGTTATATTAACGCGTTGGGTTGTGCTGTTCTTAACTGCAGTGCGCAGCGAAAGAATGTCACGCAAGTATAACAGTTGTTTCAATGACTTTTACCATACACAGCTGCCGATGATGTAATAGGCGATTGTGCCCGGAGAATGACTAAGAGAGAATTTCTCCTCGCAATATCAATACAATATCAAGTATAGAAGTGATGAGAATAAAGAAAAATATCAGTTTTGACAGACAGTAAGGAGAATTGCTAATGAGATCTTGGGAGTTAAAGGGCTATGGTGAAACCCAAACACGAGAGCTTGCGCAGGCTTAATAGACGGCAGTAAGAGGCCTTCTAGGCGGCGGTAGACCACCAGTAACTGGCTTTTAATAGACTCTTGAGAACTACACTGTAAGCAAACTTGACAACCACAAGTATTTTAAGGGGGAGGAGGTAACCCTCTCATTCCCAAGATCTCATTAGTAATTCTCCTTACTGTCTGCCATGTGACTCTTTATGATATCGATTCTGAGAATTTGGTTTTGAATTAATGCATAATCTCCTACTTTATATTTTCACCAAATTCTCGTCACGTTTCTACCTAGTATTGTATTGATATTGTAGGGAGAAATTATGTATTGGTCATTTATGGGAGTTAAAGGGTTCAAAGCGTGAAAGAATCGCATTTGTGGCCTTGTCTTTTCAGAAATCATCCACTCAACTGACCAATAATTTGGAGCGGAAAAGACGGTGATGCATTTTCCATCGTGTGCGATCTCGTAGCCTTGCGGCTTAACCTCGTGACTTCTGATGATGTATTCTGTGATACAGCAAAACAAAAATCGGTAGAAACAAAATTAAAACTTATCACAACAACAAATTAGCACCATAAAAAAATCAAAGCAGAAACAAGGAAAATACTACAAGCGCGGAAGAGCCTGGTAACCATTACCAGAAGCACATTTGCTTTGATTCTAACAAAATTATACAAAACAAAAGAGGGACTCACCAAGATTGTTATTTTTGCAGAATTGTTCCGTTACATCCGAGCCAAACTGTACACCAACTCCACGCTTACTTGGTGATCGACCAGGCTGTGGGGAATGATAAATCAGTGTTATTCAACGTCTCTACAGGTAATATGAAGGTTAAGCTGTGCAAGAGGAGATGAAAATTCAAGGCAAATTGAAGTATATCTTTTCTACAAGAGACGAATCCATACCTCTGGCTGCGGATCCGACCATAACAATTCACACATCAGGCCTGCAGAATAGAGCAATAATAATAGGATTATCAGTTGGAGATGTGTTGTTTGACTGACTGACTCTACTACTAACTCACATTGTACTGACTACCTGGCTGACTGGCTCAGTGGTTAACTGACTGATTGATTGACTGACTGGCTGACTTATTGACTAACTGAACGACTGACTGGCCGATTGATTAACTAACTGAATGACTGGCTGACTGATTGATTAACTGACTGAACGACTGATTAAAGGGGGCAAGTTTCTAAAGAAACTTTGGTGCTGCGTCAGTGGGAGAGTATGACAGGGTAATTTAGTATTATCAACTGAGTCGAAAACGTAAATTGGCCATCGTAAAGAGTCAAAAGACTCACGTTTCGAGCGTTAGCCCTTCGTCAGAGCGATTGGCTGACTGACTAGCTGACTGACTGATTGATTAACTGAGTGACTGAGTGACTGAGTGACTGACTGACTGACTGACTGTTTAATTGACTAGCTAACTAACTGACTGACTGGCTGACTGACTGGTCAGCTGACTGACCCACTACCTGAATGACTGACCGACAGAGTGATCATGATTCCCTAACTAGCTGATCAATAGAGGTGGTAAGTTTCTAAAGAAACTGTGGTGCTGCGTTGGTGGGAGAGTATAGCAAGGTAATTTAGTATTATCAATTGAGTTGATAACGTAAATTGGCCAACGTAAAAAGTTTCAAAGCTGACGTTTCGAGTGTTAGCCCTTCGTCTATCGCTAAGACGAAGGGCTAACGCTCGAAACGTCAGCTTTGAAACTATTTACGGTGGCCAATTTACGTTATCAACTCAACTGATCAATAGATTCACTGAAATCCTAACCAACCGAATACTTCAAACCAAGTTATGTGGTATTTACCTTCTTCTCCAGGCTGTCTATTTCTGTCGATAGTTTTCAGTTCATCAAGCTTAACATCATCTCTTTTAAACAATCCGCCATGCATAACCTCCGGAAAGAAAACACAAAGTGGAGGCTGAATTTTTTTTCGGAATTTAATTACTCTGGCTCTCGAGCAAACGTGTAAGTCCATGTTTTTGACAAATAGCATGTGAAAAACTATGTAAAATACACTACATTTTTCATATGCTTTTTAAATGCCTTTCACATGACAAATTTGAAATTTTGAAGCACAATAAGTGAAAAAGCCGTCGGAAGACCTAGATTTTACCACGAGAGCGTTTACACGTGCCTGAGCACGTGCAAACGTGCTTCTAGTTTCAGTTTAAAACCTCAAAATTATCTTACGAGCCAACCCCCACTGTCGGTGCTTTGGCACAAGCGTTCTTTTGTGCTTGTGGGAGAGAGTAAAGTCTTAAGCATGCGAGCTAGAAAGACGACAAAGAGGAATCTTGCATTGACAGTTATTAGTGCCAGGCCCCCCGACACTAATAGCGTGTCCGGACACTAACGTGTCCTGTAACGCAAAAGTGAGAGCCTGTCCCCACGCTACCTGAAAATCAAACTGCCTTACCAGCACTTTCTGGTTTATAAGGTGACAAAGAGGCAACCAGTTGTACACTTCTGTAAAGAGGTCAGACATATCGGCAGTATATGTAACACAATGTTAAGATCAATACACATTTCCGAAGGAAAACTTTTATCGAAAACACATCGGAAAAACTACTGAAAGTGGACAACAGATTGGTACAAAAGGATATTTTGACTTCACTTCTCCTTCGAATCCATACATTTGGTTCATGTAGACACTTTCGTGGTTACCTGTGAAAAAAGTGAATACTTACAAATTTAATGTTAAAATTTATCGATCGTACAATGTGTCTTAACCCTTTACACCCTAACATCAGTGTACAAATTCTCTATACTGTTCACGATCGTTCTTGATATATTTCCTACAGTATTTACAAAGAGAATTTGTTTAACAATCAAGAGCTTCTTATTCTCATAACCTTAATGTTTGATTCAGGGGTGATACTGTTGGAAGAAATTAGATGCTTGTCACTCTTAGGAGTAAAAGGTAAAATGGTCGATGCAGCTGAATGGAAACGATACTGGTTACTTCTGATAAAAACAACACACCCTCATTCTGGTCTGTACTTCTCCCTAACACCTGCTACATATCTCCTTAAAAAATTGATTAGGAGAACGTAGCATTTATTCAAGATACAGCCTCTTGATAATAACTTTATTTATTTGTTCTCTCTAAATGTAACTCATTGAAGATGATACAGGTTATTACTGATCAAGAGAATACACACCCCAACTTAGTCTGTAATTCTCCCAACCATCAGCTAGATATCTCCTTAAAAATTTAATGAGGAGACCATAGCATTGCTTCAAGATACAGACTCTTGATAACCAGTTTGTCTATTTGTGCTACCTCTTTAAAAGCCAACTGGAGTCACAAGAAGAAAACAAAATACCAACTAAAGTTTGCCTCACACCCATCTTGCGGAATCCTAGCTCAATCGGTAATGTTGGAAATCACATAATAGTCTAAATTTTTTGCAGCTTACTTTTTCTGCTTTTTCTTTAATTGAATTCCACCTACAAGGATCATTTAATTAAAAATTTGAATAAGAATCACTCACCTCGTGACATAAAAAAGTGATCAGGATACAAAAGTTTGAAACTGAAAAGTGTAAAAATGACTTCGCATGAAAATGATCCCCTGTCAACAAAGTCTCCATTAAATAGCTATGGTTTTGTGAAGGAAAAATGCCTTTTTTTGAACCCAACAAGTAAAACTTTAATCTGTTATGTAATTCATAGATTGCAGTGCAGGTGTCTAATTGCCCCACCCTTCCCCCTCTCCTTCCTTTAGATTGTCACTCACCCCCTTGATACAAGATGTTTCCTCTCCCCAGCTTTCCACTGGTGCAAAAATAAAAAATTGCAGCGATAGTTTTTTACCAGGAAAATACTGAGTACTCTGTTGCCAAAATTACACCGGTTCTGCTGGCTACAACTTGAAATCACCTTTCACTCTTTTCTTAACCTAAGTATTTCTTAACAATTTCTGAAGTGGTGAGAAATTTGCAACCTTTAAGGGGTTGAAAATTCCAAAGCTCTACAAATAGTATATAGTTTATGAAACTGCATGTTTTGCTCATGTCATCAAAACATTAATGTGAAGGTAACAGACCCTGTACAAATTTGAAATAAAATCAGAAAGATAAAAACAATATGTATTGAAAAAATACAAATATATAAATATCAAATAATTGAACTGGGGATTGATGAACAAACACAAGAGTGATCTTGACAGTAATAAACACTACCAGCTCCCAGTTGGCTTGAAAGTTCAGTTAGAGGAGCCCTGCAGAGGTCACGGGTTCAACTCCGTATAAGCCTAATTTTTTTTCTGGCTCTATTTTCACTATGCAGTGTTCATTACTGCAAAGATCACTCTCACTTTTGTTTATTAATGACTTTCATAGATTCACAGCCATTCATTCGTCACCTCACAGGTTTATTACAACCCAAAAAAATGACCAGCACCCAGTTGGCTTATCAGCTCAGTTGGTAGAGCACTGCACTGGTATTGTAGAGGTCCTGGGTTTAACTCCCCAACAGGTTTGATTTTTTTCAGGCCTTATTTTCATTACTGCTTAATAAGTGGTGTTCATTAATGCAAAAATGATGTTCACCTTCGTTTAATAAAATACATGATATCAAATGTTGTAATTTTTCACTTGATTTTTTTGAAACTAAGAAATTCATGGATAGTAATAAAAAAGATACATAAGGGTTTTCAGTAGAAGGGTATCCATTTAGATTGAAGACATTTAAAAGATCATAAAACTGCCCATGTATGTCACCACACACTGTGAATCTTCCATTCTGTGAAGAAAACAGAAAAACCATAAAATCAGTATTGAGAACACATTAAAAATAAATTAGCAAAATGTTCCAAACAAGCAGAAATAGGTGTTTTAGTATCTTCTCTGGTGAATTTTTACATCAAAGTTAGAGACTTACCTCTGGGATAGAAATTTCAACCATTGACGGCTGTTTCTCAAATATCTTTTTAACCTCTACTAAAATCTGAAAAAGGAAAATGGAAATTCTAGAAACAAACAGTGTGCTGGGAAATCATTAATCCTTTAACTTCCAAGTTCTGATTATTAACTCTCCCATCTATCTGCTACACATTTCCATGTAAATTAGTTTGGGTAATTTTATGTTAGATCAAGATAACAACTTCTGATGAGTGTAAGTATTCTCAAAACCCATTTGCAAGATAATTTATGGATATTAAGGGAGAAAAGGTACAGTCTGTACTCGAGCCTGTTGGCCCACCCAGCTGGAGCTTATCCTGGTTTCCTTACCATGAAGCAACTAGGGGCACTGCTAATCCCCCCTGGATGGGAAGCTATTCCATCACAAGGTTACCTAACAGCATTTCATCAAACTTCCCTGACAATTTGCTGGCATCCATTTATACTCCTGGACGGAGAGAGGCACTGTGAGAGTAGATCAGTGTCTTGCTTAAGAACACAACACTAATACTTGATCAGGTCTTGAACCCAGACCACTTGATCCGGAGTCCAGTGCACTGGCCATTAAGCTACTGGTTCTCCCACCAAGAATTTACATGTTAATCCTTTAACTCCCAAGATCTCATCAGTAATTCTCCTTACTGTCTGCCAAATGATTCTGATTGTATTAGTTTGGAGAATTTGGTATGGGATTGATTAGTAATCCCGTAATTGATATTCTGTCTTGGTCACTCTTGGGAATTTAAGGGTTAATTACTTTTCGGAGTAAAATAGAGTTAACAGAAAACTGTCAGAATGAGCATATAGGTGCACAGAAATACCACCTTTCGTTCCACCAAACAAGAACAAAATGCTACCTTGTATGCATATTTCTTGTGTATTTTCTTCTGATCTTTAAATCTTTCAATTAGATCCTCTACAAATTCCTTAGTGATTCCCTCAGGACTCAATCTTGGACCATCGTAGTCATCTTCAACCACTAAAGTCAACAAAAGCAATTTTGAAAAATAAGTCCATTAAGTTTGCTTAAGTTTAAAAATGAGCTATTTACAAGGCAAAAAAATTGTTAGGAGGTAAAAACCAAATGTCTGCGATGCTACATCGTCATCAGGGTAATTCTATTTTTGCCTTATAAATAGCTCATTAATAATATTTACAATAGATAAAAACTAATTTTAGCTTGCCAAACCACTATTGCCGAGCTAAGATCATAAATACATGGCATCAATTTTTAAAAAAATCCATAAAAATTTTTCACTGCTATTTTTGGACTCATGCAACAACTTTGCCAAAGGACTGCTCATAGTCTGTGGAAAGGCAAATGAAATAGACAATTTTGGGGAAGAGGTGGAAATCTGTAAGCTCCGTATCTGTCTGTATGGCTGTTTCTTGAGCAAAATACAGTCATCAGAGAGCTGTATTCATTTAGGGAGTTTAGTGATGAACACATCAATAACAGCTTTGTGTCATGTATCAAACTCCCAGACTCAGCAGGGGTATTACTGAAAAAGCTGTCATAAAATCATGGCAGACTTCATTATCATTTTCCTGAATTGGGCCATATTAAAGTAAACCTTTGATTTTTTGTTCCTAAATTCACTTACCCATTGAATCTAAATCTAAAGAATCAGCCACAGATTTGCTGTCATCCACTGCAATAGCTTTCTCAAAAGCTTGTCTTTGTACAATCTTCTTGCATTCTGTGAACTTCAGATTGGCATCTTTATCTTTTGGTCTAAATTTCTTCACCTTTGAAGAGGCAAAAACTGTTTTTCAACCACGCAGAAAATATATTTGAACAGTGTTCTTTCTTAACCATTTTATCACAGAGATTTAAATTTCAACTTCATGTTTGCACTGTACTAGGTGACGCAACTGATATTTTACATCTGACCAGTCTTATTTGCATGACACCACTTGAGCAGACATAATTGTCTCTTGTCTGGACAAATGATGCCAATTTTCAACTGATTGTCAAAAGTAATCTAGGAATTCATTGGTTTTCTTCCTTGCTCTCTGTGAAAATTTGCAGCTGCTTTTCACTAAACACATGTAAAACTGACCTGATCACGACTTGGTTTAAGTCAAGTTTTCCCATGGTCTAGTATTTCTCAGTTAACCTTTTACCTTCAACCTCTAAGTAAGACAAGAACCTAATTTCTTCTTACAATATCACCCCTGAATTGAACATTAAGAACATCTTGATTGTTAAACAAATTCTCCTTGTCAGCACCTTAGAAAATGTATGGAGAACAGTATAGAGAATTTGGATTCTGATGATAAGGTGTAAAAGATTAACTTCCAAAATCCAATGAGTGATATTCTCCCAACAGACTGCCATAAATGTGCTTGTAAATTAGATAGGAGACTTAAGAGCTACATCAGGATCACAAGTCTCACTGATAAGCATATGCATTCTCATAACCTGTCTGCAGGATAACATATTGGAATTGCAAGGAGAATTAATATGTATATCACTTCTGAGAGCCAAAGGGTTACTCAGGATATCTACCTACCATTTCATAATCCTTGAGGCTTAGTTTGAATTTTCCGAGGGCCATATATGCAGATGCTCTTCTGTAATATGCCTAAAATTCAGAAGAAAAAAAAAACAATTGTACATTATCTCTAGTAACATTTGCCATTACATTTTGATTCAATAGAGAATGAAAGAAGGCAAATATTAATAGAATTTGGTCACCAAATAAATATAAATGTTTAATTCATTTTTCTTGAGCCCTAACTTGAATAAGCAGGTGCTGTGTTTTGTTAAAGTGCCCTCAGTGACGAATAGAATTACAAAAACAGTTGATGACGTGAAAGATTCTTTCCCTGCCAGTTTTCTCGAGTCATTTGTATGAATTTATAGGCAGAGGAATTAAGAATTTTCCCTTCTAAAATTGAAGGTTTTCAGGGGAGCAAAATCTTATAATTTCTGAATTGTTTTTAAGCTTACATCCCTTTCCATACTTTTGGAAAAAGTAACATTTTAGGATATCATTATGTATGTCATACATATTTTATTAGGAATGAGATTTGGCCAAGATTGGTAGGCATAATCTGGTGAAAGATCAACAACTTTGATCTGTAAGGCAATTGAAGATTATACCCAAGGTGTAAAAGCTTCTTAGTAAAACACCTGTTGTGATATTGTCATTATGGCAATAACATGATACCTTTATGTACTTTTTGTCCAGTTCAATTGCTTTATTAGCATCATCAAGAGCACAGCCATAGTATTCTGTCTTAATATAGCAGAAGCTTCTATTTCCATAATAAGCTGGCACTTTAGGATTCAACTCTATAGCTTTGGAGTAAAGATCAAGAGCCTCATCATACTTCCCCTCTAGAATAAGATGGAGGAAAAAAATGTAAATATTGATGAATACATACATTGGACAGACATGAACATTAGCCTCCATTTCAGGCAAAAAACATGGATGGATATTTGTACACAGACAATATCTGTTTCAAAAAGTAATTTATTTTGGATGGCAGAGAAAATATCTGCGCATCTGGCTAAATAATGACTACTGGGTGCATTAACTTTTAAATATTTTGGAAGCATGTATAATTAAACTTTCACACATAGTTTTCATCCAAAATAGATTTTGACTTTTCTGAGCCACTTCAACTCTATTCAACTTGTAATGGAAAAAGACTTTATTCACAATAGACCCAAGTTTGAAAATCTGGGAAATCGCTTAAGGAATATAACCAGATATTTCCAAGTTTTATCCGAGAAAGTTCCAGCCAAGTGATACATTTAACCCTATGAGTGACCAAGACAGAATTTCTCCTTACCATTTCAATACAATATCAAACTGACAAGTAATAATAAAAACAAAAAATATCAACAAGGCTTAGGATATAAGATTATAGGTTGATACAAGACCAAATTCCCCAAACTGAAATCAGAAGAATTGTATGGCAGACAGTAAGGAGAATTACTGATGAGATCTCAATTGAAAGGGTTACTAGATAAATGGCTTGTGAGATAAAACATTACCACTTGCCCTATCAAGTTTCATGATACTGAGCTAAGAGTTTATGAACTTGTTCTTGCAACACAATATAAGATATAATTTTCCAGACCTAAATTTCTGAGAATCTTGACAACCATGGCCAATCATTGAGTTTACATATTATGCTGTCAAAGGATTGCTGAGTTACTTAGCATATTCCTGAAACGAAAGCCAATTGTTTTATTTTTACAAAAATTCAAGTTCGATCTCACTCGAAGTCAAAATTAAATTTTGAGGTTTCCTTCAATTTCATTCTTAATTAGCTCATAAAAATTGTTTTTATACAATTATCACGAATCCTTTTTGCAAAGTTGAAACAGAGAATCCGAGAGCCCGTTCCAATGTACAAATGTTTGCGAAAATGTATTCCTAAAAAGGTCAAGTTTTCCTTCGTTTTATCAATCAAACAGAGAGTTACATTTACAGATGTGAAATTGATCGATGATCGGTGAGATAAACGAACACTACACTAGATCAATAAAATTACGATGAATAATCTGAATGTTGCATAAGTTTAACACTAACTTTTAATCTTAGGGAGTAAAACAGTGGGCATGATTAAGACAAAACAGATGCATGTTTCCTTTTACTTTTCCAAATAAAAATACCGGCCGGTTGCATAAACATATTTCGGTATCATGCATGCTTTCAAAAAATTTTTTGCTGAGTTCAGTTCGAGACACCCGTTTCCTGTCAATCGTTCAGTTTTTAAGTAAAAAAATCGCCTCCTCACTGATCAAGGCCTACCTTTGAAATATTTATTTGCCTCTAATTTGTACTCTTCAGCTTTTACCTCCTCCTCCGCAAATTCTCCGTTTGCCTTCTCGTCCGCCATTTTTACTCTCCCTGTCAGTTCCAGGCTTTCTCCTACAACCAACAAGCACCTCGACAGGCCAGTGATTTAGGGGGAGGGGAGGGTGTGGAATGAGTTGGGGAAATGAACTAAATGTAAAAGATTGTTTCAAGGCTAAGAGCTGGCAAATTGAAGGCAATAAAAACAAAATATTTTTATAAAGGGAGTATTAATTTAGGGAAGAAGTGATTGTTAGAGAGGGTCTGGAAACAATGGCCAAAAGTAGGACAATTGTGAACTTGCGGGAGTCAGGGAGCAGGGGCAGAAACCATGGGGAATCAGTATAACGCAGATAAGCTTTACTGATGGGTGAAGGCACAGAGAAAGGGAGAGCAACATTAGAAGATGTGCCTGGAGGATACTGGAAGGTTTAGTTCAAATTGTAGTTTGAAATGCTGATGAGGTAGTCTCCTTTGAAATGTCACACAACATCAGCCAGGGAAGAGCCTTCTAAGAGAAGTAGTGTTGCGTGATATCCTAGAAAATTGCTGCAAAGCATACTAAGGATTTACAATGCATCAGTGATGGTTTGCTAAAAAAAAAAGTGACCAATGCTGAGATGTTCACAACTTTCATCAAAATGTCATGTTTGTAACAAGCTCTCTTTCTGATAATACCTTTCCATCTTAGAGCATCAATTATTCATATTTCAAACTGCTTTTCAAAGAAAATTCCAATCAAAAATAAATTTGTCAACTTTGTGCAGAGGCTGAGAAGGTAAAATTGGATTCACACAGAGTTAAACACTCCAGTAAAAACAGCAGAGTACCGATGATTTTTAAACAAGAAACTAAACATGTTTTTTGCTTGAAAATGTTTGATGCATTCCAGTGGTTTCATAAAAAAAAAAAAAAAAAAAAAAAAGATTTCAGTGATCATAGATCCTGACCCAAAATAAAGACAAAAACAAGAATAAAGTAAACACAACTGTACAATTATATTAAAACAGACACTATATTTTGTAATTTCCTTCACTTGCTACATATACAGACTGTTATTGGACAAGATAGTTAAATTCAATTTAACCCTTTCACTCCCAATATCTAACTGACAATTCTCCACACTGCCTGTTATACATTACTCATACTTGTAGCTCTGAGAATTTGGTGGTAAATCAAACAATATCTTTTGTTCATACTTTTCTTAATTCTCATAACTAGGCTGCATGATATCATATTGATATTGTGAGGAGAAGTTACTCCTTGATCAATTCTGGAAGTGAAAGGATTAATGAAAATATATCAGTGACCAGATTATTTCTTAAGGACAATTCCCATACAGCACCTAATCAAATTTCTGAGCAATTGAAAACCATATTAAAAATGTGCAGGAATAATTTACAAATTTACAAGGAAAAAGCATAAATTAGCGGCAGAACCAACCCATAACATCAGAACAAAACTTAGATCCAGCAGAATTCATTACATCATTCTTTAGTCACCTTATTTTTTTTTAAAAGGAACATGTGAATGTAGCTTGTCAAAGCTGTATATCAGCTGACTCAGATCAATACCAGACCAAAAGTTCAATTCTCTTTACTGTTTGTGAGAAACTGATCTCAATACCAGTCTTGAGAATTAAGTGTTTGATCAAGTATTATCTCCCCACAAGCAATGGAAGTATTTAAGATTAACTCACTACAGATCTTAACTTGAAATTTTAAAGTTTAGAAAAGAAAGCCTCAAGGTTGTGTGATTGCATCGATGGCCTGACTAAAAAAAATTGTTTTTTTGTGATGGACACATTGAGTATACACAAAAGCTGGCTTACACCTTCAGGCATCTGATTTAACAGTCTCAATCATTGATTAAAGAAACAGCCCTCCTAACATCTTGACACAGATTTCCTGAACATCAGTTATGAGAATTGATATTACATTGCATAATAAGCAAAGGTTGCTGACACCTGATACACCAGGTAACTTTGGGCTGCCCTTCATGAACCTAGCATGGGACAAATATACCCACATTTTCTGCACTTGCAATTGTTTGTCTTCAGTTCATGCCCAGCTCTTACTGGGATGGCTACCTACAATATTTCCTTTGTTCTGACAAGGTGTTATTATTGGTGAACCTTGGTTTTCACAACATCAGAGGAGAGGAGCATGTGATCTAACTAGAAGTCAGCGTCATCACATTAAAGTGATATCAATTGATAAGGTCCACACATTTCTCTCTCAACAGTTTGGCAAGATCCCTAAATTACAAATTTTCCAGATGCTTAGGCAGTTTACATACTGTACAATAAGAAAGAAATTTAAAAATCTACCTGTGTTAGACTAGCTACTTTGCAGCCGGTTTGATTAACCCTTTAACTCCCAAGATCTGATTATTAATTCTCCCTTCTAGCTATTACACATTTCCTTGTAAATCAGTTATGAGAATTTAGTGTTAGATCAAGATAACAACTTCTACCTACTATGTTGGAGTTTTCTCGATACCCGTTTGCAGGATAATGTCTGGATATTATAGGGAGAAGTTCCATGTTAATCACTTCTGAGAGTTAAAGGGTTAGGAGAAAACCTTCCAGCACCTACAAACTCTGAAGAAAATTTCCAAAACTAAATGTCACGCTTCCTCCTCTTCACTCTGTTACTGTATTCATCATCTGAAGTAATCTCTGCATTGTTGTTTTCCACTTTGATGGACAAAGGGGAGCTTGGGTCTTGTTTCAGTTGTCCATCAAGGAGCCCATCTCCTGATGGTGAAGTACTGAGGATATTATCTGTGGACGACAGCAGAGCAGTTGTTGCATCGATACTAAGTTGTCCTGAATTGCGAGCTTTTTCCAGAGCACGAACTGTAAAAGAAAGAAACACAATAACTAATTGATTTTATTTCAGCAATGGTATATTGAAAAGTTGATCCTCTATCCAATCTTCATGTTAAGAAGAAAGTAGGAGAACTTGTGAAAAACATTTATCAAAAAGAAAACGGAATAAACAAACTTTCGTCATTCACACATGACTTGCCTTGTTGGTCAAGTATGCCATTTTGTCGTTTGAGGTCATCAATGTCAGTCTGATAAAGAAAATAAACTGTTAATAAAAACTGTGAAAGATATTTTAAGAAGGGATGAGGATGCCTTCAAAAACCTGCCTCATCTTAGGTGAAAAAATATTTTTAGTGTTCAACGCTTTTGAAATGTGACATTCATGCGGCTTGTTAGGAAGCAAACCCTGAAAGATTCAGTTTCAAAATCTTAATTCATTTTGCATCCTGTGCCAAGTTTAACACCACCCACTCTTTCCATCCTTATCCTTCTAGAAGTTTTCATATTTGTCTACCTCATCCACATATTATTTTCTGCCTGAAGGCAATTTTCTTAAGTTTAACATAAGCACCCTAAAGTCTGTTTATTCTTAGTGATGCGCTGATAACTTAACAAAGGAAGCCATTGTCAAGCTCACAAAATCTCAACACCTGAGATACATTGGGAATGTTTCACATTTCGTCGATTATCACCTTAGAGATCATGACAAGTAAACAAACCTCAAAACCACAAAATGATGAACTTCAACCACTAATGCTCACAGTTTGGTTTACTCACGACAATAGTCTTGTTTTTGTAGACAAAACAAAATTCTAGAGATGTTTGCCGTGTTCATGATTTCCTGAGTTTCTCAGTAAAAGATCAAATTCCTAACATCAACTCATAGTCCAAGAGATACAAGATTTCCCCAAACTGCAATATATGACTACACTCACTTGATGTGTATGATTTTTTCTTCTCATGAATTGTATGTAATCTGTAGCCTTGTTTAAAATCTGTGCTCTTGATGCCTATTGTAAAACATTTATCGATATTTTCTTCATAATATTTTGATCACTACTATTTATTATTATTAATATTATAAATGTAATTTATTCTAATCACCACTGCATGTGAAAGTGGTTTGATAATGAAGGGATAAATTCTTTTCAGGTTGTTTTTGAGCGAAATGGTAAATCTCATGATTTTAGAGAACAAATACAGCAACTTGACAAGGCAAGAGAAATGATCTCATGCAAAAATAACTGAAATGTGTCTGCCTCAAAGACTGGTGGCAATTTGACAGATGTTAGGAGAGACTTTCTCATATGCTAAATCAACAGAGTCAGTAAAAATCCCGCCAATATGACATTTATCAGTCAATCACAAAATTATCAGTTAGACATGTTCAATCAAGTGTGTATCTTCCTGTTCGGGCAAGCCGTCACAACACAATCTAATTAGTGGACTTGCATATTTATTCCTCTGAGTGAAGTGAAAATCATCAACATTGAAAGTGATGAACAGGCAAAAAATATTATTTTCAGTTTCGCTTTGGATGCACACTTCACCAAACTTTATAATCTTCTACCTGAGGTCAAAATCTTAAACAATAAATAATTTCGTATCCGCATGAACCGGGATAAAATTAATATTATGAAATTTTTACTTGTAAGGTCGCTAAACGATGGTCACTTTGATGTTCGATTCGGATTTCCAGTGATACAGATGAGGGTTACCAGAGGAAATCTAGCGCTTCTAACACTGATTCATTACGCAGAGTATGCTAGTTTCTAGCGGAGCAGTTTAAAACTAATTAAATTTGCAGATGGAAAGGAAAGCATTTCGCAATCTTGCCTTCTCTCCCTGAAGGGACGGTATCGAATCTCGTAGATGGGCGAAACTATCTTTTATGTGATCTCTTCGCTTTCTTTCTAGGGCATTGTGGTGAGCCCTCTTATCGGCCTACAAAAATAAAGTGGAACATAGTTTAGTTACAATATCACAAGAGACCTGCAGACAAAACCTACTTAGAGAATTCATTGCGACGCGCATTCTCGACTCTCATAAAATATTCAATCGTAAATCAACATGGCAAAGTTCCATGATAGCGTGACGCCAACACAAATGGTAAAACCGTGATTCTAAAAGATTTCAACGATATTTCAACCGATATTAGTCTATTCTGAAAGCCAGTCTTACCGATTAACCAAGGAAAAACTCTAAGAAAAAATAAAGCGGTCAAAACAAAAACACGTGGTTTTCCATGTGGATAATTTTGCACGCGTAATTTGACACCAAAACACAAAACTTACCTGGGTCATGAATTGAGTTTCTTCGACATTTTCGGTTCCCTCCTGAACAGAATCAAACAAATTCGAACAAAATCGTTTTTTTCGTGACTTCCTAAGCAATCACAGAGAGAAAAATTAATTTACCTCGTCGCTTTCGATGTCGATTTCCTTCTCTTCGTCGCTCATGCCTCCTTCGTCTCCCTTCGCCATCAGTTGTCCCTCGTGATTAAAGCACGTGTCAGAACATGACGCCGATTTCACTGGGTAACGACAGCCAATCACGATGCAGATTCAGCAAGCGGTCAGTAACTGACAGCCCGGAGCCCGTTGATGGGTTTTCCAGAGTCTTTTTGTGCCGAAAAAATTCGGTACACAAAATTGTAAAAAAGATAAACGAAATTAAAATGAAATGAAGATAAAAACGAAAGCTACGATCTTATATTAGAGAGCCTATCTGGAAGCATATCCGAAATTTTATGACCTGAAACTGCACATCGCTGCATTCAGCAAAACACAAACAAAAAGAGTCGACTGTCAAGTATCAGAGAAATAATTTTTTTGCTAAAAGGAAAGCGTTTAACTTGACGCACAACTTAGTCCAATTACATGGAATATAATCGGAAGTGATCGAAAAAAGTTGATCGGAGAAGAGTTGGTTCCACTGTCGACGTTTTCTTCCCCAGACTTCTTTGCGATCTTGAGTGGCCGCGGGTACATAACGCCTGGAAGGATATGTACGGGAAACACGAGAAACTCATTATCTGACGTGAGTTTGCGCTTTCTATCTGAAAGACAGTGCTCACTGGGTGTTGGAAGGGAAATTCTTGGCAACGGATGCCTTGTTTGATGATAACTGCTTATTTGATGTCCAATGTTTTCCATTTCTACGATTTCGACTTCATTGCGGTAGCGAAACAAAGACAATTTACTACGGAGGTTCATTGAAAGCCGGTATTGTGTTCATGTTAAGTTCTAATGAGACATTAATACCCCTGTTTTCTTTGTGAGGATTCGCGGGATTTCTCGGTTTGTTTAAATGTCAAAAACAACTTGGAAGTATGTCTTTCTTTTGGTATCGCTATGGCTGCTTATCCTTGGCTACATGGGTTATCAGCTTTTGTCCGTTGTCGACGATGCAAACCGAAGCGCTGTCGCACTTCTGCAAAAGGAAAGACAAATCGAACTGCTACAGACTCAGAATGGGGGACTAAAAAAGAAGTTAGTGGAATTTCAAGCAGACAAGAATAAACTCGAAATGGAAGTAGCCGAACTTAGACAGAAGAATTCAGATCTTCAACGCAAACTAACAGCTCAGAAATCCTCGATTGTTACTCCTATGAAACCGCATGAGCTCAAAGATAAGCGTGATCAAGATTCGGAAGTAGCGATCACTTCATCGGTAAAATTTACGCCGCCTAGTCTGGAATTTTTAACGATAAGACGGAGGGCAGAGAAGGAATTGAAAGAAATGTGGTATTTTATAAGTGCTGAGGTGAGCAGAATTAAGATGTCTGCCAGCGAAAGCGTGAAATCGAAGTTGACAAAGATGATGTGGACTGTTGAAGACATGCATCATGTTTTGTCTTTAAACTTTGAAAACTTAAAATCTATGGATGGACAAAGAGAATGGGTTGAAAAGGAACATAAAGAACTTAGCGATCTTGTCCAAAGAAGACTGTATCATTTGCAGAATCCAACCGATTGCGATTCGACGAAGAAGCTGATGTGTCAGCTTAACAAAGGATGTGGTTACGGTTGCCAAGTTCACCATCTAATGTACTGTTTCATTGTTGCTTATGGCCTTCAAAGGACTCTTATAATCGATTCTAGTGGTTGGAGGTATTCACCAAAAGGCTGGAATGGAATTTTTAAACCCGTTAGTGAAACCTGTACAAATCATCAGGGGAATATAGCGGCATGGAGCGAATCCGCGTCGAAAAGTGAACAAAATATTTTAATGCCAATTGTCGATAGTTTATACCCCAGGCCTCCCTACATGCCGTTGGCTGTGCCTAAAGATTTGGCCAACAGAATACAGAAAATTCACAGCCATCCGTTCGTGTGGTGGATAGGACAATTTGCTAAATATTTATTTCGCTATTCACCTGCTGTGCAAGAAGAGATCGACCAAAAAAGAACTTTGCTTGGCTTCAAGAAACCAATTGTCGGGTAAGATTTATTTAGCCTGTGTTGACTTAGAGACAAAAGCAACCGGATGGTATTTGAATAGCTGTTAGGTAAAATAGTCTTGTAAATTGTTTCCTGTAAATGATTATTCAACCATCAATATTAAGTCATTATATATTTATCATTTCCTATTTCTTTTAGCCCAATTAAAAATTCAAATCATCCTGAAAGCCCCAGCACTCAAACTCCAAAGATTTTATCAGTGATTCTCCATTCTAGTAGCAACAGAAAGCCATGTTAATTAGTTAAGAGATTTTGTTGACATTTTTGCTAAATCTTGTCACCTCTTTGATAAATAATCTATTGATACTGTAAGAAATTATAAGTAATTACCTGTATTTCTCTCTTGTTGTAATGTCATCGTTTAAATTTCTATTTGTTTGTTTGTTTTTAATTTTCAACAAGCTTTCCTTCTTCCCAGATCTGTTACAATATTCTAAGATAAAAACAAACAAAAGAAAAAATGAATGATAATCACAACTTCTACATCTTACAAACTTGTGATCTCATACTGACCAGTAGATGTTTTATGCTTGAGATACAACTAGATATTTTGCAAATATGTATCATTGTAAATTTAAAACCTTTCTAGCAACCCTAACTGGTCAAGAGGGGTGCTATCTGCTGCTCAAAGTAGGAAGCTTTGAGTGGGGATTTTTTAAAAAAAATTTATCTCTTTTCTTTTTTTCAGGGTTCAAGTTCGTAGAACTGATAAAATTAACACAGAAGCAGCTTTTCACTCCATCGAAGAATACATGTATTGGGTAGACTTGTTCTATAACAAGCTAGAAAAAGTTCAACCTGTGAAACAAAGACGTGTCTACCTTGCAACAGATGATGCTAATTTATTGCCTGAAGCAAAAGAAAAGTAAGTCAGAATTTCACGGTTTTTACTTACATGTCACCTTAGTTTCTTAGAATAATGAACTCGGAACAACTGGTTAATGTGTGAACCTTTTTGGGTGCATTTTTGTACAGCTTGTGCTCTGACAGTTTTCAGATAAGTAAATATTGTGTTGGCTCTTCAAAAAATTTTGAGAAATTATGTTTGGATTTTTTAAATGTATTTTATATCATTATATATGTAAACAGTGGATAACATTGAAAGCATTCAAATTGGATACTCAAACACAGAATATCCTTTGCTATTCTGAGCAATGCACATGGGATTTGTACCTGAAAAATATTGCAATTCTTACAGGAATTAATTAGTTAAAATCCTTTCTTCTACTTTGTTATTTCACCGTTTTGGTTTATACTCAAAGAACTATCCACTTCGGCACGGTAAATATCCACCACTAGTCACCCCCACTTTGGTGAATAGTTGTTAACCCTTTAACTCCCAGATCTAATTTGTAATTCTCCTCACCATCAACCTTACAATTCTTACAATGTTAGTTCAGAGAATTTAGTATTGGATCAACTAATTATCCCCAAATTGATATTTTTCTTTATTCTCATCACTTGTCTGGTTGATATTGTATTGATATTGTTAGGAGAAATTCTGTCTTGGTCACTCATGGGTGTTAAAGGGTTAAGTACACTATTTTTCTTGCATCTAATGAATGTCTTTGGAGAAGAAATAGAATAAAGATTATGTTACTCTATGTCTTCTTGGCTCTGAGCAAAATACACTCATGATTTATACTTCCATGCTTTGGCAATCATGTTGCATTTTAGAAAAATTAGTTGATATAGAGACGAATAGCCTTTTTTTTTAATTTGATGCCTCCTTTTCAGGTACAAGAACTACGAATTTGTTAGTGATCAGGAAATTTCCAAATCTGCTGGCCTTGGATCACGTTACTCCGACTCTTCTCTACATGGAGTTCTGTTTGATATTCAGATGTTATCAGAGTGTGATTTCTTGGTTTGCACCTTTTCTTCACAGGTAAAGTACGACAGTTATTGACTTTTTTTGCTTTTTGCCTTAAGGCAAAAGGTACGTCCTTGAGGCAGGAGCACAGCCCTGTTAAGGGAAAATGGTATATCAGTTAAAGGAGACTAAATGAATTAAGTCCCAAAAACAGAGCATATTTTGCAGTTGAAAAAAAATACCAGATGAGAAGGTATAAAACCAGACTCAACCAGGATTAATAAAGATTGAGGAAGATAAACCTGATAGCAAATGAGGCACTAAAGAATGGAGTAAGTCTGGAATAAATCCTTAACCTGCTGTGAGTGTAGCTGCTTTGAAATTTAGTTTGTTAACCCTTTACACCCTAAGATCAGTATGCATATTCTCCATACTGTTCTCTATACATTTCCTAAGATACTGACAAGGAGAAAATGTTTAACAATCAAGAGCTTCTTTAGATGGTGATCATTTCCCTTATTCTCATGACCTTAATGTGTGATTCAGGGGTGATATTGTGAAGAGAAATTAGATGCTAGTCACTCTCAGGGGTTAAAGGGGAGAGGGCAAAGGCTGAAAACTTCTTTTCTTATTTTTATTTTTCTACCAGGTTTGCCGTGTGGCCTATGAACTGATGCAATCATCTCAACCTGATGCTGCTAAAAAATTCCAATCCTTGGATGACATTTACTACTTTGGCGGTCAATCTGGTCATGATGTGAAAGCCATCTATCCCCATCGTGCGCAAGATTCTACACAGATAGACTTAGCTGTGGGAGATCGTGTTGGAATTGCTGGCAATCATTGGGATGGATATTCCAAGGGTGTCAATCATAAGACTCGTCAAGATGGTCTTTTCCCATCCTACAAAGTCGAAGATGTCATGGAAATTTTTGATTTCCCAACTTATGACGGAGTATAGCTGATTCCCTATCTTCATATGAAACACTTTATAAAATGAATCAATAATCTGGTGGAAATTATGATTTTTAGTTTTTTAACGTCAAGTCATAAATTAATATATGGATTAAACATAGAAGTCATGTAGAGAAAGAAATGAATTATGTACCTATAGCTAGGCTAATACAATCACAGTTAACAATTGAAACCACCCTGCTTAATTTTTTCATTTTCAAACGTTAACCTTACAATCCTGAATTCCAAGAAGATGATAAAATATCTGGACCATTAAAATACATTTATCATGATAACATTGTGATTACCTGATCAGTCTTTCATTGAAATAATCCAATTTCCTATGTATAGATATGTAACAAAACTAGTCAATTGATGTCATTCAAATCTGTAACAAAAGCTAGTTTCATATTTTAGTGGCAAATGTTAATGACTTGAATCTATCCATAGATGTGCAGAAAAGGAAGTTTCTCTATAGGCAACATTGAAATAACGCATTGAAAATATTATACAGCAATTAATCCTTTTTACTCCAGCATTAGTGCTGACCTTCTCTGTTCTCCTCTCTATAAACTTCCCTTGGTTTTGAAAAGGAGAATTCACTAAAAAATTAAAGCTTCTTAGGTTGGGGATCATTTCCTTTATTCTCATGATATAAATGAATTATTCAATGGTATTACTCTAGGGAGAAATTTAAGGATGGTCATTCTTACAAGTTAGAGGGTCAGTGGTTTGTGCATCAGCTGTGCCTCAATCAAGATATGAAATACTCACAGAGTTTGATGCATGCTGATGCATGAATCAATTATGTAGTTAAATGTACTTTCCATTGTTCAGTCATTTTTACAAGAAACAAACTAGCAATTGTTTGTTTGTGTTTCTTTTCAGCCATAGTTGAGTCATATGACACTTCCCCAACCTTGCAGGCTGATTGGCCTTCAATTGAATGCAACTCTAATTGTAAAATGCATCTCTTCCTCTTTCATCTACTTCATCTTTCTCCTCCCACCTGCCTTCCTACCAGTTTTGCTTGGCCTATTTTCACGAAAAATTAATGGTTCAGAGTGTCAGTAATGTTGAAAATGAGTATGTTAGGCCATGGTGCATTTTAAAGCTAAGTTCGGGATATGGAGGTGTAGCTTACTGGCCTCAAAGGGGGCTATTAAATTTGGAAATATCAGCATCGAGGTGTTCTATGCAATTAGCCTCAGAAAGTTGGCCCTAAATGTCTTGATACTGACTTAAGTATGTGGACTCTTCCCTTTCTCATAGTTGTGGTTGAAAATAATTGACAAATTCTATTTACATTAGACTGTTGAATTTTGCCCAAACATTGTAAGAGTGGATTTTGGAGCCCCTGGGGCGATAGCCAGTGCCACCACAGAGATGCATTACCCCCCCCCCCCCCGGCCACGCTCTTTTTTCTCTTTCCATACCCTATCACTCGCAAGACAGGCTTGCGTGTCTGAACCTCAGGCGTGACATCACTTGATCAAAAAAATGGCGCTGAAAGCTATGATCGTCCAGCTGCTTGTTGCTCTTGTGACAGTAAACTTTGCGATGTCGACCAGAATTGTAGGTTTTAGCCCAACAAATTCGGGGTCCCACTATTTCACCATAAAGAAAGTTATGGAGGAATTGTCCGCGCGCGGACACGAGGTAAGTTCAAAGAGCAGCCTGCAGGTTACAGGAGTATTGATCGACATAGCCATCGTTGACTGCTAGAAAATAGCTACAGAGGCATGTAAACTCTACGTGCTGTGGTGGTCCTGCATGTAGGAGTTCATAATTATTTGGAATTTTCGATCGTGCAAAAGGAATCTGTGACGGTCTTGCTAGACTTTAGACCGTGCAGACCGCGCTTTGTTCCGTGGAGAATTTCGACTGTTACAGCTCGCGAGACACTGACAAATTCGTAATTTTTTTATTTATTATTATTTTTTTTACAAATCGCAAATTTTTATTATCTTATTTCAAATACAAATTAAAGACTAACAATCAAAATTACTACACAGTAGCAAGGAGGTTTGGCCAACAACACGAATGAATCTGTTGCACATCCGACAAGTTCATTCATGACCTATTGACCCAATCGACTTCGATAGTTATCCAATTTATCTAGTATTATGCGGTTTTTTCAACCTGAGAAAAAAATACGTTTTCTCGGTCGTAAAATTATATTTTACGCCTCCGTGGACGTTAAGTGGAAGTCAAGAAACTCTGCTGGGAATATTGGTTTTTGACGGGATGATAAGCAGAAATAGATAACAAACGAGGGCCTTTTTAAACGCTGCCACATTTTCGATGCGTTATGCGTTACGTGCCTTGTTTTCACGTTTTCCAGAACTTTGATTGAACTTTGAAAGTCCCTTGGAAAGTTTGATCTAGGGGCAAACTCATTTTTTCGTCAAAGGAGTTGACTACTATAATTTATCTGCAGATCCATATTCACCTCTTTGTTTTAAGGCAAGGCCGTACACCAGGGTGTGTATTTGTGTTAAACCAGTATTTTTTCATTACTTTTTTTTCCTGCTCTCATGCCTTTTCTTCAATACAGGTTGTGCTGATTAAGCCTGCCAATCAAAACGATCCACCAACAATTGGACAGACAATACCTCATAAGATATTCCACATACCATATAACCAGTCTTATTTTGAGGTATTTTTTGTTAAAAGTCATATGGAAGACGGCGTATGGAAGGCTCTAATCAGATTTACAGAGATGCAAAGTGTCATTTGCGAACACTTGTTAAATAACACTGAACTGATTCAACATCTGAGGCAGTTTGACATGATAGTGTTTGAAAGACTTTTTTTGTGTGCTTCAATAGTGGCAGATCTTCTAAAAATTCCTGCAGTGGTTTTAATACCCTCTCCAAATGCTCCAGCAGGTTGTTCACTTTTCAAGGTTCCTTGTCCATTGTCATATGTGCCTTCGCGTCTCGCTGCATTTACAAGTGACATGTCATTTATACAACGTGTCATGAACTCTGTAGGTCAGATCAGTTTTGAGTTTGCTGTGAGACTTTTGAAATCTCCAAGTGAGCGTCGCCTCAAGGAAAAATATAACATTGCACCTGAGAAAGAACTTGAAGAGGTCCTCGGGAATGCTGAGTTAGTGCTCATTCTTGGAGACTTTGCACTTGAATATCCACAGCCACTTCTGCCAGGTTTGCTACCCATCCTAAATAGGATACCACTCCATGGCTGGGCTGCCCCAGCACCCCCCCTACCCTGCCCACCTTCCCCCTCCCCAGATGTTAAGTGTTTGACAGGTTTTACTGACGGGTCATTGGTACCCATTTATAATCTTGGGTGGAGAGAATTAAGTGTCCTTTTTACAAACAGAAAAATTACTTAGACAGCCCTCTAACTTAACTGTTAGGTGACTACATCTCCATGAAAAAAAGAGAAAAAAAAGAGGAGAAATCAAAATTTCCCATTGAATACCTTGATTGTGACTCTCTTGTGTTCTCAATCAAGTCTCTTTTAAGACTTGCGTCAGACATTGTAGGTCCAGTCTCTTGAAATAATACTCTCCTGAAAGGGTTGAATGGCTGTCAGTTTGCTGAAGGGTGATTTATATGATTCCACTCATAGCATAATTAACACATGTGCATCAGGAGATTACAAACTTACTAGACAAATCAGTTCCTGGGGTATTTATAGATACCTAATCACATTCTGTTTGTATTTATTTTTTGTTTTGGTTTTTTCTTTTAAGGTCAGGTCATGGTGGGTCCCATCACTGCTAAAGCAGAACCTGACCCACTTCCCCTTGACTTGGCAAACATTATCAACAGTTCTAGGGGGCATGGGTTCATTATTGCTTCTTTTGGATCGTATGCAGAAACAATTATTTCTAACAGGACCTTCGATGTTATGGCTGCAGCTTTTGGAAAGTTAAAGCAGAAAGTTATATGGAAACTTAAAGGTATTTTTTTAGTATTAATTGTTAATCACCAGTTATTGTCAAGGTCATCATTGTCATCATTATTGTTATTATCAATGTAACCATAATCATTGATATAATTTTTAGCAATGCATTTTATTTTAAGTAAGACATAATGTGTTAACTGTCTCCAGTGAAGTCGAAATTGGTAGAATGAATGTAATTAACCCTTTAACTCCCATAAGTGACCAAGACAGAATTTCTCCTAACAATATCAATACAATATTAACCAGATAGGTGATGAGAATAAAAGAAAACATCAATATGGGGATAATTAGTTGATCCAATACTAAATTCTCTGAACTAACATAAATAAATTCTTCACTCTGACGAAGGGCCAACGCTGGAAATGTCAGCTTTTTTACTCTTTACGGTGGCCAATTTACGTTTTCAACCAAGTTGTTACCACTTAACTACCTAGCATTATAAGAATTGTATGGTTGACAGTAAGGAGAATTACAATTTTGATGTGGGAGTTTAAGGGTTAAGATTTTATGTGCCTTTTATTGGTGAAACTTTGAATTCTTTGTTACTCAGGAAAATCCTTTTTATCAACTTTTTCAGGTTACATTCCTTCACTGCTTGGTCCAAACATCAAAGTAGTGAAGTGGATACCTCAGAATGATCTGTTGGCTCACAAAGATATCAAAGCTTTTGTTTCTCATGTAGGACACAGCAGTCTCTACGAGTCAGCTTACCATGGGGTGCCTGTGGTGGCTGTTCCTCTCTTTGCTGATCAGTTTTTTAACGCCAGGAAGGTAGAGCACTTTGGATTGGGTATGACTGTGGATCACAAAACTGCGACTGCTGAGGAGTTTGCTAAGACAATGGAGGATGTGATGACTGAACCAAGGTAGTGACACGTATTTTAACAAAGTTTAGAGAGTCATTTAATTTGACATGTAGTTGCATAGCTGGAAGATATCTAGCAATGTGATTGTTTATCTATGGGGGAAATCGGCGTGAAAATCCATGTTCAAAAGTTACACCGTTCAGCAGCATATGTAACAAAAAAGCCCGCATTAAGATCCTTAAGAAAGTTATTACGACACATGCAATCGCTTAAAGTCACTGTGTGAATTATCATCCACTTTTTTTTTTTCACTTTTTCCTGCATGAAAGAATCGTAAGTTTTTCAATGTTATTATTCGATCGTGTTTCTTCAGTTTCAAAAAAAATGCTAGGCGCATTTCTCGTCTTATGAGAGACACTCCACGGACCCCCCTAGAGAAAGCTGGTGACTGGATAGAGTATCTACTCAGACATGGTGGAGTCCAACACCTCAGAGCTCAAGTGTTTAACATCCCTTGGTACCAGTACTACTTACTTGACGTCATAGCTTTCCTTGTTGCTCTAGCTGCGTTTGTCATCATAGTGATCAGATGGGCATGTGGATGCATGTTTCGTGTGTGTTTCCGCCCGAGCAGCGAGAAAGCGAAAAACGATTGATCTCTTTTGACCGGAGCTCGTGATGTCACAAGTCATGCATCAATAGTTACTTTGATTTTAAGGAATTCTGGTAAAGTTAACATTTTAAAATATCCATGGTAGTTGTCACCATGTAAATTTAAAGCCAGATTTAAAAAGATTCAGCGGTGAACGCACCACGTGCACCATTTCTACGTGTAACTATAGACAATTACAGACTTGTAGACGTTGCTAGTTCGATGTAGCCAGCGAACAAACCCACATGAGTAGTGCTTTGGAAGGAGCGTTTCTTGGCTCGCGGGTTGGTATGAATCGTAGGTTAGCTAGCAAGAGGTCTGAAACGGGTCTAGACTCCCGGCAAACCTCTCCTCAACTCGTTTCAAATCTTCCCGCGGGCGGAGAAACGCGCGTTATGCAGGGCTAGTAATAAATGCTTTCTAGCAAAAACGCTTGCGGGCTAAGTTCGATATAAATGAAAGGTTCTGATGGTTGGTCAGAGTCAGCTGAGTAAGGGCCAATTTTCAATCACTGTTTTCAGTGGCGGATTCAAGGGAGGGTGTCGCACGGCTGGACTCCTCTCCTCAGACCTGTGGGTTTTTATTGTTAATAGTCTAACAACAAAATTCTTGCACCAACAAGATCATATGTCACTTCTCACTATGAAGTGTTTAAAATTAACTTTCTTAGTGCTAATACCAGAAAAAGTAAAACGCTCACCTTTTTATGCTCAGTGCTCTAGGCGGAGTTTCACCTAAATTTTTCGGAATGTGTGCATGTCGTCTCAGTAAAACTTTTTTAGACTGCCATAATTTTTATTTAAAACTTACAGTGTTAACTAGTACATATGCTTAAAGATATTTTAAGGAGATAGTTAGGATCAATTTTTTGTTTGAGTGAGGCTATTCGTTCTCAATAATTATTGAATCAAGCTTTTCACCTTACTGATTGTAAATTTACTCAGAATAGCTTTCAAGGAGAGTTGATGAACTGCTCTATTGAAAGCAAAAGGTCCCAGTTCCAGCCCTGTCCAGGGCCTTCAGTCCATTAGTTCCTAGCGGGGAGATGATAACGTTGTGATTACCTGATCAGTTTTTTATTAAAATAATCCAAATCGTACGTGTAGATATGTACGGCCGTCCTTACGTGCGTACATTAATATACCGATAAGAATTAACGGGACGGCTTGCGCTGGAAGAAAACATTAAAAAACTGCGCTCAACTTCGTGCGCGTGCGATTGTGTGAGTATCGATTGAAGAAAAACGCCATTTTACGGCATAATTGTTCCCTAATGTAGCTAAATAATGCATTGGCTCTTCTTTGATAAATACCATCGACAAAATGATGATGCAACGTAAAACAGAACAGTATCGCAGATTGCCGTTCGCTGAGTACTTGTATTGTACAGTTGGACCAGTGTAATATTTGTCCTAACAGTCCTAAGAAGAAAGATAATCTGAGATACGTTAAGGACATTGAACTTAAAGTACTTACATTGATTCCGGGAAATAAAACATGAAATATGTAAACTTTACTTTAAGATTATTCTTGGTTTTATTTGGGTGGTTCCGTTTTATGTGACCACCCGGCATAGCTGAAGACGATACACAGCAACAGACGGTTGGGACTCAGTCAAGGGTGACCACGACCGCTTAACGCGTTACGCCCTAAGATCATTATTCATCTTCTCCTTACCGTCCTCCATTCATTTCTTAAGGTGCTAACAAGGAGAATTTGTTTACCAATCAAGAGGTTCTTTAGTTGGTGATCATTTCCTTTATTCTCATGACCTTCATGCATGATTCAGAGGTAATACTGTAGGGAGAAATTACATGCTAGTCACTCTTAAGGGTGTAAGGATTAATATGCGGTGTCGCTTAAGGTGTACGGGGAAACGAGACTTGGTGACAGTCCACCCACGGGGAACTTAAATTTGCAATCGCGGTGACCGATTTTTATCGTGGGAAACTACCTCGGGGGAATTTTAGCTTTTGGAGCTGGTATCGGCCACGAGAACAACAGGTTTTCTCGTGAAAGCTATCCTAAAGTAACAAAATGGGAAACGTGAAATCCTATGCAAGTGAACCAATCAGCGCTTGTCGGTGAGTACGTTGCTGATCACATATGTGGATTTATATGTTATCTCGTGAGACATGTGACGTTAGGCAATATGCTTTTTTCATTTATAACTTGGAATGCCGCGATTTGGAACTCGTATGGGTATATTTCGGTTTTTTGGAATATTCTACAATTTTCTCCCGATTAAAAGATTCATTTTTGTCTTAGAACCAGCCTTCATTCCGACTTAGGGTTGTAAATATTGATTCAGATTGGCCTTTAGCTAGTGTAGTTAAGAAACTACTGTGCTATTCGCCCATCAAAAATTCCTGGTTCCGCACCAGTTCAGGGCTTTCAGCCCATTGATTCCTGCGGTAAGCTCACCCATTCATGAATTACATATCGATTTCAAAGGTATGTTAATTAAGACCCACTAGTTCTGAAGAGGAAAGGAAGAAAGGCAGGGCTGTGTAGACTGTTAAAAAAATTATTTCAGACACCTTTCCTTCTTACTAGTGAGAGGGGAGTTGTGAGGGGGGAAGATACAGGGAGGCACCGCGCTTTCACCACAATTTTATCCCCCCCCCTCCCACCCCAGCCCCTGCGTCCCCTCACCTCTCCAGGTTTTTCCACCCTCCAAGATGGCCGAGGTGAAATCGTTCTTACTTCTTTTTTCGGTTATAATATCAATGGAATTATCCTTTTCGGCTAGAATCGCAGGTCTTAGCGGAACTTCTTCGGGATCTCATTATTTTACGATCAAAAAGGTCATGGAGGAGTTGTTCTCCCGAGGTCACGAGGTGAGAGTTTCCTTCTTTCACATTATTTGCGGTCCCAACTGCAGTAAATATATCCTTGAAACCTGCGTGTATCGCTTACTTAAGGTAATTTTTCTCTTGGGAGAATGCTCACTACTTCGCAACCTGTAAAACTTTGCATTTGAAACGCCGATTCCTCTGAAGGGCGAGCAAAATCTCGGATCTCGTGACTCGCCGTTTTGGCCGGCAACGAAAGAACATGGCGATCACACCTCGTCATAAAATCTTCGCGCCTACTAATTTCTCCTTCAGTGTGTTCACTCTCTTTGTCGTCTTCAGAGCAAAGGGTCCGCGGCTCAACTCGTAAAATTAACGTCGATTTCTGATAAGCAGACATAAAACGTATGCCCCAGGGACTTCTTCATCAATGCGACTAGTTGAGCAACAGTGTCATGCTGCTGCGCTAATTAAGACGTGACGATAGTTTTAACACCAAGCCATTATCTTTCGTTTTACCTCATCTCCCTTGCCCCACTAAAGGCTTGAACGCATGTTTGAGTTTTTGAAACGTCTCCAAAAACTCAAACAAACCCAGGCACGCACTGGCAACTACCATCTACCATGCCTATTTGTCGAGGGAGTTACTTTGCAACATTCAACTTTAGTGATTTCTCGATTTTTGTTTGTTTTGTTTTTATTATTATTTTTTTAGCCCTGTTCTTTTTGTCTTTTCTTGAGTGATCACATGAGTAGTTGTTCGGAGCGCCGTAATTTTTTTCAAGTGGAGGTTGAATACTTCACAAAGTTTTTTTAGTTTTCTTATACAGTATAATAATACTTTTTCTTCTTTTCTGATGTAGGTGGTGCTTGTTCGACCAGTGCTTCGTGATGCACCACCAAGTAATGAGCAGAAAATTCCCCAAAGGACATTCCTGACACCATACGATGAAAAAGATACAGAGAATAAAGTGAAAACAGCCATGGAAGGCAAATTGTGGAAGACAATAAATAACTTATATGAAATGCAAAGAGTCATTTGTGAATACATGCTGAATGACACAGTGCTACTTCAAGAACTGAAAAGCTTTGACTTGATAGTTTATGAGAGTTTTTCCTTCTGTGCTGTTTTGGTCTCTGAGCTTCTTGGCATTCCAAAAGTAATCATATTTTCTGGTCCTCCAAATGGTCCAGGAACTTTTGCCCATAATGTTCCCCACCCAGTATCATACATTCCAGCACCAATGACTTTATTTACAAGTGAAATGACGTTTTTACAGCGTCTTGTGAACTTTGGAGCATACAACTTCATACAGTCTGCAGAACAAGTTTTAATTGCCAGGTACATGGGTTCTCTGAAAGAGGAATACAACATCACTCCTGGGAAGAGCTACCAAGAAGCTGCTGGCACTGCTGAGCTGGTGCTGTTTCTTGCTGATTTTGCACTGGAGTATCCGCAGCCTCTTTTGCCAGGTTTGCCAAATAAGTGGAAAAGGCTCTGAGCAACTGAGCACTTACCCCTTGCCTGACCAAACAACAATCAACTGATAACAAGTTGGGTTAAATGTTGGGTCAGGGGAGGGGTAAGTGTGTGGCTGCTTAAATGCTAGTATTAATATCACTCTCATAATTAAGAGAGCTTACAGTTGGCAATGGTTTTAAATGTGTCATGTGATTTCATTCATGAAGGCAAGTTAAGCTGAGATTTGAAATATCGAGTTAAGATTAGGTGATACATGAATTTTTTCTATCCAAAATTCCTGTGCATGACCAGATCTGGATCCTGGGCCTTTGGTACTGAAATCCAGCAGATGGTTAATTTAGATTTTGAAAATTATCAAACAGGGAGTATTGTCTAGATCTAATGGTAGGCTAATTATCATTTGTCTGTAGTGTTCTGGCCAAAGGGGAGAGACTGGTGTCAAAAGTGCAGAAGGTGGGGGAGTAGGGTAATGTATAGGTATTGAGGGATCTTCAACCTCACCCCCTCCCCCACATATTTCTAAGAATGAACCAGTCAGCACTAACTGTATATCTGTTTGTCTTCTTACAGGTCAAATTATGGTGGGAGCCATTTCTGCAAAAGCAGATCCTGAAACACTCCCCCCTGAATTGAAAGATTTTATTGACAGTGCAGGGGGGCATGGGTTTGTCATTGCCTCTTTTGGGTCATATGCGCAAACAATCATAGCTAAGGAGAAGATCAATGTCTTGGCTGAAGCTTTTGGAAAGGTGAAGCAGAAAGTCATATGGAAACTGAAAGGTATGTAACTTAAAGTAACTTTCCAAAGGGATAGATCTGGGCCCAGTTGGAAAAGGGGCAGATAACGGTATCCAATGGACAAGTGATAGCAAAATGTATAGGGTTATCCACCAGATAGAAATTTATCTAGTGGATAGCGCCATGCAACCTTTCAACGACCAGCAAGTCTGTACATTCTACACCCAAAAGGGTGCAACTACCTCTTGCATGGCAAAGTATGTCAAAGATTTTGTGTCATTGATCAAGTTGATCACGCATTTATAGAATGGATAGGGAGAGCTTGAAAATGAATCCTCTTTTTTGGCTTCTTTTGCAATGATGTGGAGTTGTGGTTATAAATTTCAGTTAATTGTCACTACTGTGTGTCAACAGAATTTTTGTGAATAGGGTATGGAAGTCATTTGTTTGATATCTTATATTACTAAAAGATATAATTGTTGTGATAATTATTATTTCAGGCTACATACCCTCATCTCTCAGGCAAAACATAAGAGTAATGAGCTGGATACCTCAGAGTGATCTGTTGGCTCACAAGGATATCAAAGCTTTTGTATCTCATGTGGGACACAACAGCCTTTATGAGTCAGCATATCATGGGGTGCCTGTGGTGGCTGTGCCCTTGTGTACAGACCAATTTTCTAATGCCAGGAAGGCAGAACACTTTGGACTAGCAAAAGTTTTAGATCACAAAACTATGAATGCTGAAGAACTTTCAGAGGCAATTCAGCATGTTATTGATGAACCAAGGTATATTTATAGAGTGATTTCACTTTACTCTAAACTGTTAACCCTTACTCATGAGTAACCAAGACAGAATTATTCCTTCTTGATGAGAACAAAGAAAAACATCAACAAGGGGATTATCATTTGATCCAATCCAAATTCTCCCAACTAACATCATAACAATTGTATGGCAGAGAGTAAAGAGAATTACTAATGAGATCTTGGGAATGAACCTGTTAAGATAACAATACCTGTAGTTCATGATAGTCGCTTTTCATTACCATCAATGAAATGCCAACTTGTATGGTGAACTGAGTAATTTCATAAACTTATAGAGACCTTAGAGAAAGGCTTAACAACTGGAATCAAAATTGTGTTTGGGCTTGCACTAGGAAAAGCAGCCTAACAAAGGCTACAAGACACATATTTTGAATAATATTTTCATATAGTTCTGACATCCACATCTTTTGTCCATGAAATTCCCTTTCCCTTCAAGTTATTAACTCGTAGTATTAACAAATTCCTTGCTATATAGAATCATGCAGGTGCAAAATTCTTATGTTAATTGGTATTGTTGTAATTGGCATTGTTAAATGTTGCTATTCTTATTTGTGTCAGATTCAAGAGAGAAGCCAAACGCATTTCTCATCTTATGAAAGACAATCCAAGGACCCCCCTGGAGAAAGCTGGGGACTGGATAGAGTATGTACACAGACATGGTGGAGCCCAACACCTCAGAGCTCAAGTGTTTAACATCCCTTGGTACCAGTACTACTTACTTGACGTCATAGCTTTCCTTGTCGCTATAGTAACATTAGTTGTCATGGTGATTAGGTACACATGCAGGTGTTTATGCAAAGCGTGTTGTAAAAATGGTGCTACAAAAACTAAAAAGGAGTAGGCATACAATAATCATTGTTCTTAAGGATGTCACTCAATGCTTAATTTTTATTGTTATGACGACAAAGAGACACCTTCAAAAAATTCCAAACAAATACAAATTGCATGAAATTATCATAGCCAACATCTTGATCATGATCCTGTTTCACGCACACAATTAAAAAAAAAAGAAATAACGAGTCATGTGCACCTGCAACAATACTTCACGCCTCACGAATTTAAAAGGGAAAACTTTAAATCTCACCTAACCTGGCTTTTTCACAAAGTTCACGCACACGTACAAAATTTAGGCGTCACGTAATATTTAAGTCGTTGCCACGTTCGAGTACAACCGTATTGATGATACCAAAATAGCCATTTTTTTGTCCACTCGTATCTTCATTAAAGAGGGAAGGCGAGGGTGTTGTCCTTTGTAATTTTGCAGATTATCTTACTATTTCTTCTATGTGGCGCACAAGTTTCGTTGTGGTGGTAAATCTTTGCAGATCTCGCAATTCCAACCCCAAACCACGCAACAGAAACACTCACCGATAAATCCTCATAAATAAGTTTAAATGACTTAAAATAACGCAAATATACGGTTGCCCATAGAGGACAAGCTATCCCATTTTTTAATTCAATCTTACCACGCGATAAATGAGATTTTTCATATAAACTATGGTTTATATGAAAAGCGCTGAGAAAAGTAGCAACAACACTCGTGAAAATATATCGTGTATTTTTTTCTCACGAGTGTTTGATATCGCCAATCAGCTGCTGATACGTCACTTGCCTTTCGCGCCACTCGGCCAGGCTTGATGAATGAACGGCGAAGCTTTCACCATTCTCAATCCAAGGTCGCTTGTCGGGATTTGTGCGGAGAATGGCTGCTAAAACACTGAAAAATCCGTATCGCTTACAAACAGTGACGTTCAAACTTTGCCAGAAGGGAAGGAAAACCAAAATGCGGAAAGAAAAACTGAAAGTTACGTATTCAGTGGCTTTGGTAATGGCATTTCTCGCGGCTGAGAGCAAAAATCGACAACTTTCATTTAATAATAAAGTTGACTTTTCTTGTCAGTAAAGGGCTATTGTATTTATATGATAAACAAAATAATACATGGTTACTTGTAGACATGAAATTTCTCTTCTCGTGTTCAACTCGAGTTAAACATTCAAAGAGAAATTCCAATCTACGTGCGCCCATGTATTATTCTCTATTTATCACGCGATGAAATCAAAATATCGCGCGATGAGTGGGAAACTTGTTGGGTCGCACGTGACCGGCTGTCACGCACGTTGTTTCTGCGGACGAGACGACAATGGCTGCAACAGTTGAGGAGGTATGTTATGAGGTCAATAGTTTGTTTTATTTTCGTGAAAAGATCATTGAGCAGTTCTTTTCAATACTTGTACGACACAGCTTTATGAATCAGTACAGTAAACCTTGATTTTGCGAAATCTTACGAGACTCTTACAGAGATGACTATCAGTGTCTGAGGACAAGTGTGGATTATCTAATCTTCCTGATTACATTACAGGTTTGTAAATTCCTAGATGGCACTTCAGCATCGCCAACCGCATTAAGATAGAACTTTCCAACTGTTGCAGTCAGTGTCAATGTTGTTTCAAGATCTTGCCTTGAGTCCAATCAATTTATTTAATTATTTTGTTGTTAACACAGTGACAGCATACAGTTCGTTTAATTTTTTCGTGCCGCCCACGATTTATTATGGTACAGTTGGACTTCGAGGTCATTAAATAGCAAATGACTTGCAAGATGTTTGTGCATAATATTTGTCCTAACAGTCCTAAGAGGAAAGATAATTTGCAATGCGTTGAGGACATTGAACTCAAAGTACTAATGTTGATTCTGGGAAATAAAATACAAAATATATAAATTTTACTTTAGAGATTATTCTTAGTTTTATTTGGGTGGTTCCATTTGATGTGACCACCTGGCATAGGTGAAGACAATACAAACAGGCTGTTGGGACTCGGTCAAAGGTGATCACAACCGCTTAACTCTTTAACTCCCAGATCAAATTTGTCATTCTCCTTACTGTCAACCATATAATTCTTATGATGTTACTTTTGAGAATTTAGTATTGGATCAACTAATTAACCTCAAATTGATATTTTTCTTTATTCTTGTCACTTATCTGGTTGTTATTGTATTGATATTGTAAGGAGAAATTCTGTCTTGGTCAATCATGAGAGTTAAGGGTTAGTAAGGGTGAAAATCATTGGTAATGCTGTGCCACTTAGGGTATATGAGGACGTGAGACTTGACGACAGTCCACGCGAAACTTAAGTATGCAGGTGTGACTGATTTTCATTGTGGGAAATTACCTCAGGAAATTTTAGCTTATGGAACTGGCATCGGCCAAAAGAACAGAAGGGTTTGCCATGAAAGCTACCCAAAGCAACAAAATGAGAAACTTGAAATCCCATGCAAACAAACCAATCAGCGCTTGTGGGTGAGTACCTTGCTGACATATGTGGATTTCAATGTTATTTCATGAAATGTGATGTTAGGCAATTTTCATGTACACCTTACAATGGTGCTATTTAAAACTCTCATATGAGTATATTTTGGTTCAGTTTTTGAATATTCTACAATTTCCTTCCCAGTCAAATAATCATTATTGTCCAAGAACTAGCCTACATTCCTACTTCTCATTATTGTTTGTTAATTGACTTAGATTGGCCTTCTAGAAAAGTTAATAAACTACTAAGCTGATCAATAAAAGTTTCTGTCCACTCTCCCACCAAAAATTCCTGTTTCTGCACCAGGTCAGGGCTTTCAACCCATAATTTCCTTCTGTAAGCTCACCCATTCATGAATTAAATATCAATTTTTACAGGTATGTTAATTAAGACCCACTAGTTCTGAAGATCGAGGAAAGGAAGAAAGGCAGGACTGTATAGACTATTTAAAAAAATTGTTTCAGACACCTTTCCTTCATACAGTTTTCATAAGTTTGAAAGTTGTTGAATGCCGACTGCCTTTTCATCACTTTTTTTTTGTCGTTGTGCTCATGTTTGCCAAAAGCGCAGCAAAAAATGATAGTTGATGTCACATGCTACTACGTGTTCCTCTGTTCACCCCCTCTATCCATGCCATTCCTGAATTTTTAAGTGGGTTGCGTGAGCGGTTCGGGATCAGTCAGAGTTTAATTTAAGGGATCATTTTCAGTTGGGAACCATCTGCGGGGCTGAAGTATATGGACAAATTTGCATTACTAGTGAGTAGAGGGTTATGAGGGGGAGAAGATACAGGAAGGCACTGCGCTATCGCCTCAATAGTCTTTCTTTCCCCCAATTCCCCGCGCCCCCTCGCCTCACCCTCGAAGATGGCCGAGATAAAATCGTTCCTACTTCTTTCTTCGGTTATATTATCGATGGACTTATCATTTTCGGCCAGAATTGCAGGTTTTAGCGGATTTTATTCGGGATCCCATTATTTTACGATCAAAAAGGTTATGGAGGAGTTGTTCTCCCGAGGTCACGAGGTGAGAGTCTTTCGCACTAGATGCGGTCCCAACTACCGTAAATAAATCCTTGAAACCTGCGTGTACCGCTTACTTAAGGTAATTTTCATCCGGGAGAATGCTCCCTATTTCGCATTCTGTAATGTTTTGCATTTGAAATGCCGATTCTTTTGCAGGGCGAGGGAAATCTCGGATCTCGTGACTTACCGTTTTGGCCCGCAACCAAAGGAACATGGCGATCACACCTCGTCTTAGAAATTTTCGCGCCTATTAATTTTCCTTCAGTGTGCTCACTCTCTTCATCGGCTTCAGAGCAAAGGTTCATGACTCAACTCGTTAAATTAACGCCGATTTCTTATATACCAGACATAAAGCCTACACCCTAGGAGCTTGACGTTATCAATGACACTAGTTGAGGCACATGCTGCCGCGCTAATTTAGAGGTGACGATAGTTTTATCATCACGCCATTCTCTTGCGTTTTACCTCGTTTCCCTTGCCTCGCGGATTTACTGGGTTATTAAACGTCTCCACAAACTCAAACGAGCCTTCACGCACTGGCAACTACCATCTATTATGCCATTAGTGGTGGGAGTTACTTTGCAACATGCAACTTATTAAGTGATTTCTCTATTTCTGTTTTGTTTTGTTATTTAATTTTTTACCTCTTTTTTTTCTTCTTGAATGATTACATGAGTAGGTGTTTGGAGCACTGTAATTTTTTTTCAAGAAGAGGTTGAATACTTTGCAAAGTTTTTTAGTTTTCTTATACAGTATTATTACTTTTTCTTCTTTTCTGATGTAGGTGGTGCTTGTTCGACCAGCAGTTCGTGATGCACCACCAAGTAATGAGCAAAAAATTCCCCACAGGACATTCCTGACTCCATACGATGAAAAAGATACAGAGAATACAGCGATAACAGCCATGGAAGGCAAAATATGGAAGACAATAAATCGCTTACATGAAATGCAAAGAGTCAATTGTGAATACATGCTGAATGACACAGTGCTACTTCAAGAACTAAAAAAGTTTGACTTGATAGTTTATGAGAGTTTTTCCTTCTGTGCTGTTTTGGTCTCTGAGCTTCTTGGCATTCCAAAAGTAATCATATTTTCTGGTCCTCCAAATGGTCCAGGAACTTTTGCCCATAATGTTCCCCACCCAATATCGTACATTCCTGCACCAATGACTTTATTTACAAATGAAATGACATTTTTACAGCGTCTTATGAACTTTGGTACATATAAACTCACACAGTCTGCAGAACAAGTTTTAATTGCCAGGTATATGGGCTCTCTGAAAGAGGAATACAACATCACTCCTGGGAAGAGCTACCAAGAAGCTGCTGGCAATGCTGAGCTGGTGCTGTTTCTTGCTGATTTTGCACTGGAGTATCCACAGCCTCTTTTGCCAGGTTTGCCAAAATAAGTGAAAAGGATCTGAGCAACAGAGTACTTACCCCTCCCCTAACCAAACAACAATCAACTGATAATAAGTAGGGTTAATGTTGGGTCAGGGGAGGGGTAGGTGTGATGAGGCTGCTTAGATGTTGGCATTGATTTGTTAAGTAATCCAATCACTCCTGTAATAGAGTTTAGAGTTGGAAAAGGTTTTACATGTGACATGTGATTCCATATATGACGTGTAAATTTTACAGAAAGGCGAGTTAAGGTGTGATGTGAAATTTTCCCTTTGAAATTTATGATGTGTTAAATACTGCTTAAAGATCAAGTGATGCATTAATGTTTTTTTTATGTTCAAAATTTGTGCAAAAAACCAGCCAACAGATAAGTGATAGCAAAATGTATGGGGTTATCCACCAGATAGAAATTTATCTCGTGGTTAATTAGCGCTATGGGACCTTCCTATTACAGAAGGGTAATGGAAATTTTTGAAAATTATAAATCACAAAATATTGTCTAGATCTAATGGTAGGCTAGTTATCATTTATCTGTAGTATCTTGCCCAAGGGGGGGGGGAGGTAATAAGGCATCCTCAACCTCACCCCCTCCTCCACATTATTCTTAGGATGAACCAGTTAGCATTAACAGTTTATCTGTTTGTCTTCTTGCAGGTCAAATTATGGTGGGTGCCATTTCTGCAAAAGGGGATCCTAATACACTCCCCCCTGAATTGAAAGATTTTATTAACAGTGCAGGGGGACATGGGTTTATTATTGCCTCTTTTGGGTCATATGTACAAACAATCATAGCTAAGGAGAAGATCGATGTCTTGGCTGAAGGTTTTAGAAAGGTGAAGCAGAACGTCATATGGAAACTGAAAGGTATGTAACCCTAAGTAACTTTGCAAAGGGATAGATCTGGGCTCAGTTGGAAAAGGGGCAGATAACACTATCCAGTAGATAGGTGATAGCAAAATGTATGGGGTTATCCACCAGATAGAAATTTATCTAGTGGATAGTGCCATGGGACTTTTCAACAACTGGCAAATATACAGACTTTACACCCAAAAGGGTACTACCTCTTGCATGGCAGAGTATGTCAAAGATTTTGTGTCATTGAACAAGTTGATCATGCATTTAGAGAATGGATAGGGAGAGCTTGAAAATGAGTCCTCTTTTTTAGCTTCTTTTGCAGTGATGTGGAGTTATAAATTACAGTTAATCATCACTGAGTCAACAGAATTTTTGTGACAAGGATATGGAAATTATTTTTTTGATATCTTATATTACTAAAAGGTATAATTGTTGTGATATAATTATTATTATTTCAGGCTACACACCCCCATCTCTCAATAAAAACATAAAAGTAATGAGCTGGATACCTCAGAATGATCTGTTGGCTCACAAGGATATCAAAGCTTTTGTATCTCATGTGGGACATAACAGCCTTTATGAGTCAGCATATCATGGGGTGCCTGTGGTGGCTGTGCCCTTGTATGCAGACCAATTCCCTAATGCCAGGAAGGCAGAACACTTTGGAATAGCAACAGTTTTAGATCACAAAACTATGAATGCTGAAGAACTTTCAGAGGCAATTCAGCATGTTATTGATGAACCAAGGTATATTCATATATATATAATTTATTATATTTATTTCACTTTCCTCTGAGCTGTTAACCCTTAATTAAACTCTCATGGGTAACTAAGACAGAATCATTTCTCCTTGATGAGAATAAAGCAAAACATCAATAAGGGGATTATCATTCAATCTTATTCAAAATTCTCCAAACTAACATCAAAAGAATTGTATGGCAGACAGCAAGGAGAATTGCTAGTTAGATCTTGGGAATGAACAGGTTAAGTTAAAATACCTGTAGTTCTCAATGGTCACTTTTCACTAACAGCATTGAAATGCAAACTTCTATGGTGATATGATAAAGACCTTAGAGAATGGCTTTAAGCTGGAATCAAAATTGTGTTTGCACTTGCACCAGGAAAAGCAACCTAACAAAGGCTTCAAGACATATTTTAAATACTATTTAAATATAATTATGACATCCACATCTTCTGTCCACAAAGCTGCCTTTCCCTTCAAATTATTAACTTGTTGTATTAATAAATTCCTAGCTATATAGAATTGTGCAGTTGCAAAATTCTTATGTTAATTGGTATTGTTGTAATTGGCATTGTTAAATGTTGCCATTCTTATTTTTTTCAGATTCAAGAGAGAAGTCAAACGCATTTCTCGTCTTATGAAAGACAATCCAAGGACCCCCTTGGAGAAAGCTGGGGACTGGATAGAGTATGTACACAGACATGGTGGAGCCCAACACCTCAGAGCTCAAGTGTTTAACATCCCTTGGTACCAGTACTACTTACTTGACATCATAGCTTTCCTTGTCGCTATAGTAACATTAGTTGTCATGGTGATTAGGTTCACATGCAGGTGTTTTTGCAAAGCATGCTGTAAAAGTAGTGCTACGAAAACTAAGAAGGAGTAGGCATGCTATAATTGCTGTCCTGTAGGATGTCACTGAGTGCTTAATTTTGGGTGTTATCACGAAAGGTGACACCTTCAAGAAATTCCAAGCAAATGCAAATTGCATGAAATCATCATAGCCAACATATTGATCAGGATCCTGTTTCACGCACAAAATTAAAAAAATAACAAGTCACTTGCACTGGAAACAGTATTTCACGCTTCACGAATTTAAAAGGGAAAACTTTAAATATCACCCTACCTTGCATTTGCGTTCTGGTAAGATTCATTAAGATTAAAGATTAAAATAGCCTGGGTTTTTTTGTCCTCTCGTGTCTTCTTTAAAAAGAGGAGGGGAGGGTGTTGTCCTTTATAATTTTTCAGATTATCTAAACTCAGTTGATAATACAAAATTACCCTGTTATACTCTTCTACCCACCGATGCAGCACCACAGTTTCTTTAGTAACTTACTCACGTTATTCAATCGATAAACAGACGTAACACGAAACACGTAACGCAATCGTCATGCTAGGGAACCTCTTCTCTCTGATCCGTTTGACGTTCGAAATGACTCGGCTTTCATATATTTGCATCAGAGTACACAGCTTCAGATAACCATCAAAGTGTTTCATTTTGACCTACTTTCCCGCCGACGACGCACTACAGTTCTCAAAAGTACTGATGAATAACCTCGCTCACAAATTTGGTCAGATTAGTCCTCTCCGCAGCAAGCGATCGCTGGTTTCTGAAAAATATATACAGCGTCAGGAGTCCATTAGGTAATGGGCTCCTGACGGCGTTCACAAAGTTGGGTGACCACCAGAAAAAAAAATTGGACTGAGAACAACGATAGTGAGGTAAAGTCGAGCGTTTTTACGTCCATCGATTTAAGAGTCGTTTTCTCCCACAGAGTTTCTAGTAAAACTATTATCTACCTCAACACTGAATGAGTTATTTGCTTATCCATAGCAAACAAAGAAAACAAAAGAAGTGGGTCCTCTGAATAGACGTCTCTCAGGTTTAAGCAAATTTTTGAAAATTTGGTGGACAATTCCAAGTTAAAATTTCCCTTTCTTGTGCCTTTCAGTTATGCTGATTTATACCCACAAGATGTGTAGCTCGAGTTTGCTAAAACTTTAGGTTTACTGATTTTGTTGTTACCGAAGTACTTGACTGTGTAAGTGAATCTCGGATTACGTAACGAATTTTTGAGTTGGCTCGTTATGTTACCCCGTTGTGGGGGGCGTGACCATTCTTTAGTGACCATTCAAATTCGTTTAATCTTCGCAACGTTTAAGCCAGGTTCTATAGCTGTGCAAATGATTCCTTTGATCTACGGGGTTTTGATAGCTGAAGTTGTTGAAGATGGCCTTTACTGTTAGAACGAAAAGAAATCACCCTCTCGTTGTCTCATCTGGTCGGACTATTTTGTTCATGCTTAAACAAAACCATGGTCTCCGTGGTTTTCTGCCGTCGACATCGATGTGTTCTCTTTCGTTCATTTCAGTCGAAGATGCACCAAAAACAAAACTTTTTTCAGAAACCCAGGTCCGCTCCGTCTTCCAGTTTTCGGAATAACTTGGACGTTCTTCGTGGTAACGAAAGGTCAGCCCCTTGGAAAGCGATTTTACGAAATCCAAGCAGAAGATGTCAAGAAATATGGGAAAGTATTCCGCAACAAACTACCAAGCGTCGAAATTATCAGTTTATCCGATCCTGCCGACGTTGCAAAGTTCGATCGGATCCCAAATATCCAGAAAGACTGGACTTTCCGTCTCTAAATTTCTACAGGGAAAAAAGGAAGAAAATTCCTGGGTTTTTTTTTTTTGCCGATGGTGAAGAATGGTACAAGCTTCGAAGCGTCCTGAGAAAAAGAATGCTTCGACCGAAAGAAGTCGCCAACTATACTTAAGGTTTCGATGAGATTATCGGCGATTATATCCACCGATTACGATCAGTTCGAGAGTCTAGTAGGTCAGAGAAAGAAAAGGAAGTTTGTAAACTCGATAATGAACTTTTCAAATATTCGTTTGAGTCTGTGGCGGAGATGTTGTTTGACGAAAGGTTTAATTGTCTTTAAGAGGAAATCAGCAAAGAAGCACAGACCTGCATAAAAGCCGTCGGAGATTTTCTAGCGACTGCGGTCGAGGTCGGTTTTTTGCCTACTTGGTTTTGCAAGGTCTACGAGACACAGAAATTTAAAAAGTTTTTCGATAATTTTGACTCGATGTACGATTACGCCGACATCACTTACCCACTGGAGACAGAGAATGTGGACCCGTTCATGAGAGGGGTCACCATTTCTGACCGACCTGTTAGAGTGCAGTTTGTTGACAGACAATGAGTCAGGCCGTTTTCATCTCGCCAAGTTTACCTTGTATTGTAATACTGTTTTGAGCTGATAGTGGGAGAAATTCTGATGACAACTCGTTTAAACAATCCACGCTGCAAATTTTTATCGTATATAAATATACTTCGTATTCTTTCGGTTTTCATTGTATATTTATTGTCTTGTTACTCGCAGATATGGCACAAAAGTAGTAGACGAAGAATCTGTTGATGTTTTTTGGTCAATAAAAAGCATTCCCATGCATAAATTTTCCTTTGATAATAAAGTAACCTTTTCCAGGCGTTCATGCATTTGATAAAACGGAGCGAAATAGTAGCGGCAGAGCGAAAGTTAAGGATGATGAGTATATGAGTAAAAAGTATCTATAAGCATACAAGAGTCTGTGTGAGGATACAATGTTATCTACGCATAGGGGTATCAATTAACCCTTTACATACTAAGATCAGTATGTATATTCTCTATGCTGTTTTCTATACATTTCCCTAAGGTGCTGACAAGGAGATTTTGCTTGATAATCAAGAGCTCCTGTACTTGTTGATCATTTCCTTTATTCTCATGACCTTAATGTTTGATTCAGGAGAGAAACTGTGAGGAGAAATTAGATGCTAGTCAGTCTTTGGGGTTAAAGGATTAAATTGATAAAATTTCTGGGGTATCTGAAAATACAATGGTTTGTATTACTATATGATTAAGAGTATCTCCTTTTTTCTTCTCTTTAAATGTGTTTATTTTGGCATTTTAAACCACAGTATTTTTGTCAAAGGCCTTTCAAGAAATTTCCAGAAATTTAAGCTCAGAAAAAAATTTCTTTTCCAAGGTCACGCATTTGTTTAAAAGTCTCTTGAATTGACTAACTAATCGCCTTTGAAACTAACGGCGTTCGAAACCTAAAAATTGTCACACTTTGCTTGGCTTGTTCATTGAACTAGTGACTTAAAAAAATAACTTGGAGTTTTTTAACTTCGGAACTCTTATAAAGAAATACTCTACACGCTGTCTTGTTTCAAATTAATAAACTTAGATGTCTGATAAGCATTTTACAGAACTGCTTTCCTCTGTGTATCGATCCGAGTTGTCCTTCGCAGATGGCGTCCTCTTTTTACAGGCTTGTAATTAAATAGTTGTGAGCTTTACTAAATCTAGTTCATCCTGCTACAGAGGTTTTATCAAAGTCGTGGCTCTTAAGGTGCGCTAGGCACCGGCCAATTTCCAAAATCAAATGTCACGTTGTCGCCCATGATCATAAATGGCGCCCATTGAGAAACTTTGTCAAAGCCGTTATTTCTCATCCACTTCCTGGCCTTCTGGAGAGATTCACTTGCGCTTTCACCGCGGTACAAATGTTTGTAGAAACAAGTCATGAAGTGCTCTGTGGCTGTGTCATCCAGGGCCCATCGTGCCGCTAACACTGAACGAGCTCCGGATCCTAAGAACGCTCGGGCAATTCCAATAACTCCTTCGGTTCTAATCTGCCCACGAGCACTGTGACAACAACTAAGCACCACTAGTTTAGCTCGCAATCGAGTTTTTGAAATATCTGCCATCGTCAAAAGATACTCTTCTTCTCTAGGAAAAGGTGGGAGTAGGGTAGGGTGCTCAGGAGAAAGAGCAATCTCCCCTCTTTCAGGATCTCCATGCGCAGCAATGTGTATCAGGCTCACTGAATTTATCGCTTGGAGTACAGAATGCTTTGTAACGGACTCTCCTATCAAAGGCCTTACGCCAAGAAGTGTTCCAATCATCTCTGCTTCCTTTCTTGCACACGGCAATGGTATCATTTTTCTGCACCTTCCCTTGTAAATCACCGTTCCAACCACAGGGTCACCCACTACCAGTGCCCCGGTCTGACTGTGATAGTCTGGAGGACTGTCTTGAACAAGCTTCAGAGTCGTGAGAGAGGGAACCAACCGAATCCTGCATGTCTCTGATAAATACTTGCCTCCTTCGTCAGCCAAGGCTGCAAATGGCACTTGGTACACACAGGAATCAGGGACAATTATGATCTCGGGCTCCTTCAGTAAACTGGCCACGGGAGCAATGATTATCTTGTAACACAAGTCAAGACTTGTTTTGAAATCTTCGGTATCACAGTAATGCAGCCCTGATCGGTTGTTGCGGCGAAGTGACATCAGTTCTTTAAAAAACTCGTCTATCTCAGGGACTATTCCGGTCATCTTGTTTGGGTCCAGGTTCACTTTCTTTTCTGAAAAAAGAATAGCTCCCGTTGCTTTTATTATCCAAAACCGTACCTCATCTCCACCAACCGAAATGTACAGGCATGCACAGTCTGTTTCTTTACTGATGATCCCTTGAATGCCGCACCAAGATTGTGGATCGCTTGAGATCTGCTCTTGAACAGAGTACTGAGCTGTCATCAAGTCGGCCAGGCCTCTTGCCCTTCTCAGCTCTTCGACGTAAAGGGCGTCTTCAGGCTTTCCAGTGGAAGAAAGCAGCCTACTGAATAACTTGAAGGGAAAGGTGCCGTGCTCTTCTAAAAGAGATATTTGCAACTCATCGTTTTCTTTAAGAAAACCTCTCAAAGTTTCGAACTTTTGGATGCCTTGAAAAAGATACGAAGAAGCCTCTTCAAGATGACCTTGTGACGCCAGTAACACCGATAGATTACAAAGACAGAGAAACTCGTTCAAGTTGTGTCCAATATCCCTACTTAGTAGGAGAGCTTGCTTAAGGTATCCTTGGGCTATGTCATTTTTACCAAGCGATTGGTAACACAATCCTAAATTGTTGTAGCAGACTACTACACTTTCTCTATCACCGATGTCCATGCAAATTGTAAGGGCTTTCTGGAAATATTCTTGAGCCTTGTCATATTCACCACGCTTACAAGAAATTGCACCAAGGCTTATGTAGTCTGATGCTTCTCCGGTTCTGTCAACGATACCCTTTCTAACTGCCATTGCCTTCTTTAGATAGTCATCAGCCATTCTATACATGCCAAGTGAGAGAAACAAACATGTGAGGTTTCTATAGCTTGTTGCTTCTCCATGCCTGTCACCAATAACTTTTCTGATAGCGAGTGCTTTCTCCCCATATTCTCGGGCCTTGTCATATTGACCGAGTGATCGGAACAAAGTTCCTAGGTTTCCGTAGCTTGTTGCTTCTCCATCCCTGTCACCAATTTCTATTTTGATAGCGAGTGATTTCTCTTGATATTCTCGGGCCTTGTCATATTGACCGAGTGATTGAAACAAAGTTCCTAGGTTTCCGTAGCTTGAAGCTTCTCCATCCCTGTCACCAATTTCTATTCTGATAGCGAGTGCTTTCTCTTGATATTCTCGGACCTTGTCATATTGACCGAGTGATTGAAACAAAGTTCCTAGGTTTCCGTAGCTTGATGCTTCTCCATCCCTGTCACCAATTTCTATTTTGATAGCGAGTGCTTTCTCTTGATATTCTCGGGCCTTGTCATATTGACCGAGTGATCGGGACAAAGTTCCTAGGTTTCCGTAGCTTGATGCTTCTCCATCCCTGTCACCAATTTCTATTCTGATAGCGAGTGCTTTCTCTTGATATTCTCGGGCCTTGTCATATTGACCGAGTGATTGGAACAAAGTCCCTAGGTTTCCGTAGCTTGTTGCTTCTCCATCCCTGTCACCAATTTCTATTTTGATAGCGAGTGCTTTCTCTTGATATTCTCGGGCCTTGTCATATTGACCGAGTGATCGGAACAAAGCTCCTAGGTTTCCGTAGCTTGTTGCTTCTCCATCCCTGTCACCAATTTCTATTCTGATAGCGAGTGCTTTCTCTTGATATTCTCGGGCCTTGTCATATTGACCGAGTGATCGGAACAAAGCTCCTAGGTTTCCGTAGCTTGTTGCTTCTCCATCCCTGTCACCAATTTCTATTTTGATAGCGAGTGCTTTCTCTTGATATTCTCGGGCCTTGTCATATTGACCGAGTGATTGGAACAAAGTTCCTAGGTTTCCGTAGCTTGATGCTTCTCCATCCCTGTCACCAATTTCTATTTTGATAGCGAGTGCTTTCTCTTGATATTCTCGGGCCTTGTCATATTGACCGAGTGATTGGAACAAAGTTCCTAGGTTTCCGTAGCTTGTTGCTTCTCCAATCCTGTCACCAATTTCTATTTTCATAGCGAGTGCTTTCTCTTGATATTCTCGGGCCTTGTCATATTGACCGAGTGATTGGAACAAAGCTCCTAGGTTTCCGTAGCTTGTTGCTTCTCCATCCCTGTCACCAATCTCTATCTTGATAGCGAGTGATTTCTTTTGATATTCTCGGGCCTTGTCATATTGACCGAGTGATCGGAACAAAGTTCCTAGGTTCCCGTAGCTTGTTGCTTCTCCAACCCTGTCACCAATTTCTATTTTGATAGCGAGTGCTTTCTCTTCATATTCTCGGGCCTTGTCATATTGACCGAGTGACCGGAACAAAGCTCCTAGGTTTCCGTAG